CCCACCCTGCCCTTCCTGCCCCCCTCCACCCCCCCTCCCTGCCCCCCTCCGCCCCTCCCTGCCCCTCCGCCCCGCCCCGTCCTCGTGAGGTTTGGGCGCTGCATCCTTCCGCAATTGGATTCTAAACATTAGCAACCCCCCGCCCTCCACGGAAAGGCACCAAAGCCACCAAAGCCCTAATCCAATGACCAAAGCATTGAATCTGAAAACCGTGTATGAGCCCGTGTCGCCGAGGTGTAAAGGATGGGGACTGGACTGTTCATCCCAAGTGCCCAAGCCACAAGCTGAAGTGCGTGATTTAGAGTTTGCTTGCTGGTTCGTGTTTGCTACCCAGCCGAAGCGAAATTCGCGATGTCTCTGCAGGTGTTGGTTTTTAACAGGTATAGTGAGCCTTAGAAAGGTAAGCTACGGGCCGCGATGGGGTATCTTGGAATAGGGCACAGTTTTTTTCTTGCATCAGGTCCCCTACTGTTTGTGGAATAATGGGTATGCGTGAGTTTGCACTTGGACGCTGCTCGTATATGCGATTAAGTCTTTCGGGCCTTCTGCTGGGCACGTTGCATTCCACAGAAGAGTTGTGACTCTCCAAAGCGACGCTCTACTTCGACTCTGGGTTCTCACTGGCCTCCAGCCCCCCAAACATCTGCTTACCTCTGGCGTTGGACAGGCTCGTATGTATGACGGGGCTTGCGGGTTGGTGTGCCAAACCAACTTCAAAGCCGCAAGACTCTAAGAACATTAAGAACTTCCCACTCACAGGTATTCAACTTCCTGTCCTCCGGGCTGCATGCTGCAAAGAACATCGACACGGTGCGCCAAGCAGTAAGTGCGATTTAGGGGTGGTTCTGAAGGGAGGGGTTCATTTTCTCTGAGGTTTTTGCAATGTTTATGGAGGAGCAACAGGCCTCCACTACTTGGACCTATTTCATTCGACGCTAGTATGCCTGGAAGGATTGTCGTGGCTACCACGATTGACGACAGAATGAACCCTAGCTTCCCCGAATCTCAAACCCCTTTGAAGCCCCTTAAGCTAGAACTCCACAGCTTCCCCAAGTCAATAGGGACTTCTTGGATTCACTATGGCAAGAGGCAAGGGGTTTAGGGTACTTAACACCAAGCTCTCAGGGCTAAAGCCTCAACCGCAAGATGAAAACATCGATCAGAAGTGTTGACACCGACCCGCAATAAAAGCGGGTTTAGCTGGGCAAATTATAGCGAGCCCAGCGAGCTCAGCAAGGCGAGGTACGCGGTGTGAATTGTGAATTAACGCCTTTTTGTTTTCCTCACCCCCAAAAACACGAATTGCAGCAAATTCACTCGGACACCCCAAGCCTCCGGGGAGTCAAAAGATAAATGCTCCAAAGTTTTGAGCTAAGGACCCGCTGAGAAACTCCCCCCCCCCCCCCCCCCCCCTCGCCCCGTCCCTCCCCCTCCCCTCCCCCCCCCCCTCCGCCCCCCCTTTCCCCCCCTCCCCCCCCCCTCCCCCCCCCCACTCCCCCCCCCCCCCCCCCCCCCACCGCCTTAAAAACAACGAGTTTGCAGCAGAACAAAACCCCCCCCCCACCCCACACACAAAAAAACACCACAACCCCACAGCCCCCCAACAAATGAATCAGCCGTAGATTCGTGGGAATGCTTTCCTCAGGCTTCTGTTTCGAGGTTCTCCTAACAATTAGCAGCTAATTCATTGGAAGTGATAGAGTGCCAATCAGAGTAGGAACCTCTGGCCCGAGCTATGGCCAGAATTCTGAAGCCGAGGTACCAAGGTTTTTTTGGAGGTGAGAACATATTTTGAAATAAGGGGCCGTTCTGAAATAAGACAGCGAATTATGATAATTTGGCCAGGTTCAGGTCTTCAGGCCGTTGGGGCTTTGCAGTCTCAGGGTCAGCGATTGAAGACGGGCTTGGGAACTTCAAAACTTCTGTTCTTCAGGGCTCAGGCGATTTCAGGGTCTATGATGTTGCAAGACCCGCAAGACCCTTCGTACGATCTTGGAATCAGGTACTGTACGAAACCTTAAACCCCGCCCTCAACGCCGGTTTGGGTTTAGGGTTTGAAGCCCACGAAGATCGTTTTAACCTTCAGCCACAAATTTTGCCAAAGATGAGGCCATCCTACAATGCCCCCTGCCCGGTGGTGATGGTGGCGGTGACGATTCTTGGTACCGTGTTTGCTTGACAAGTCTTCCGGGATTGGCTTGCTTTTATGTGTGGCTAGGAGGTTGAAGATGGTTGAAGAATGTTTAAGGTTCGCAATTTGGGTGGCTCTTCCAATTCCAAAATCATACTCTAGAACCCTGCGAACTCCTGGTTCCAGTATGCAAGCCGCAAGCAAAGAAAAGGCCCCCGCACCCGCAGAAAAGTTTGAAACTCGGATGCGCACCAAGACAAAAAGCAACACGCACGAGTGGACTTTCGAGTCACGGTCCAAGCAGACTTGGGCATCCGCTTCAAGAGCTTAGCTCCAAGCCAAGCCGTGGCACAAATTCTTTGGCAACAGTTCCGGAGGCGCCGAACGCCCTAACCCTAACCGACACAATGAAGTTTCAACTTCGACCATCTCGAAGCTTTCCCTACCCCAAAAGCCATTTTTTTCACCCTAGGATGGTGGAGACGATGGCAGTGATGGCGGTGATGGTGGCGACGGTGGCGACGGCATCTTGACAGGTATTAGACGATGTGAAGGCTTTATGCTTGGTCCAAGGCTCCGGCTCGAAATGCTAGAAAGAGGGATCTTGAGGGCGGTTGATCTTATCAGTGCTTTTGGCTAGACGGCTAGACGGGACTCATTGTTTACCGAGGAGTGATTTGGAGTTTGGGAGACCTTTGGATTCTGCCCTTTTGGCACAAAAGCCCCAACCCCCATTGCTAATCCTGAGCTTCCACAAGCTTGGGCCAAGACGGGAAGTGCACCAGCAAACACGGGTTTTCAAGATCCCTGCGCCACAGCACCAGGATTTGGAGAGCTCATGTTTCGTTTTGTTCAAGACAGCCCAAGAGTGTGTCGTGCAGAGGTATCGCGCGGTCTTCTCAGACCCTACGACCCTAACCTGCAAGCAACGTTCAAGCATCAAACTTCGGACAAATTGAAACAACCTGCAGCTGAGTCCCTGGCCACTGTCCGCACTCTCATCGGATGTGCAAGCCCAAACCATTGATGGCTCAAAGTCCTGATCCTTACCTATATCTATGTACATCTGCATCCCGAATTGTCTTCAGCGTGCAGCATCAGGTCTTCACCCAAACGCCCAACATTCCAAACCAGGTGGCAGCAGTGCTTCCGCAACGACGCAGGGAGCTCGGAGTGTGTTGCAGTGTGTTTTCGTGTGCTTTTTCGGGTCCTCAAGTTCTCAACCCAATGCTTATATGTTGGTATTGGTTACCAACAAAATAGCGTTTGCTGTCCAAGGATTGGATACCTTCAAGGTCTAGCCTCAGGATCGAGGGAACTCTGCTTTTCGGTTCCCTATTAGACACACAGGCATATGTACACTTGAAACGCAGCAGAGCTCATGCCCGACGGTAGCCCCCAAGCCCAAACCAGGTCATCCCAACCTGAACTGCACCACCCTCAAGATCTTTGAAGGCTTCTTCGGTACTTACGAATCTATCTACCTATCTAAGCTATCTATCTATCTATCTATCCATAGATAGATAGATATATATCTATATGTATGCATATGAAGCCCTGAATTCTGTTCAGCGTCCGCAAGCCCTCAAGAAGCAAACAGATCCTCCACTTAACCTCGCTTTCTGAGTGCTTTCCCCTGCCTTGTGATCCTCCTCGAACCTTTCCAAGAATCTGACATGGTGCATGGGGCATGCAGGACCCTCCCATAAAAAAACGAAATCAGTCGCCAACGGGCAGGGCGGCACCCCCGCCCGCCCTGACGCCCGACCAGGCATCTGTTGATGAGTTTGGGTTTCAGGGTTTAGGGTTTGAGGAGTTCAGGGCATCAGGACTTGCGATTGCAGAGCATTTTGTTTTCAGAGTTGCAAAGTTAGATGGTTTCGGGATGTTTTGGGTATTATGATGTGGGCTTCAGGGTTCTAGGCGTGCTGCAGGCAAGGGTCCGCCTCTCCTCTGCTGCCCACCTCTGCAATGGGCTCCCTCGCTCTCACTCGGGTTTTCGGGTAGGAGCATCTGCATGTGGCCCGTTGAATCCGTTGAATGACTAGAACCTAGTTGCAATGGAGCTGGCATGGCATGGTTGTCGACCCTGAGAACGTCTTATTCGCAAGCTCTTGAACCCCTAACCCTATGATCCCATGTTCGGTAAACGGCCTCTTGACTGCGTTTCGGTTGGTTTGGGTCGCGGGTGCCCCTTCGGGGCCTTCCAAGTTCCCAGCCTTTTCGTTTTCCCAAACGAACATGTCTTCCTCTGCTAAACCAGTGACGAGTATGTGTGAAGCTCGAACAAGCTCGCTGTAGTGACTGCAGTCGGGATTTACTTCTGAGTTTTGGATGCAAATGTGGCATAGTCGCTTGGCTGTTGTTTGGGTTTAAAGAGCATATAGTCAACGGCCACCGCTCTTAAACCCCAGAAGCCTCAGCTCTCGATGACAAGACCCCCCAAGTTGAGAGCCTGGGCTTGAAAAGATTGAAGTAGAACGCGGTCAGCTGCTCAAGTGGGAAAGATGCAACCCTACGCGAAATTCCGTCGACAATCAAGAAGGTCTTTCAGAAGTTTCCCGAATCATGAAGTGGTCACCCTATCATGGGAGGTGTGGACGGCTTGTGAGCCCGTTCACCACATTTCAAACCCAGCAAAAGAACCTGACTGCAGCGAAGTTGATCCACAGTTTGAAAGTGAACCGTCCTCAAGTTCAAGGAAGCTGTTCGATTGTTGCACTTCGAAGACAGCCATGCAGCAGTGCGGGTCTAGGTTTGTTGAACCGTTCGAAATCCTTAGAGATATGCAGGCTCTCTGTGTTTGGAAGGCCCTCATTGCGAGACATGCCCCATTACAACAACATCATATCCGCATCTCCGGCTCCAGGTCGCGCAGTTCTATCCGAATGGGGCCGGCAACTGAGCTTTCCGTGTGGGCCAGGAGATTGATTCAGGGGAAGGATGGGGGCTGTGTAGCGCCGGATGTGAAAGTTGTGTTGCCCTCTAGTTGATTACATCCAAGGCTTCTGGGAGCTTCTACTATTATGAGCTTCCCAGCACCCAACCATAACCGCTTGTTTGGAACCCCTTGCAGACCCTGAGATGCCGAGTTTTCAGTATCGTTCGAGATAACCATGGAAAGCCTGCGGCATCTTGCAGCTGCTGTAGCGGAAGAATCAAGGCAGCGTTTAGTAAATTTAGTATGCTTCAGACAGGTACAATAAAGCCAAAGTGGAATCCTAGTTACCCTAAATGCTAGACCCACATTTACTGCCAGCCCGACGGCGCACCACCTGTTCTCGCAGCAAGCCCTAACCGCCAGAGCCTCGCACATCTTAGTGCCAGGTTGTGTTTAGGCTTTCGTCTTTGGGGTCCTCGCGGAGTGGCGAATGAGGGTTTCATAAAGTGTGACGGTTGTCGGATCTCCTAGCCTTGTTTTGGGGGCTGGGCAAGCAATTGGGGGCGTGTGGGGTCTTTGAATGGCTCAGGTTGCTTGATCGTCTGCAGTACTCACAGGGAAGATAGAGCACAAGGTTCCAGCAGGGAGGTACTAGTAGCAGGCATGCAGTTGCGAGTTGCAAGGGTCATTACAAATACTTCCAGTGCAGAAGTGCCAATCCAGCAATCGAAGCGCGACGTTTGCAATCTCGCGGCAGACCTGTGAGTTTGATGTACATCCTGCCATTGAATCGAGGTGGGGCGGGGGGAGGATGTTTGGGTCTAAGTTGTAAATCCGGGTTTGAAGTATCTGCGTGCTACTATTGTTGTGGTAGTTGTCGATGTCCGCAACTTTCAGGGCACAAATCCATCGAAAAGTCGTGTTTGGCAGTGCAAGATGTGACTCCCAACGGGGTTCTGCAGCTCCGGTCACTCCGGTCCTGCTCAGCCGACGTTATGCACAGCAGCCGAAGCACAACGAAGCACATCAAACCACGGCTTCGTCACTATATTTAAATTATGATTATACATATCTCTCATAATCTTCTTGATATCTTAAAAATGGACCACGTAACGGTGATGCTCTTAATTTAGATATTGATTTAATACTTGTAGTTTTATTTGTACGATAATGTGTACCACAATATGAATGCTCATTTTGTTTTGTAACATTTGTTATTTGATCGGCAAATAATTCAATACAATAATCATTAGGTGAAAAGTGGAACAAATGAAAAACAATATACCATGCAATGGTAACACAACATTGAGTCAGGACTTTGAAGGACTCTCACCAATTCGAACTACATTTAGACGAGACAAGTTCTTGAAATTGTTGAATTTAATACTAATTTTGCTGATGATACGTATAAATAGTTGAGATCAAGCTATGTTTACATATGGTCACCCCCGAACACTAGGCCCCGCGAGCACATGTGTGGGTCCTGAAGTCTCACCTCCAAGTGAGCACTTGAACGCTTGGAGTTTAGGAAACAAACAATACCAAGGAATGCAACATAGGCCTTTCCCAGAAAGTCCTGTGAACAACATCAGAGGCTCAGATTTTCCAGTGCCCCGCGCCCGTATGCCAGGAGGGATCTCATCGCGCTTCCTGATAAGGATTCTGGCAGCGGCCAGCCCCAAACCCAAAACTCCCAAGGCTGAACGCTCTGTATGAACGAGCCTTTGAACTCAATAAGCGCTTGAGGGGGCCCGCGTTGACTTAAAATGGTGAATTCTACCGTCCTCATTGCCTAAGGCCTGCTGCTGGGATCATCACTGCGTGGCAAAGGTGAGCGAGGTACCTCGTAGGTTGCACGGACATACTTTCTTACCCATTCAACTTGTTGGGATTGCTTCGAGTCCTTTATGTTAAAAAGCCGACAACCCTGGACTTCCGTCCCCTTATCACCCAAACGCCTGCACAAAAACTCCCGAAGTTCCGTAGCTCGATTGCAGCGTGCAGGAGGGCATCCATCAAAGCCTGCAGCCGAATCCCCTTCAGTTCTTCCGACGTCCGCAGAGGGCGCGGGCGCCGAGTCTTCAAGCCACCAGTTGGTCCAGCGGGCGGCCCTCAAATTCCTAGAACAGGTCAGGTATCCCAAGCCGAACATAGGCCCTGCAAGCAAGAACGGTCACGACTTCCGCTGAGGCTTAGAGTTTAGGGTTGACCCGAAGCCCAAGCACCTGACTGATCGGCCGCTGAGCCCCAAACCCGGAAAACTGACGTGCTGCGCTTCGCAGGCAGGGCCTTCTTTTTGTTGGTTTTGGATCTTTGCGATTCAGGGATGTTCCGGGTTCTGGAAAGGGCCTTTAGGAGAGTCAAAACCGATGCGTTGAAACTGGAACCTGCGGGATGCCTTTCACGCTCGGTACAGCTGGCACGGTGGTCTTTTGCGTTTCTTTTCACTTTAGCAGCTCCTGTGCCTCGTATCCAGAACCTTGGGCCAAGCCGCAGAATTCCCTGCAATGTGGACTGAACTTGTTGAGGCATTTGCTTCGCGTCAGGCAAGCCCAGATGAAAAAAAAAGATTCTGACAGCGGACGGAGCTCAAAAGAGGTGCATGTGGTCAAGGCCAAGGCTCGAAGTACGCGCATGGTGCCTCAACGTGCCTCATTTCGTCACGTCAACGGCATCAGGGAGGGAACGGTTCCGTCAACCATAGATGAAGCACATAATTGTTAACGCTTGCGCGCGCCGCCTCGGCAGCCGGGCAGGCCCCAGGACAGGAAAGGAGGAAAGGGGGAGGAAGGGCAGCGGGGTTAAAGGGGGGGGGGGTGGGGGGGGGGGAGGGGTTTTGAGGGACTCCCCCTGTAGGAGCCACCGACAGGCGGGACCTTCCACGGCATCGGTTTGCAGCTCCTCCAAGCGATTGGGGGGGGTCCCACAGGGCGGGGGGGGGGGGGGGGGGGGGTGGCGTCACAAAATTTTGCATGGGGGGAAGGGTTGGGTTAGGGGGAAGGAGGCCCGATCCGGGTCTGCTTGTTCCAGACGCTTCTCGGCAGGAAGCCGAGGCGAATCTCTTCGTTGCGTTGCACCAAACCCCGCTGTTCTAGAAAAAGAGGAATGAATCGGAATGACCACTTGTGGCACTCAGTGCGAGTGAAATGATGCTCGACAAACGCCAGAAGTCCTTCGCTGCTGCTCCCGTCCAACGTCCAAGCGTGTGTTGTTGGGGAAGAAACATGAAGCAAGAGTTTGCTTGTGACATGAATCTTTTTTTTTCGGGGACATGAAGCAGGCTTGTGTTCGTTGCCATCGCATCTTGCGATACTTTGCGTCGACGATGGCTTAGGACCCGTAGCTTCTTGCCACTCTTCATTGGGCCATTCCTTTCTTCTTCTTGAAAATGTGTCGGCCATCGCTCGGCCACCACGGCCTTTGCCCTGCCCTTTCGACCCTTGACGCCTTTAGCAGTGCAACACGGTGCAACTTCTTTTCGCGGAACCTACGCTGGAACCATGTGCAGGACTCGTCGTAGGTGCAGAAGCATTCCTGAACACATCCAAAAGCCCCTCCACTCCATCTATTTCATCTTCTCACCAACAGCCTTAAGGTTGTCTTCGAAAGTACCTTTGTCGAGGATGAGGAAGCTCCTCCTCGGTGCTCCTTTAAGGAGCCAGCAGAGGATTGTCGACTGTGGTCCGGGTTGTGCAGAACACTTTTCAGTACACAGTGTTCTGCTTGTCGGCTTTATGGTCGTGGATGGTCCCCGTTTTCTATGTGCCATCAAGGCTGTGAGAAACTGTCGTTGATCCGGATCAAGCCGGTGTCCGCACATGATTTTTGTGCAGCCCATTGTAGGCTGCCTAAATGAAAAGGCTGCATCTTATCGTAGTTGATGTTTCTTTGAAGTTGGTCAACACCTGTCTCTCTGTAATCTGCATCGTTGGTCGGTGAACAGCCAGGTCTTTTGCAGCTTTACAGGGTTGCCTTACGAGATTCCCTGCGGGTATGACTTGTGTACGATTTTCTGCGAAGTTGCAATCTGTCGAATGTCGTCGCGCGGCTTAAGTACCGCAAACAAATCGTTCGAGGTTCGGGAGTTTTGCGCATCAGCGCGCTGTGTTAGTGCTGCGAAGTTGCTTTCGCGCTGCACGTACTGCGCATATGTTAAACAACGTCCATGGCGGCTCCGGCAGTATGCTCGCGCTACGAAAAGCCAGGTCGGGGCCCCCGAAGTTGTTTTAGCACCAAGGTTTCCGTTCTAGGAAAGAGCTGTCACGTTTCAAAATGGGTTCCCGCGCACAGGATTCAGCTGCGCGACATGCCGTGCGCAGGCGTACGCAGGTTTCAGCACCACGACACGCCGCGGCCACCAAGAGGGTTGGCACGATTGAAGAAAGTCACCCATTTTGCATTCGTCCCGCTAGCATTGCCGCGCTGGTAGAACATAAGCTGTAATGAAAGGGAGACGACTTTAATGCGAAGTCATCCAAGCACATCATTATGCTGAAAAGACCTTCGAAAGGCTTTCCGGAACTGATTCTGATGCGTAAAGCCAAGTCCTTCGTCGAATCCTAAACACCAGCGTGCATGGGCCGCTCAGCTTCAGACCTTGTTTGGCCACAGCACTGACAAAGAACGCCTTGTACATGTAAACCCCGATTTTAGCATATAGGAAGTCAGAGCTAAATGCCAGAAATTTGTCGGTTCTCGGCCACTGGGTTCATGATGAGATGCCCCCGAATGCCCAATCCCCAACAAGCCCGCCCCAGATTTCTCTGAGGCCTGGAGTGAGGCGGCGGTGTCCCGCTATGGCCGCGTTGCTTAGAGTTCGAGAGCCTGTTAAGCCGACAACCCCGTGCATGCCTGAAACCTTGCCGAGCTTCGGATTTAGGATGGCTTCAGGCTTGATCATGCTTTGTACAGGTTCGGTGGTTCAAGTTACGTGACGCATGTTGAAACCAGCACCAAACGCAGGGGTCTCGAGCGGCTTGAACGGTGCAGCAAAGCTGCTTCCATCTCTCAAGGTGAACAACAGGGCTGCCAGTGCTCAGACATGCTCTGCTAAGTCTTGAAGCCATTCCCCATCACCAGCCGGCGCTTCCCGGCCCTTCCCTGCAGCTGGAGCACTCGGCATGGCAGCCCTGATAGCGGCAAGGCGACTTGTTCCAAGCCGGAATTGCAAGCGAATGAGCAGTCCAGCGTTTCATGGGCCGAGACTCATGCTGGCGCCTTGACATGCCTTAAACCTTTGGCGCCCAATCTTCATGCCCGCATAACCATGTGCAGGAGGATTCTTTTGGGTATAGGATTGACATGATTGAGCTGATGGCTTAGTGTTTCGGCGTTTAGGAGTGCTTCGAGGACTCGCCCTCCATTGTTTCACCTTTCTAGATTCCTTCACTCATGGTCGGTCCGTGACATTCGATTGAACCATGTGACACTCCTGTAGGGGACCCCTTGCCACGATTCGGTTCGTCAGAAAGTGGATCTCTGAAACTACTTCTCGGACATCGAGAGCCTTCCCCGCAAAAGCAAGACTCCGAACCCTAAGCCGAAGCCTAAACACATGGCGGCTCTATGTCTCAGAACACGTTTAGTGAGACCTATAGACTATGACGAGCTCGATGACATGGGCTGGATCACGTCTGCTATGGGTTCTGAAGGCATTGCTTGAAACGGCTTTGACTGGGGAGTTCTCCGTTTGGTACCGTGCGGTCTCTGGTAGACTCGGGGTGTTTGAGGGCTTTAAGGACAACTTGGATCTAACAGTCATCGGTGGAAACCAGCTAGGACAGCTCGTCTTCAAAGGCAAAGACGAGTCAGAAGTGTGCCAGTTCGGGCAGCTGCAAGCCTTTTCATGCTAAAGCCTTGAAGCACAGATTTGGGAGCCAGGCCTCTTCCAACCCAGCCCCGCGAGCCTCCTTCCCAATCGAAGCCGGAAGGTGACATACAGTGACATGTGCGCACCCCATAGCCATCGGCACATCTGGGCTTCCGGGGTGTGCTCCTGGCGATTGAGGGTTTCAACGCTGCTTTTCAGGGTTCCAGTTGGCTGTTGGAAGGTTGAGGGCCTAGGGTTCAGGGTTGAACCAGACGGAGCTGACGGAGCTTGACCCAACGCCGGGCAGAAACCCTGCATGACAGATTCCGCACCCCACCGCCTATCCCAATGTTTGCACCTTCCGGCTAGAATAAACAGAACTCGAAACTCGAAGCTCGAGCAACCCAGGCCTGAGCTCAGAATTCTGCCTCTCGATGTGGCTGCCCGAGCTGGTTTGCCAGAAGCAGCTCCCCTCAGCTTCTGAGCGCTTCATCCGCTTCATCCTCCTAGCGCGCCCATTCGGCAACTGACGGAACTATGGCAGTGGACGTCCGAACGGTGGTTTCTCCTAGCAGTCTGTGCACTGCCCACACTTTCTTTATAAGACCCGTTGCCCTAAATTGATTCTAAACCTTCTTCCCCAAATCTGTACTTCCCAAACTTTACACCCGACAAAGTCATAGACACCGTACCCCGTTAGCCACGGATAGTCTCCGCTTTTACAGCTCAGAAGACCCTGAAACAACATCGGTTGGGTGGATTGGGGGTAGTTGAGGACGGGCCTCGAAATTCAAAAAACAATTCTGAAGCCGACATTTTGTGTGCGAAGGGTTTCGTAGAGCAACCTGTTAAGGCTCAATCCATGCTCGGCCCCCACCAAAGCTTCCTAACTCTCGGCCTGCCAATTCGGCCCTAACCCAATTCGGACCTAGTCTTCCGTCCACTGCCATGAAGCTTGATTTCGATGACTTGTTGTACTGCAGATTTCCACTGCATGCAAGCAGTTGAAGTTTTAGAAGGTTGTGGCATCCAAGGGTTTAGGCCGAAAGCCCGAAGTCCAATCAGTGAATGGTAAGACTCTCTGCTGTGCCTCGGCCCACAGTTTTCATCTTCATGCTGTTTGGGAGGAACCAGAAGTCTACATCTTCACTGTCGCCCTAGTCAAACTTATCAAAGTGATCCTTCCTCTCCTTCTTGCTGCGCAGGAGTCGGACCATGATATAAGTTATATTGGGGGTTTCTTGCAACATGAGGATCTACAGTGCTCAGGGACAGCTGTTGCCGTTGTTTGGCAGATATCAGTATATGTACAGGTTCTGAGTGTGAAGAACCCAAAGAGCAGACCCACGTAGAAGCAGGACTTAGGTAATCAACTGTGGCTGCAAGGCAGTCTGCATGCCGAAATCGTAGGATTCTCTGCTTGAGTCTCCTGCTTTTGATCCAGCCAGCGCACTGTATTGGAGATGGTTTGAGAAAAGTCGCAGGCTTCTTGCCTCGACACAAGGCACAGGCGAGGTGCAAGGCTTAAAGGGTCCAGTGTGGGGGGATAGAGGGCTGCAGTGTTTCACGTTGCAGTGGCAGCCTCTGAATTGCAACGTGCTTCAGGGGCTCATCAAAGGCATCTCGGCTTTCGTATGATGGAAGAAGACACGAACAAATACGTGCCATCAATCGAACTGCCTGCAAGCGGCACGTGCTTCACTCTGACAACTTTCTTTTTTTGGTATGGGGATAGCGGAATGTGTCTTGAGCTGCATGCGCGCAAGGACTTTGTTGTTCATATTGCAGACTGTCACGAATGTTTCGATTTCTTTCGGATCCTTCCCCGAGCCCGGTCCGAAATCCGCGCTCTGTCGTGAGAGCCCTTGTCGGTCCTCTGCACCTTCTCGGTCTTTGCGGCTTCGGCTCCGCAGCTTGTTCTTGGAACCTGTGAGGCCCGCCCGATCCGCACATAGCTTGCAGGAAACTCTTGTCGTCTGCACACGCACTGACATCAACGTCATCTTTGACCATCTCAGGCTCCATAGCGGATCTTGAATAGCAGATGCACGCTTGAAAGTTGGAGCGAATTCATCGACAACCTGTGACTCTGCAATTTCCTATGCGTCCTAGCCCCATCCCCTACATCGAGGTCTAGTCTGGGGGCACTGCTTCCTAGTCAAACGTCCCATGACAGCGTTCCTTTCCGATGCCTGCAGATGGGAGCTGTGGAGGCAAGCACCCGGAAGCCTAGACCACCAACCTTTCATGGCTGGCAGTCTTACTTTTTAGATGTTTAACTGGCACATGTTTTCTTCGTGCCAGCGTGCCCCGATCCCCCGATCCCAAATGCTCCGCCGCGGAGTGCTGACAATTGCTGAAATTCGGGGGAATGCTTGAAGTACTTCGTTTTCGTGGGCTGATTAACTTAGGATGCAGGGTCTTTGGCTTGCGGCGAGACGGTCCCCGAAATGCATGCCAAACACTAGAAAAGCACAAGGCTTAAGAGCTGTCGGTTTAGGATTCAGTGTTCAGCGTGTTCAGGATGGTTCTGACATTTGAAGCCTTGTATGGACGGCCTTTCAGTAAGCAGAATCTCGATGACTAAAGCAGCAGTGCAGCTGCGAACAACAGATTTGTTCGGCAGTGCCGTGAGAGACGGTCGTGTCTTTTGCGCATGCGAGGCAAGTCGTGCCGACAGGTGCTGGTTAACAAACAGAAGAAGTTCCAAAGAAGCAGGACTAAATCCTCTGCAAATCTCGGCTCCCAGCAAAGCTTTCCTGATTGCAACAATGTGCAGTAAGGTATAAAGTTTAGGGACATCCCTGACCGAGACGAAGCGCCACAATCCCAAACCAGGGTCCTGCCAATGTCCTCTTGACCGCTATCTCAGGGTACCAGGGGTTAAAGCCCGAAGCCGTATAGACCCAAAGTCGTCAAGTCGTCAAGAGATGCGGCAGGCCCAGGCCGTTGTGGACTCGCCCAGCAGCTCCTCCACAGAGCACCTTTGCATTTGACTTTCGGGATTCGCATGTTTGGGGAGTTTTGTTGTCCAAGAGGGCACGCAAGGAGCGGACTTGGATGTAGAAAGAACTCGAAATCAGAGCAGAGATTTACCTGTCGGCAGGCCTGGAACCCTAAACTCGATAAGCCAGGGTAGCTGCGAAAGCGCGGAGCTTTGTGTTCTTATCTGGGGCTTGGGGGGATGAGAATGTGCAAGGCTCAGGCATCCTCCTTTGGACTCTTACAGTTGCAGCGTCGCCGGCTCTCTTTCGGCCGTTGCTTTTCCGGCCAGGGTTCACGGCCAAGGGATCAACACACCTTGAAGGTACAGCGACGATGGCCACCATTCTGCAGAGAGGCTGGGCAAGGGATGGGAGATGGGCTACTGGAGAAGGCCAGCAGCAAGGAACTGCCAAGCATAACCCTGAAAGCTACGCCGCGAATCCCTCAGACCTTGCCAGCATGATTCTGCGTTTCAAGGGGGCAAGTGCTCGAATGTTCAGGCAAGCACTTGGGCTTAGTGACATGCTTGCATGTTCGGGCGTGAGCAGCGACCAGAGGTACATGTTCAATTCGAAAATGAACCGCACTAGGACATGCTTCCACATATCTGTAATGTCTATAAGTATACCTATATATCTGTAAACCTCTAGATCTACATATCTATAGATCTACAGATCGATATGTCTCGGCATTTCTCTGGAACACATGTGAAGAAGCTTTTGAGCTCATCGTGAATATCGGAGTTTTCGCAGCTTCACATCAGACAAACAGAATCAATGCAGCAATCTGAATCGCAAATTCAGGTAGAGCTGGAGAAGAAGAGCGGTAGATCATGCGGGCGGGGGTGATTACATATATACACATATATATATATATATATGTTTCTTATACAGAGACACATGGCGGGCGCCGGTTGACGCGACCTGAAGCGTTCTGCGAAGCCGCGTTACCAGGACCAAGCAGGCGAAGCCAAACTAGGAGGCGAAGACGCATGGCGAAGCCGTATTGCGAGGACAAGGTTATGGGACAGGCGCAGACGTATTGCGGGGTTGAGGACATGCGGCCTTGTCCGTTTCGGCCAGCGTCCCTTCGCCTAGCTTGGAGAGAGAGATATAGCGAGAAATCTAGAGATGGAGCCGAAGGCGAGCTGCTTCCGAGAGCAGTGAGCCGGAGCCCAGGGTTGGTTTATGGGGGCGGGGGAGAGGGAGGGACTTCTGGTCGCAAGGTGATGGGATGAAGGGTTTTGCAGGCGAACTCCTGGCAAGTTGTCGTTAGTTGATGGTCGAGCACATCATGGGTTGCCCAGGGCTCTGAGACTCGAGGGCTTTCGAGGGCCTGTGTGGAAGTCCGAAGCGCAAAATCTCATCCCCCGGAAAAATTCGACCCAGCAGGGCTGGAAGCTTATGTTCTTGTGTTTCTGAAGCCATGCAGCTTTAACCCAAAACCTTTGAACCGTTCGCTTCTCTGGTGAGAACGGCCAAGTATGAAGGCTTCAAGGGAATTCAGGGCTTCAACAGATGCCTTTTTTTTACCTCGTCTACCAGAAAAGAGCACATCGGCACGCTGAATCGCAGACAAGGGCAACCAACCACTGCAGAACTTCGGCAAGCCCCGCGTGCCCCCATTAAGCTCCTTCAACCGCAATGCCACATCCACAAAATCTTCCTCATGAAAGCCTCCGCACCCCCTACCCTCGCCCTGTGCTGGCCTAAACAGTCCAACTCGATGCCCAGGTCTCTTGAGACCTCCGCGAGACGTGAGAAGGCTGAGGCATGTTGGAAAAGGCTTAAAGGCTTCAGTTGCTTTAGTCAACTCTAGTTGCTCAGTTCGAGGGTTTTTTCGTTCGGCTCCCGATATCACAGGCATGAGTGTGAGGTGTTCGTTTGCAAGTGTTCTCCAAACCTCCACACTCCAACATCTGCGAATTTTCTAATCCAAACCAGGAGGGTTCAATACCGGAAAACATTCTGCAATGCCACCGAGCTTCTGACGCAACAGTTTCAAAGGCATCTTCATCCAAGTAGCATTTCCTTGGCTACACCGCTCCGTGCAATGGGACAGATGAAGTGTATGTTGGGGGGATGACTCTGGCACTTCGAACTGCACACCAACCGCAAACCCGGCCGAGCCCAGTGAACCTCAACACTTTAGATGTATTGCGCAGCCCTGCGCTGCTTGTTGCGAATGTCATGAGTTGGCATTTTGGGACATGTCGGCACATCTTGCAGAGTGTTCTCGCGGTGTCTTGCTAGGGTCTGTGTTCGGATATCCACCAATGCACACGTTTCAGGGAATGCCGCTTTTAGTCTTCTAATTCTAAGCCCAAAGCCATAAATCTCGACAACGAGCTTTCTTTCTTTCTTTCTCAGGTGGCTAAAAACAGTGGTGGGATGAAACTGAACACGGAACCTCATCCTGAATGCAAACAGCCTTGAATCTCTGCACCCTCACCCCCATGGCCAGGTCGTGCCCGGCTCAGCGTGGATGCTTGCCGGCAATTTGTTTGAGAGCTTGAAGCAGAAAAAATGCCTGAGTGCCCGAAAGAGACTGAAAACTGAGGGCTTGCTGCTGCTCCGATGTGGAAAGAGGGTCGAAGCAGCTGATCTCTGCCACTCTCCGCAGGCTTCAAGGGCCTGAACGGGGCTGCAAGGGTGCCATGGTATTCCATGGTTTTTGCATGCCGCATCTACGCAGCCCACGCATTCCTAGGATGGCCTTGTGTAGTTGCCCCAAACCACCCCACCTTTATATTAGCAGTTCTTGTTTGGGTCGATATAGTACCCCCGATCAGAATCCCGATTGACACCCTGACACCCCACCTTTGAAGCTTGGGAAGCTGCGTTCACAATGAAGAGGCCCAGCTCCTCCGCGCAGCACTCCCTCCGCTCCAGTATGAGGCTGGGACCTTCGCGCTTGCTTTCGGGTTTCTCCAGTGCAAGTTTTTCAGATTGAGATTACGTGCAAGGCTGCAGTTGCACGCCAGCAGGTCTGCAAGTTCCGGGAGCTTTGACGCGGCTCCACTCCAGAAGGAGAAGGAGGTGCATTCCTTTTGTCGTCATGCTAGTTTGGAGGAACGCATGTTAACATGAATCATGTCTGATAATTCCACACAGTAATTTCGCGAGTCTAACAGCGACGACACAGCACTCATGCAACTCATTGGACAAGCACGACAGCTGCGTATGTTGCTGGAGAGGGCGGGGTGCTGCATGCCTTCAACCCCCTGGTCTGATTGAAGCGCAAGTGGGCCTCATTTTGCGGCAATGGCTTCTCAGGAAGACGATGCTTCTGCAGTTTGCCTTTGAACAACCATGGCCTCCTCAAATGCTGCAAAGATCATGAATCATCCAGCCTCCATTGTGTCTTTCTTTCTCAAACCTGAAGCATCTGTCAAACAGAGCATGACCAGGACCCTTTCTTGCAAATGCCAGCAGCACCTGGGCCGACTCCAGCCAGTCCATCAGCGGATGCACCGCCAACCGAATTGCCCGAGGCGACGCCAGCATCGACAAGGCACCAATGTTCAATTTGAACGGGTCTAAAGAACCGATTTGTCTATGTTTGTGTGTGCAGTTCGCCTTTCGATGGGAAATGCAAGCGAACTGGTAAGGTGAGCTTTGAGAGCACGAGCTCAAACCACGCAGGTCCCAAACCCTCGACCGCCGCCTGGCGAAGCTGCGTGCAGCCGTCGCCCTGCACCGCCCGAGTAAAGAGGCAGTTGCCCCTCATCAGGAGATATCAGGAGTGCACTTCTTCAACACAGGGCTTCACGGATTTATCTTAGGATCTGCGGTGCTCCTGACGCCTGAAGGTCGGAAGTCGTCCCCGTCAGGTTTTTCTGGGCTAGCCGGAGCAATTCATGTAAACTCTCAAAACAGCTCGCGGCCGAAAGCCTATTGGCAAGGTTCCTGCCGCAGACGACAGCGATACAAAGTCCGAGTCCGCATACTCTGCGCGGAGTGACGCTTGGCGGTCATAAAAATAAAACGCTTTTACAGGATTTTGCCACCTTTTTCCTAAACTTCCGAGGAGGCCAGGTTGGACCCAACCATAAAAGCCCCGGAGCACGAAGTCCCAGACTCCACAGCACAACTTTGCAGCATGTTGGAACCCTGAACTTCAAACTCCCCAATTCCGAAACCGCAACGTGCCAACTCCGAATCACTTTTGTGTTTTTTGAAGACTCGGTCAGGGAGCCCAACGCAACTTGAAAGTTCCGATGTGTTTTGAATTGAAGGTGTCCGGAAGTGGTCTTGGGGCTTAGTATCATCTAGGAATCTAAGAATTTAAGAATCTAAGAATCTAAGGTTCAAGGCTTGAGGTTCAAGGGTTCAAGCTTTGGTTGCTCTACGCTCTGGTCGACACATGAGCGGTGCCTAGCAATGTCTAGCACATGTGCCCGAGCCTTTTTAACTGAATCTCAGAGGCCAAGAAGCAACCACTCCGCTTCCCCCCCAAAAAAATGTTGGGCTGTAGAAGTGAGGATTTCTCAGTTCAGACAGCCGTGGTCGCGCAGCATAGCCAAGCACAGCCACAAGACGCAGCAGGTGGGCATGTGTTTCGGTGGGCACTTGCAGCAGACGGTGGGTGAGAACCACCTTCAATGGGAAGCCCGTCTTGCTCACTCGCACAGAAGAAAGGCGTACCTAGGAGCTGACAAAATGTAACCCCGACAACAGTTCACAAAGTCCTAAAGTGAGACCCTAGATGAAGAGGGTTGCAGACGACTTTTGGTTGATTATAGGTCCGGTGTGGAGAGTGGAGAAGTTTAGGTGTTCCTTGGCTGCGGAGGAACCTGTTATGGTTTTTGGTTGTGCCCCTGAGGCCAACCAGCCCAGAGGATGTGAAATGCGCCCAGGGCCCAGGGCGGGAGCAAAGAACAAACGCGCCCTTGGGGGGCCGTCTGGCCCCGGCAGAGGATCCCGCAGGAGGGGACAGAAACAAAAACGTCCTGGGGACTGGGTGACAAAGCCAAAGCAAAACCCAGATTCGTTGAAGGCCAGAATATTGGTCTCTTGGCAAGTCCAACCCAACCATCAACCTAACCATGCTTTCCATCATTACCCTTCCGCGTCAAAAGCAAGACCTTACAATCCAATAAACAAGATTTGGCAGGTTGAAAGTACTGGCACTGTTGCAGGTGGGGGGGCCCAAGGGCCCAAGCCCACCACTAACAATGCCAAGCCAAAGCTCAGCCAAAGCACGAAGCCCTGGCAAAGCCAAGCCAACCAGACCATGATTTTCAACCGAGTACGCCTAAGTACGCCCAGGTATTCCGGAGTACACCCGGCTACAAAATCCCGTCACTTCTCAAAGGTGGCTTCCTAAACTGGGAAGAAGAGCCGCTCGTACCCTCCGGTCTCTTCTACACAGTCTCATCCCCGGTTTTACCCGGGCATGCCCGGTCACACGGTTATGTGCCTTTGCGCGGTGTTTCCCGTCACAGTGACATTCAGCAAGGTTACGCCGAAACAAATCTGGGGGGGGGGGGGCTCCCAGGGCCTGACCATGCCTCAGCAGCAAGGCAACCTTTGGAAGGATCACGAGTGCTGCAATGTGAATGAAGAAGGCGATGGACAGGATTCAGAGCCTATATGACCCAGCACAAGCTGCAACTCACGGCGTTGCAGCCTTGGAGCAGTCAGAGATGCTCCCAACGTACACCATCTGCAGCATGTGAACAAACAAAAAGTTGCAGCCGGTGAGCAATCAGAAATTAGCAGCCAGAAATGTTGTCGTTGATAGCTTGTAACAGTCATAGATGCAAGAGTTTGAAACATTGGAGCTCGCGAACATGCTGTCAAGAAGGCATAGTTGAGTGCATTCGGAACCTGAGAGGAAGTGTGTAAATTTTAAATTGCCCCTTCCACGCCGCCACCACCATAAGGAAGATTTCCGTCACGAGATGAGTCAGGAATTCACAAGCGGGCATTCTAGGCCATTCTAGCCCGGATGTAACTGGCATCCGGCCTAGAGTCCGCCAGCGCGCCTTGCAGCCGGATGAGATGCGTCAGGAGTTCATAGCTGGGCATCCATCCGGCGTTTTACGGTTCGTATTGCAGAAAATCGATTTTGCAACCGCCAGAGCACCGACAGTCCAAAAGCGATGACACTTTCACATTTCGTGAGCCCAGACACGCAAAAGCAAGACAGTTTCGCGTTTCACGAGCCCAGACGCCCCAAAGTGCCGATGGTTTGGCATTTCGTGAGCCCGGACGGCGCTGGCGCGGGACAAAAAGGGAGCCGAACAAACATACGCGACATTACCCTAGCTGCGGATACCACTGCCAGTTCAAGGCACATCACGCTGGCATATGAGTGGCAACGATGTGGCAAGACAGGGTGCTAAACACAACAGTCTTGTTTTGGTCTGGCAATGTCTGGCATACGTGAGTGTGAATGATGTGAACATGTTGGGGAGGCTTGAAAGCAGCTCTGAAGACCTTCATCCAGGAGTTTGTCCGTGGGCGCGAGTTGCACATGCCGAGCAAGTGCCCGGGCAGCAGCGGTGTAGGAGCGCAAGAAGCCCTGAGCTCAAGCAAGAGTATTGTGGCTTCCCCCAAGTCTCCATGGTTTGTGTATTCAATTTCAAAGAGTCCAGGGACAATTCAGTAGATTCTTGACCACTTAGCAAGCTGAGCTTGAGCCACAGAAACGCCTGAATCCGATTTGATGCCAAGCCTTAAACAACAACATCTAATCCAAGAACTCAAGTCCCAGAGTTTGTGACTAGACTTCTCGGTCCTGAGCCTTGAGCCCAAATTCATGTGCGACTCTTCGATCAGGGCGGGCCTCAAGGGCGTCGTGTGCAAGATCACCAAGGCGCCTGTGCTTCGCAAATACCTTAGACTTTTGCCCTTAACCTGATGCCCTTCAAGTTGGCTTTTCCCCCACTCCAAGAAAAACAAATTAGAAGGTCACCAGATTGTTCCAGGGGTGTCTAGAGTTTAGGTGTCTAGAGTATAGACAACCCTGGGTCACGAAGGCCTTGCTCATGAAAAAGTGAGAGTGACGGAGAGATATTGTCATAAGCTCTCATGGTGTCAGTAGATTTCAAGTTTCAAGGTTGAGGTCAAGCTTTCGTTCAGAGGCCCTCTAGTAAGTTGACAACGGCGACAACAGCGACAACGACGACAGCGTCGGCGACGGCGACGGCGACGGCGACGACGACGACTGCTGCTGCCACGACGACGATGACGACTACAACGATACCCTGCCTGGAACACCGCATCCTGAATCACTGAAGTCACTGAAGTCAAGGTTTCGGATGTCTCGGGTCAACCCTCAGCCCTAAACCCTCAAGTCGGAGCCGCCACACTCTGGATTGAAGACATCCATTTGGTACTCTTGACGGGAGGCTGTGGATGCTTTGCTTGTCGGCGATGGGGCTCGTGCGGTAGCGCCACTTGGGCAGAAACAAGTTGCAAGCTTGGGGCCTGTGTCTGTGTCGATGTTTGTGCACGGGTGCGCGTGCTTGCGCGTGTGTGTGTATATATATATGTTCTATATGTTTATCAGGTCATGTAATGTAATGTAGTGTAGTGTAATGTCATGTAATGTAAGGTCATGTCATGTAATGTAATGCAACGTAATGTAATGCAATGTAATGTATTGCAATGTAATGTAGAGTAGGATCACATAGTCTAGTATAGTAAGGAATAGTAGAGTAGAGTACGGTAGAGTAGAGTATTGTGCAGGTTTTGATGTTGGTGACTCTCACAGGGATCTTCAGGATGCCAAACAGGGCAGGAGCAAGCCAGTGCAGTGTATTCGCCCGCTGTTCTGGTCTGGGGATGGGGTGGGGGGTTGAGGATTGATTTGACCTCACAAGGCAGCTTCAGGAATTAAACGGTAGGCTCTCGGTCGGCCGGCAGGGAAGAATGCCCTCGTCATGCCCGGCATGAGGTGGAGTCCCCATTCTGTGCCAGCAGTGCTTCTAACTCGATCCTGCATCACGATCGGAGACTCTAGCAGGCACATATGGGGACATGATCCGATTGAGTCACATATAATATATTGGGTTTTTTATCCTAGGTTCCGCGCTGCAAACCACGAAGTGCAAAGACTGTCCCACGCTTCCTCCAAACCTTCCTCCCTTACAGGCCGTTTCCGGCCCTTGCAGGCTCATACAGGGCCTGAGGCTTCCGGGGTCAGATCCAGCTTTGTAGTGGCTCATAGCATTGACCTCAAACATGAGCACCGGAGCATGAGAAGAGATTTGGAGCCTTTTGCCATGGGGTGCCATTGAGCAAACTTTCCCAAGGCTGGTGGACATCCAGCAAGTACACCGTGGGCTCGAGGCACTCCCCCTGAGCCCTGGAAGGCACGTGTTTGGAGGTTGCTTCGGTTCTGGGTGTGAAGATGTGAGTTTGCGGGCCATTGTGCTTGCGTTTAAAGGGTCTCCGGATGGATTTGGGTTTTGTTCTAGGGCACAAGTTCAAGAGCGGGTGCCAGCTGCGTTAGGGGCTTCCGGGTGTCTCAGGCGGACAAACAAACCCAAGAAAGCTTCGACCCCAAGCAAGCCGATGTAAACCCTAAAAACCCTCTCAAAGGAACTTGGGCATCGAGCCCGACGGCTGCTGGTTTGCAGAAGGGCTTAGGGATGCGTGGGAATATAAGCTACGTGGCACGGAGTGGCTTAGGAGACCTCCAAGCCAATTGGAAGTCGATAAGGGGGTGGCCATGGATTGAAGCGAATCTGCCCAGAACTCCGCATCCTCAGGTTTAGGCTCCGAAGCTTAGGGGCGATCCCGGTGCTTTACTACGACTTCTCTTGAGTCCTCACTGTCCTCAGGAAGTCACCCCCAACCCAACCCCGAGCCAGCGCAAAACTCAGGCAACTGGGTCGTGCTGGAGTTGAAAGGCGGCGACTGTCTAAGTTTCCACCTGGGCCACGCAAAAGGCCCCCAGCAACGTGCAGCAGCGCAGGATGTCTGGTTCCTTATACCAGAATGATTCAGTTGTAAATGAGCTTCTACCTACCTTCCAGTACGTTACGAGCGCCCACAGCAACCACTAATACATGTTGCCCCACTTGCCCCACTTGGCATTCTGGAAGAGCGAACTGATGTTGCCCCACTTGCCTCACTTGCCCCCTTGCTGGCCCAGAAGAGCCACTTGCCCGCCCGGCCCGCCCCAACCACAAGTCTGCCTCAAACTGAGCTGCTTTTGTTGAGGCAGACAGCTATACCCGGCAGACTTGTCATGAGGCAAGCGGGGAAAACGCGGCAAGTGGAGCAAGTCGGGCAAGTCGGGGCAAGCGAGGCAAGCGAGGCAAGTGGCAGAATTCGCTTAGCGGTGCAACATGGAGCAAGTGCGGCAAGTGGGGCAAGTGGCACATATTGTTTCCGCTTCCGGAACAAGGCAAGTGGGGCAAGCCGGGCAAGTGACAGAAAACAGCTAACGGTGCACGCGCATTGGCTACATTGCGAGCGCCAATCGCAAAATCTGAGCGCGTTAAGGGCATAGAACTTGTGCTCCGCTACAGAAGAGTTCATCTTACTACCTTCGGGGGTGCGCAGATCTCTCATCATTGGATGCTTGCAGATCGGCCGCCACCGGGGAAACTTTCATAGTGATGGCTGTGCGTGTGGGATGAGGGTTAAGCCCCAGATGTAGAGTTAATCGGGCGGTACTGGGTGTGACAATTGGATGGTGTCCGCGAAACTTCACCGGGTTTTCGAGGAGGTCCTGGCACCTACAAGAGTTTCCGCCGCGCATATTCCCGATACTTGCCGCCCGAGCATAGAAACAAAGCTCGGCCTTGCTGGTGCAGTTGATTAGAGTGTCATGCTTTGCTCGAAGGCACTATCGCATTTCCGACCTTTGGCATAAAAAATCAACGTGCTTCACTACTCTGCCACCCCATAGTGCACGAAGGGTCGGACGTCTTTTGTCTGTGGCCCTTGTGCATGGATCCGTTGGGCCCTGCACCCCGACAGCTTCAACCACGGGTCATAAGCGCAGTTTACACTTCGCCACATTACATGGAAGCCCCTTTACACGCATCAACAGTTTACTCGGCCGAAGCACAACGAAGCCAGTTCAAACGAGATTGAACGCGAGAGAACAAGAGCGGCAAACAAGCAAAACCAAACAAGACGCCCCCTAACTCACACAAGTTTGGAGGAGTTTCGCATTCTTTGACAGGCGCCGAGGATTTTGCTCTATTCATGCGACTGCTGGTTTCCATGAGGAGGTGCACCGAGTTGAGAAGAGTTCGGGATCTGGATGTAATTTCGAGGCGGTTGAGGGCTTTCCGTACTGTGGTCCAGAAAGTGCGGCAAACCCCCCCCCCCCCCTCCCCCTCCCCCTCCTCCCTCTAAGCTTGAGGCTTGTGGTGCGTGGGATTTCAGGCTCGCGAGGAACCTTTCGGAATATCCTTTCGGGTCCCGGCACCGGCAGACAGAAGCATTTGGACAATGAAGTTGGGATCTCTGAGGCGGCTTAAGGCCCCCTCTTAAACCTGTACAGGCCGAAACCTCTGGAGCTGTGCTGTTGTCAGTTCTTTTACAACCAACTGCGGCAAAATGTTGGAATCCATTGTTGTCACCGGTTCCCCTCTTTTAGATAAGCTTAAGTATCCGAGGCCGACATGCCCCCGGGCCAGCAGAACATTATAATTGCCGCCCACTGTAACAATGTTTGTACGCATGTCAAAGCTCTAAGTGTGCAAAAGGCCACCCAGCCTGAAACAGAAGCCCACGTGCAGCCCAGGCAGCAGCAACTCGCTGCCAATACTCAGGAGGACGACGACGCCAAGAGCGAAGTCAGCGTCCAGAGCGCCATCGTGCAGAAGACCATGACCCGCATTTCAACATAGCCTTATGGCGTTTCAAGGGCGGCTGTGCTTTTGTAGCCTTGAACCCGTAGGATCAGGACTGCAAGTGTTTTTGGAACGAGGATTGGGATGCATGGTCAGCTTTTGAAGCTTCAGTGCGCCCCGCAAGCTTCTCTGTGCAGGAACAGCAGCTCTGTGGCATCCATCGCAGACGACCCCAAGGAGGTTGGATTGCATGCGAAGCAGGCAAATGAGCTTCAACTAACTAACAAGCGCAACCAAACGGGGGAAGCTCACGCCTTGCCTGGTATAAGTTCGGAAAACAGAATGAGGCCTCCGAAGTATGAAGCATGAACATTGGGTCCACACTGCTGGGCGCTCGTGGTTCCGCAGGCGCCCAGGCTCTTAGAAGGCAAGGTTTAGTGCTGCCAGTGTTTCAGGCAGCGTACTTAATCTTGTTCGACAACTATCTACTGCCACCTACTTACTGACGCCAAAGGCTCATCGTGTCGTAAGCCTGCGCTTTGTGCGGTTTCACCTGCGTGTTCAATTTGCCTAACACCCTCAAGTCAAACCGTGCGTTCGGAGTCCGGAAGTTTTTTTATGTCAGTGGGAGCTGGGTCCCGTGTTCTTTTATACTAAGTCTGGATGTGGGTGTGCAAATGCTGGGGATGTGGAAGGCTGCAGAGAAGCCAAGGCTATTGTAGACGGTCGAACCACTGTGCAAAAACATGCAGTGTCTGGATAAACGCTGTTCCGCACGAGTTTAGGCTGCAAACGATGTGTGGCCAGACGACGTGCTTGTGGGCAAACGTGGGCAAACCGCACGTGCTGCAGATAAGAACTACAGCCCTATGCCGGTTGCTAGCCCATGGAGCCCTCAAAGAAGGTCAAAAAGATGTACAAGATGTTCGTTGAGACAATGAAGCGCGGTCGTGTGCCTTGGGCTGTTTAATGAGATTGCTTAAAAAGATCCTATGCGTAGCTCCTCGGGATCACCAGAACATAAAGGATCTAGAATCCTCCGCAGCCGCCTGTGCTGCCCTCTCCAAGGAGTTTTCCAGTCATGGCTACCGGCGACAGGTTTTGGCGGTTTGTGCGGTTTCCGTAAAAGGCTTTTCTCCGAGACCCGCTCAACATCGCGAGCTTTCCCAGGGCTAGATGGTCACAATTTGTTTTCCCTAGGAATCTAAGGCCCCCAGGCCCTGCACCCTGGATCCAATCATCATCAATCATCCAGTTAAAATGAAAGGACTTCTACATCCTGCGGCCTGATGGCACGCTGCTGGATGTCGACTGCTCGCTGAGCCTGGGATGACGAAGTTGCTTGAGGGTTGGTGCCTGTGACTTCGGAACAATGATCAACGTTAGCATACCCTGCTGAACCGCAGCAGTCAAGGGCTCGTCGAACTCCTTGATGCTTCAGTCTTGCTTCCAGCTCCCTTATGGCGGCACGCCTACTTTCTTAGGATCTAGTTTGCGGTGTCTGGGTTGGGCAACCGGGGATTGAACAGTACCTGGGAGGTGAGGTCCCAAACCTGACATAGGCTGACATAGAGCCCGAAGCTCCTCTGAGGACACGTGGTCGGGAGGTCTTCCGTATGCGCTGGGATTTCCAAGAGAGGTCGCTGCCGGTGGCGGACATGAAGCAGGCTGGATTCTGGACTTTGCAGGGCTTCGAGGGTTGGGCCAACACATGAGAAAACTAAGAAGAAACAACTCGGAAATCCGCTTGAACACCTAGAGGATTTGCGGATTGCGGGCAGCTGGTCTTGCGAGGCGGGTGCTGAGGGGCAGCTGGCATTTTACGATTGTCGCTATTTTTCTGAGCCCTATGGACGTAAGGTTTCGCGCGGCAACCGTTGTTTGTCGGAGCACTCCAAAAAGACAGGGCGGAAAAGAGAGGCCGGCTTCGTATGCAACTGCGAGATCGCAGTTTGACCTCCCCCCCAAAACTCGCAGCCTGCATGAAGCCAGGGGCGACTGTCAAGATTCCTGGCACATCCAGCAACCCCAAACGCACCTCAACAGCACAACTTAATTTGTTTATTGCTGTGCCAGTCGAAGCTGAGGTTTCTGCCATAAGGGCTTAATGCCGTGTGAACTCCCAGTAAGGGCCAGGGCTCCGCGTGCATCACTTGTATTCTTACTACGTCAAGTTCCAATATAGACGACACATGCAGAAGAAGTGCTTGCTGGCTTTTCTCGGTCAAATCCAGGGCGACAGCCCCCCATCCCACCAAAGAAAATGTGATTCACATGGGTATAAACAGGAACATCAAGCTTCGTCGTATATACAAAAAAGCAAAGACCTACATATACAATATATACTTACAGTAATGATACTACCTGACATACTGTGAACATATGAAGGAAATCGAAAATTCCGCTTTATTCACATGGGTACCTTATGTGCTCATTGACAAAGAAGGTTGTAAAGAAACGGAGGGCCTTTTGAAAAACATGCAGGGAAAACGCTGGGATTCCGAGTAAACATCTAGGACGGCCGCCTTCCCCCTCCCCCTTAAATGATTGAACAAGGAAATGAGCTACCAATGTTTCATCAACAAGGTAAAATGTAAACAAATCCCCGGCCCGAATCAGACTTTCGGAGCGTTTTGAGCATTAACGCTCACAGGTGCGCACGTCGAAGGAGTCCTCCTCACTGAAGCTGGGCTTGGAGCTGGATCCCCGGTGGCTGGGCACACATTGGCATGGATACACCAATGGAACTATGCACCGCGTTTCACTCCACAGGCCTTCTTTTTGAGGCCTCGTCTCAGGGGTGGGAGCCCTGAGCCTGAAACCCCAGACGAAGCAGGTCGATCTGGCTTCTTCCAGTTTTATTTGCCTCCAGAAACCTCCAGAATTCTCATCGGCATTCTGCCGTCTATCAGAGAAAGGGAGATAGGGACAGACTGAGAGAGACTCTCCTCCCTCAATCCTGAAGCCGGCTCCAGGTGTGCCACGATGGAGCTCGAGGGGGGCGAGTGCATCACCTTCAAGTTCGGGCATTCAGAGCCTTGACTGTACTCCGGGAGGCCCCATCTTGCACTTGTGATACAGCTCAAGCCCCTCGCTGTGCAGGACAGTGCCGGAGAGGTTCGTTTTTGCTACTCTTCGGCTTCGGGTCTAGGGCCGTGAGATGTCGTGAGCCTCAGGTTCGGAGTGGAAACTTGGAGACCGAAGATGTTTCGGGGGGGGGGGGGGCTTTTTGTGTGGTTTTGTGGGCTTCGACACTTTTGCAGCACGCTTCGAGTTCAGCTTCGGCCCCCTGATTAGGCATGCCTGGGGCTTGAGTTCAGGGTGGGGCTTGCCATTGAGGCTCATCCGTAACGTCCTTGGAACTGCAAAAGGCGTGCATTCATTGCTTGCCTTCCCAGAGCCTTTCGTTTGTAGCGCTTGGAGTGCAGAGATCTTGTGATGAGGAGGCCTGCGACCGGTTTGTCATCTGCATGCGGATCCTCATCGATCAGATCCTTGGTTTTCGTGCACTATTATCCTTGCTGTTGCAGGGTTCGGCACCGACCGCAGATGAACACCTTGACTTAGCCGTGAAGCACGCATTCTCATCGTCTTCGGGTTGCTTGCCCGCTAAAGGAAGCGCAAGCCCAAGCATTGCAGCCGAAAGTCAGCCTCCAAGCAGCCTGCAGAATCCTGAGCCTCCAACCTGGCGACTTGTGAGTAAGATGGAACTTGCAGCTTGGACACAGAATCTTGGGCTTCAATTCAGGTACAGGGTGGTAGGTTCCGCTTTTAGGTCTCACGGAGGCGATATGAAGAGCCCAGACGTGAGCCCCAGAGGAAGCGCCAGTGCTTTCGCTCCTCTGGCTTTGGAGGCGCTTGCTTCGGTTGCTTCGGTTGCTTCGGTAAGTTTGCCTGAGGCCTTCCACCACTTCTCCACTTGCCCGACTGAATCTGAACCCTCTGAAACCCCAGGCTGTGTGTCCTCAGTACTGGACGCCCTAGCAAACCGGCATCTTGATTCTTTTCGTCTTGGGCTTCAAGGTTTTTGGGGGTCTCAGGATGTTTTCGAGCAGCGTGCCAGCTGGGTCATCGTGTCCATCTTGTCAGGACGCTTCTGTTGGGCTTGCCCTGCCCTGCAGGAGAGAGCGAGAGAGAGAGAGTCCACAGGAATCATGAGTCCACTTCTTCAGTACGGTTTGAGGCCCATGGTTCGGCTTTTGACTACGAATTGGTGTTGCAACAGCCTCAAGTCTCGAGATTGGACACGAATTCGACGCGATGCCGGAGTTTCTAGGAACCCGATAGGAACCTCCTCACCTCCTCAAACTGAGGCTTCGGGTTTTGGGGGTTTGCAGCGGCTGTTCCCTAGTTGCAGCTCAAGCGCACCTCTCTGCAGGCGCTACTGCCCAGCAGAAGTCCTCCAGCTCTGGCCGCTGTTTCGAAGGTTGCATAAGGTCCCTGTTTCTCTGACAGGGGGGGGGGGATGTTGTGCCTTTGCGCAGTCTACGGGGTCACGCGGATTCTACCACTTAGAGGAGATCAAGGCTTTCAGGGTTGCCGGTTGTCATGACATGTTCATGAGTCAGCAGTTTTCCTTCTGTGGTCCTTGTAGCTACTGTAGTGGGTAGTTCGCCGGGATACTGGCACATCCTACCAACTACACCAGCAAACAAGATCTCAAGATCTCAACGTCACAGCAGAGAGACGCCCACAAACGTCCTATGATGTCTGGTGGGCTGATCCTAGCTTGGCTTGGAGGTCAGGAGACAAGGCAAGACAGAGAGCCTTCTCACAAAGTACTAGAGAAGAGTGCGACGTACGGGGCTCGAGCGGCACAAGGGTAAGAGTTCGGGGTATGCCCAAAATCTCTTTTTGCAAAGGGTTGCGTGCCAAGATTAAGGCCGACCATCGAGCGACTCCACGATCGGTGGAGGGCCCAATGCGACACAAGCGCTACTTCTTGGCATTGCGTTGCCTTGTAAACCGTGCTTCGGTGAGGCTTTGATGGGGAACTCCAAGCCGAACACAGAAAGCTCATGGTCAGGGTGAAAGCTGGAGGCTTAGGGCTTCTGTGAAAATTCCATTGTTTTCGCTCTGACGGCCGAGGTTGATTGAGGACTTTGCAACTCCGGCAGCATATGGGAGTGTGGTTCAGCTTTGTCGCGTTTCGACATCCTGCCTATTTTGCCACACTAATTGGCTCCAAATCCCCGATAGTGAAGGACAGCCAACAACGGTCCCATGTAGCGGAGCAACCGACGCCGCAGCCCGCGGACAGGGCAATGAGGTTAATTTTACATTGTCTGCCGTCGAATGCTCCAAGTTCATTTTGCGGTTCCCGTGCTCGCGAGCATCCTACCAAAATGTTCGACTCGACTGCCCCCTCCCCCCCCCCTCCCCCCCCCCAAATGTGCAGCGAAGCCTTGGAGCGAAGCTGGAGCGAAGCCCTCAGGGCCCTGAGGTGCGCGTCATGATGAGCAGCTGCGAAGTGTTGGTGCTGAATGCTCAGGGCAAGCAGAAAGTGCCGCTTCGCTCCTGTGAGGCTAAGACAGCGGGTGCTCTTTCTGGAATTTCACCCTGGAGGTACGTTGAATTGTGCTGGGACGTTTTGCTGTGCTGTACGAGAGTCCAGAGGGCTTTGGCGGCTTTGGTGCACGTTTCACCTGTGACTTTTCGAGAGCTGCTAGCCTTTGAAAGCCGCCCCACCTAGGTTTTGGGATCTTCGAGACCTCGACCCAAACTAACTTAGGGCTTAAGTCTCAGTTCGGCAATCTCCACATAGGCACTCACACCTTGCCCTTCTAAACACGGACGATGTTCCACGTCAGAACATTAACACTAAGGGTTGTGTGACAGCGTGCTAGATAGCCGAGATGCTTGAACGTGAGAAATAGCTCGTCGGGGCAATTGCGATTGATCTGAAGCGGGCTCGATTGGTGTTTGCAGGTTGCCAACCTTGCATGTCGCTGTTAGCCCGAAATCCTGTGCCTGAGGAAACTCTCCTTGGACGCTGATCTAACTGCCCTCTCCGTGAAGGCGAAGGCAGCTTGGCTTCGCAATGCGTTCCGAAGTTCCGAAGGCAGTTGCTGTGTTTTTCAGGTACAGGGCTCAGCGATGAGCCTCACCAAGTTGCTCGAAATATATTGGAGTGGGCAGGGAATGAAATGGAACGCGGAGATTTGCATGCACGATTTGTCCACCTTACTGATGAATGATAACAATCTCAAACCTTTGTAAGAGCCCTCAGTCGTAAGAGCCCTCAGCGCACCGATTTGCCTTGCAAAGCGAACGGGAATGCCCTGGTTTCGGACGAAGTCTGAGTATTTAGGGCTTAGGGGCTCTGCGGGGAGAGCCCTCCACGTGTGAATCGCTCACAGTCTCTTGAAAGAAAGGCCTGGTAGCATATCAGGGGCGAAGACCTGCGAGAATCATCGTCCAGACCAGCTTGGGAATAGCCACTGAAGGGTGCAAAGGCTACAGGCTACCGACGAGGCATGCTCTCGCCACAACTCGATCAAAAGATGCTTCGTGGATGCCGCATGCCGCTTCACTAGCCCTTCCAACAGGATGGCTCACGCAAGGACCTGCTCTTTTCCCAGGCTCGCTTGTGAGGTTCAGGGGCTTTAGGCGACTTTGCAGTAGGTCTTGGACCTTGAGGCTTATCGACCACGTCATTGCTCATTTCCGACACCCAGCTCCTGACTCATACGACCCTTTGTGTTTGTTGGACCTTTAAGGCACTGTTTTCCCAGATACTTCCGACGAGAAGAGCCCCTGTTCCCTCCGCCCTGGCTTTGGAGACTACAGGCTATAGGCTTGCCTCACGGCTCTTACGACTCAAGGCGCTAAGCGTTTTAAGCCTCCACGCCAAACTACCCCCATGCTCACTCTTCAGGTGAAGGCTGTGCATGTTGGCCAAGCAGCCGAGGCGCTGCAACTAGGCGCGCTGAGGGTTGTTTCCAGGGTTCAAACTTTCAAGTGCCATGTCGGTAGATCCTTGGAAGTGCTAATTGCCCGGGTTCAGGCGGGCTTTAGACATTCAAGCCTAGGATTTACGCCCGGAATTCGGGGTTGACTGTTTCACTGTTTATAGAGCTTGGCTTGAGGCTTCGCGGCTGCTTTACGCCTTGGCCTTGTGCTGCAGGTGCTCGCATGGATGACCTGTGCGCCGTGCTCGAGCTGAGTTCAGGCGACTGCGGAGACCGAGACGCACCCTGTGTTTCTGAGCCCATCTGAGCCCATCTGAGTCCCATCTACAAGGCAAACCCCCCAACCGACAGCACCTTGGGCAAAATTCTGGGGGACTGGCGACCTGTGTTCGCATTAAGGCGGGCCCTGGTTTGGAGGCCCTCTGTGAAACCAAGACCCCTAACCTAAAACATTAGCTGACGCCCGAACCCCACAAGCTCCCCAGCCTAACCTTCAATGCCGCAGGGGATTGCCTTACCCTGCGCTTCCCGAAGACGGAGGACAAGATTTCAGATGTGTGCAGTTGTTTAAACTCAAGATTTGCGATCTTTTCGCTGCTATTCGCAGAACTTGAGGGGCTGTGTAGGTATGTTAGGCTTCGGAGCAGGTGCTCTGCCAACTCACTGCACAGGTCGAAGAAGGTTGTCCTGCTTAGGTTGCGGGGTTTACCCTTGCTCTGGCCGAATAGGAGCTTGGGGGCTTGGGGGCTTGGGGGGCCTTTTCCCCTACTAAAGGTTGCTGGGAGAGGGCCCCAACTTTGGGGTTGAAACGGTTTGGGGCTTCGGGGTTTGGGATGTAGGGTTGGGGCCAATAAGCTCCCAAACCAAGGCTTAGGCTTGGATTGGTTCGTTTGGGTTTCGGGATCAAGGGGAAAGGGCAAGCTTTCCAAGCCTGCGAGTTTATGGGTTGCGCGGGGCTTGATGGTCAATTCTATGTTTCTGGATCTCTGCTTTAGTACCCTAAACCATAAGCCTAAACGATGGGACTCCATTTCACAAGTGATCAAGCGCGTGTGGTTGCCGCTGTATCACGGAAGCAGAACCTTATAAAGCCTCAACTATAGTATGCCCTATGCAGTGTTGGAGGTTTTGCGTACGTGTTTCGGGCTTTTTGTTCTAGTTCTTGTATTTGTGCTGAGCACTGTTCTACAGGCGTTCAGGATGAGGGTGTAGCAACTACCAAGTCTCATCAAGTCTCTTAGGGCTTAGGCCCACCCAGTCTTGGACTGCAAAGGCAAGGTGAGCACCCTTAAGGTCAGCAGCTCAACGAGCAAGGCAGGCTTTGAGCATGGGCTTGCTGCATATCTCAAGTATGAAGACGTCATTCGAGGAGACACGACGACGGGAAACCGGTAGGAACCGCATTGTCTTGTGAGCAGCGGCTCTGAACTGCGCGCGTGGCCTTGGCCTTGTAAACCATGAGCCCCAAATACGAAAGCCTCTGTCTTAAGGCCGAATCCCATCAAGCCAAGCCGCGATCTGAGGGTTTGAACTGAAATGAGCCCCAGCCATTGAACCAAAACCCTCAAACCTTAAAGCACTCTGAAACTGCAACGTGCCCGAGATCCCAAGACAGTATTGCCCTGCATCAGCAAGCCCATGATATTTCGCGCGCTCAGCGCCCAAAGCCTTCGCATGTTGGCTTGCCCATTGGCAACCACAGGCCCAACACCCACAGTGTGTCTCGAAGCAAAGTTTTACCCATAGGCCCTACAGTGCAACATCCTGATGTCTCAGCAACTTGCGGATAGGACAGGGACCGCTTTGCCATTTGCATTCGCATATTCGCTGCGGCCCACCAGGAGCTTTGGGATGGGAAGGTTTAGTTAGGGTTTAGGGTTCGGGGTGTAGCGTTTAGGGTTTAGGAAGCATTCAGATATCTCCAACAGCTACATGGAACGTTGGCTGACGGGCCTCAAGTCGCATGGTCGGTAACGAAACGTATGGATTATGTGGTTTACGCCCCCCCTCAAATCTCCTTACAGGCCACCTGGCACATTCTGCCTTCAAACTTCACCTGTGGTATCTTGGAGTGGCCGTTTTGGAGTCGCCTGCAAAGAATTTATTTGCCTTGCAAGCTTGTGTAGGCTTGGGCTTGTCATGCCCACAGAATTTGGAGGTGGTGTTTTCACGGTAAGCAGCAAGAACGCTGTTCGACTTGACTTTCGCGCCCAATGCTTGAATCGCTCCATGCCGGGAAACACCTGATATTTTGTGCCAGGCGCCGTCATAAAGGCTGCCCGCCACGCCGACCCACTGCCAGCCGTTTGTGAAGGGCGAGACCGACATGATGCTGGGCTTGCGGGCATGCAGCTTCGGAGAATTCTGCAAGGCTTTGGTTTTTCGACTTGAAAGGATTCTAAAGGGTTCATTGGGCCATACAGTTCAGATTCGGGGGCTTGCGGGTTATTGTTTTGGCCGAATTGAGGGCATGTCAAGTCGTTTGCGGCAGGGCTTGCGCTGCTCAATTCCAGAAGGATCCACAGCTGCCAATTTGCAGGACCTTTCATATCTAGATCCAAACACAAGCGCACGCCTGGTTAATGCAACTACTGCATTTTGTTGTGAGGAAGCCTTACCTCCGAAGCTTGCGCCGACTGGATTCCTGCAGGCTTCGCAAATAATCTTTCTAGTCGGACGGAAAATGTGCTTTTACATGATTGGTGCGCGAAACCAGGCTTCCATGCTTCCGCTCCCTGAGACTCGCTTTTCATGATCCAAGAGCAGGCCAGGCTCTGCAGGAGGGTCGAGGCCCCCCCGAACCCTGCACCTTCAACCGCTGGACCATGAAGGCACAGTGGGCCTAGCAAGGTCTCGGAAATTTGGGGTTTGGGCTTGAGATTGGGAGGCAAGGGAATTTGCAAGGCTGTAGGAGTCTTGCAGGGTCTGGAGACCATTGAGGCGGTATGGAAGCTTGCGGGGTCCACAAAGGAGCTTCGGGAAATGGTCAAAGTGAATTATGCATTCGGCCTGTGGGATGTACGCGAGGCTTTCCCTCATACCGTTCACAAATGGTTTCAAAGGCGAACTTGCGGTTGTGTAAGGCTCGATCTTTGTTATGGCACCCTAAATTATAAAAACGGTTCTAGACGAGTAGACTTCATATCGTTTCGGGAACCGCCAGGGCACGGAGCTTGATCAAGCGCATGTGGTTGCCTCTGTTTACACGCAAGCAGAGTCTGCAGGCTTCAGGCATCAGAACCGGGAGTCATGAGATTTAGGGTGTTTGAAGAGGCTGCTATCTGCTGAGCTTGAGAACAGGTGCTCTGCCATGATCAACTCACTGCAGGGGTTGAAGTCGGGTGTTCTGCATAGGATACGGAGTTCACCCTCGCTCTGAACGGGGCTTCGGGTTTGGGATGTAGGGCTGGGGCCTTGTCCTAAACCCTGAGGTCCCTAAACCGAGGTTCAGGCTTGAAGAGGTTTGTTCGGGTTTCGGTCAGAAGGGCAAATCCTCAACCCTACGAGTTCAAAGGGAGGCGCGGGGGTTGATGGTCAAAGTTCTGTCCTTTCGCACCACAAGGGGCTCAAAGCTTCAAGGAAAAGCACCAACACGTCCTTACCAAAACAGCCGTGATGCTCACAAAGCGCTGACTACATGGCATGCTGCTATCAAGAGGGCTTGCTAGGGGATACGATGAAGTTAAATGGGTAGCAGGCGCATCCTCGTGAGCCCCAGCCCCAAACCGAACCCTCAAACCTTCAAGCCCTCTGAAACTGCGACGTGCCAAGATCCCAAAACATTACCGCCCTGAAGCAGCAAGCCCATGATTTCTCCCGCGCTGAGCACCCGTTTTCACTTGCACTCGTCTGCAGTCTGCAACTCCGGCTAGAAACCCATAGCTTCGCCCTTTGAATTCGTATTGTCGCTGTTCTCACGGGGCTTACAAAGCATTTCGCGGTGCGCGGAGTGGTCCTCTCACCTTGGGGACCTCACTTTGGCCAGATGCAACGTCCACACGAACGCTGTGCGAAGCAACGTGATCCTCAGAACCAAAAAAGTGCCTCCTCCCGACCCCTCCTGGTGTTTGTGCCAGGCAACAATCCAGTGGCTGTCGGCCACGCCGACCCGCTGCCAGCTGTTCGCGAAGGGCAAGACCGACAGGACGCGGGGTTCAAGGGCGTGCTTCTCGGAAGGTTCTGCAAGCCTTTGGTTTGGCAATTTTGAGAGGATTCTGAAGGGTTCATTGGGCCATACAGTTCAGATTCAGGGGTTGTTGTGTTTTCTGCCAGAATTGAAGGCACAACATGTCGTTGCCTAAGGGCTTACAGTGCGCCCTGCACCTTCCGCCTCTGAGCCCATTAATTTCCAGCCCTGAGAACCTTCTGCCTGGGGCCCCAAAGCGCCACGAGTTGGTCTCAGAGAAGACATGTATCGGAATTACCGGGCTTAAAAAGTTTCAAGCCACCGCACGGGGCTTGGAATAGTGGAGCAGGAGCTCTTCGTTCCTCTCTCTTTCGCTGCCGTGGGTGGCGAGGTGAGCGCAGATTCAGAGTTTCCCGACCTAGGGGGTATCTATCTTAGTTGAGTTGCTGGCCAGAACCGCCCAATGCTTTACCTAGTATTGTGGCTTGAAGCCGAATTTTTTCCAGGGGTCTGTCAAATTGTACAGGATATGTCAACAGCATTTCGCCAAGGGCTTTAGGGGCTAGGGTGAGACTTGAAAGCGCTTTGGCAGCTTGCAGCTTTACGAGGCAGGCTTCGTGCTCTTCAAGCTTAGCGTTGGGAGATGCTTGCTGGCTGCAAAGCCAGTCTACATCCGTTTCACTGCCTCCTACTCTTGACAACAACAAGGACTGCCCACAAGTCACAAGACGTTCACGACCAAGGAGCACACTTGATTCTCTAAGACCCGACCCTGGGTAATTTGCGGGGATTTCGAGTTCAGTGTTTAGGCTTTGTCAAAGCGTCCAGTGCTGCGTGTCCCCCTCCTTGGACTGACCCCAGGCGCACATATTCGCCAGACTCAACAAAGGAAACCGCCAAGCAAAAGAACGAAGCCAATGTCGACTGTCAAGACGAGGGGCGTTCAAAGTGTCTTCCAAGCCGGACATGGCAAAGGTCATGAAACCCCGAACGATGGAGGAAAAACACTTTCATGACCACTTCGGGGCTGCGGTGGACTCGTCACCTTCCAAAATTCTGTCTTTCGCTGCCGCAAATGCCGAAAAAGGGAAGTGTGACGTGCAGCAAGTGCTGTTGACGATGCTGATGCCAGCTGCTTAACTTCAAGCCGAGCTCTAAAACGCCCCCTTTTGTCGGAATTCCTGCAGCTCAGATTGCCTTTCCACGGCTCAAGTGCCGATGCCGTGAGACGCAGCCCGGCCTCGGCTGCGCCGCGGCCGTGGGCAGGAGTTGGAAGGGAACACGTACTGACTCTCTTTACTCTCTTTGCCAGGTTCTGTAGGAGTCTTGTCGGGTTGTCGGATGTTGTAGCTTTGAGTCATTGAGGCAGTAAGCTTGTGGGGTGTGCGCACAAAGTAGCTTCGAGAAGTTTAGGGTCAAAGCAAGTTATGCATTCAGCCCGTGGGATACATGCGAGGCCTTGCCTGAAAGGGTTCAAAGACGGTATCAAAGGCGGACTTGAGGTTCTGTAAGGCTCGGGCGTGTTGCAGTTTTGTAAAGCTCGGGCCCTGAGCATAGAGATCCAGCTTATAAAGCGATAAAGGCGATAAGGGGTATTCAGCAACTGCAGGGTGTTGGTCGTATGGCATTGTAACGGTAGCCTCGCTTCACGCTGCCGGAATCCCAAACCCCTGGACCCTGAAATATATTGGATATATCTTGACTCCTCATCGTCTGCGCAGTCGCAGATCTCTGAAGTTAGGCCCTGAATGCTGAGAGGTCCTGTGAACAGGGGTAGAATCAAATGAAATGGCTTGCAGGGAGTTGAGGCGACTGGTAACTGCGTTAATCTGCAGCCCACTTGGCCGGCTGTCAAGAATTGCCAGGTCTTTGTAGGTGTTATCGTGTTTTCCGACTGACTTCAGTGTATTCTCCTGCAGCCATCTGCAGCCTTGTGCTGAGGCTTTGAACCCCAAAAGCTTAAGTGCTTAGGCTCGGCACATTCGCTCCCGAACCGAGACTTCCAACCCAAAGAAAGCGAGAAGTCTCGATTCAGCCTTTGCAAGGACAAAGCACTGCGCGCCATGAAGCCTCATGTAAACTCCCAGAAGCACCGCAGCACCATCACCCGGCATCATCGCTTTGAAAAGCCTTCGACCGTCTTAGAGCCTCCAGGACCGCTGGATGAGCGAAAACGGCGGCGACGAGTTTGATGCCCGTCTCACGAAACTCAGAAGGCCACAGAAAGTTTGGGCGATTCGCTGTAGAGGTTCGGGTCGGCTTCAGGACGGGATTTAGTGCTGTTGGCTCCCGTGGACTATGTGACAGGCTTCGTGTCAGTTCACTTGAACTGCGCCAGCACTTCACAAAGCCTTGGACCCCCTTCCGTCCAGCTTCCATAAGTCGCACAAGACTGTCACAAGACCAAATTGCTTTAAGCCTGAACCCTTGTGGCTCATGTCAACCCCCTCAGTTCGAAGACTCTATCCCAGAACCCCCCCCATGTCATGATGCATGCTCAGAGCCTGGAGCTGTCTAGGACGTCGATGGGTCATTGTTTAGGCCTGCACATCGCAAGGACTTGGGATTTTGATTAGGCTGAAGCAGTTCCTTCAAAGATGTTATTTGCCCGCGAAGCCGTCTCGGTCAACTGTAAACAAACCGCACAAGCTTCAGAGCTTCTACAAGTCCATCCTGCTGCAGGGACATCCAGGACTTTGTAGAGGACAACAAGCTGGACGATGCTCAGAAGCAATGTCCCCACAGTTCACTCGAGCTGCAGTTGCATCAGACGCTTTGGGTGGGTGCTTGGGCTTTCATTTGAAGTCCACAGGCCTGATATGCGAAAGCTTACCCATTATACAAAGTCGAAAGCTGACCTCAAGGAACCTGAGTGGGTGTGGCGAAAAGATTGCAACTGCGGGCTGAGTCCGAAGCCTGCAGGAACCCTACCAGCCCTAACAGAGCCGGTGGCAATGTTAGCTTGCAAGAAGGCCTCGACGTACATAATCCACAAACCCTAAACTGAAGCTGGTGTATTTGCTTAACGTTCGAGAGTGAGAGTTTGCGGTTCAAGGGTGTGGACATGTGGATTGATCAGCATTTGGGTTCCAGGTTCATGGGCTCGTGTCCGTTAGCAGTTTTCGTTGAGCGAGAGGAGCTAGTCGATGACTCATGATGATTTCACTGCAGAATGCTTGCCCCCACGAGAGCTCTTGAAAAGCTCCACGGTATCCTGTCCTCTCCTCTGAAACCTGCCACGCATCACATTAAGATTGCGAAAAGGAGTCCTGTCAAGCGCTCTCAGTGTATCTCACTCGGACTCGGCTCAGGATAGGGTCGCCCGGATAATGCAGAACATGCATCCCATCGATGTGCCCCCAAGCTGGGTTGGGACCCATCCTGGAGGATATCGGAGAGGGTTTCTGAGGGGCTTAGTTGGCTTATGTCTTAGAGTTGGTAGGTTCAGGGCTCAGTCTGTTTCCAGGCTTTGGGTGTTTTTGGAGATTTTCTGAGAGGGGTCTTGGCATCCGAGGAGCAAGGCTAGGGTTCAATCTTAGGGGGCAAGTGCTCCTGGAGACTCGGCTGTCGACACCGTAAAACCTTTCGAGAGCGTGCCAAGTGCCCATGTCCATGTGCGCTTTCGTGTTGAGAGACTGCTTCTCTTCAACTATGACCACCCTCCTAGATCCTCGAACATCCGGAACTCCAAGAGCCTAAGCGCTTAAAGCACAAAATCTTGCAACCTGCTGCAAATGCAGCGAGGCAAGGAGCAGGCCCAGTTAGACCATGCGAAGAATGGCCTGCTGAAGAGGGGCAGTGTTGACACCCCTGATCAAAGGCTTCAGCTACGAAACCCTATAGGGCCTATAGAGCCTACGGAGCCTTCGATTTACGAAAGCCTCGACGCCAACTTTCCAGTGAAGACCCGTGTGGAACAGATTGTGGGATCCTCTGCCGAGAGGTACAAAAGGTCATGAAGATCTCCTTCCCAGACGATTGCAGATCGCCAAGCGGTCCTTCCGGCATGCGCATTTTGGCGGTTGCACCCCGATTGGATCACCATGCAGCCAGGCCCCCCCCCGACCCCTCCGGAGCGGTATGGATCCCTCTTTTGCTTTTTGCTGAATCGGCCGTGTTCTGATCCCGACATGGTGCCGTCTGAGGGGCTGAGGGTGCAAGCCCCATAATTCCAAGACCCCCGAGCCGTGAGCGCAAAATCGAGTCTCCGGAATCTTGCAACATCCGGGTGGAGTCTCCACGCACTCCACATCTTTTAGAGCTCCCCCCGTGACGAACCACTTTGCCGATAGAGCACGCGAGTCCGAGAGCACCCTAAACTCAGCCCTGAACATATGGCGCGAGCAAAGGTTAGGAGGCTCATGAAACCGAATGCTCCCAAAGTAGGGCTGCAGAAAGGCAAGAGGCCCCATGCAAGGATGGAAGTCGTTGTGGGTTTAGGGTTTAGGGTTCAGGAAGGGTCAAATGGGGCAAGGCGCCCGCGGCTTTTTTCAGGGGGGTGTGGTCGCCAGGCTTCGTCGTCGCTCAGATCCGGAAGGCAGAGTCCGAAGCTGGGAGGCCGAAGGTCCAGCGCCTGGCTTGGGAGGGGCCTTTAATAGGGTCATCATATAAGGTATATTAATACGATAATAAAATAACTGTTTGGGGGGCCTCTTTAAAGTCACTTTGAACGGTTTGAGTCCTTAAAGGAGGCCCTTGCGAAGCTGGGGGAAGCAAGCCCAGAATTGGAAGGGGCAACGTACCTGACACCCAGGGTAGGGCACGGACGGAATTGCCCCCTGAATCTCCAAAACGAGTGCGGGTTTGGAGTTTAAGCTTTGGAGGCGCCCCAAAACAAGACTCACAAAACAGCTTGCAGCTTAGGGCCTTCATAGCAGGTTGAGGGGTTGTGTTTTGGACACTGGCGCGGGCCTGATTGCAGCAAGCGATGAACTAGAGTGCGGTGGGCGGTGGAAGGGGTGTTTGTGTAGTTTTGCAGCAAAAAGCCTGACCCAACACGAGCGATGCTTGCATCATCCAGAAGCCCCGTCCCCTCAGCCCAGCTCCAAACCGAGAAGTTCCGCGAGCCACGAAGCAAATCTGATGCGATTGGAATCTCTGCGTGCAATCGCTTCGGGACCCCAAGTTGAGGATTACCGCTGGGACGGCCGCTCCTTCAGCGAACAGTCAGTGGCCCAGTACCTGAGAGTACTGCAAAGCTGTAAGCGCCTACCCTTTTTCAGGTCCCAGGCCTCTCGAGGAGTTCTTCCCTCAGCCTAGAAGTTGCGCAACCTTGTGTGACGGGTACAGCATACTCACAGTTCCAGATGCAGTACTTGCTGGGTCCCACATGCATCTGGTTGTCAGGCTGCATTCAAGCCGAAATGCTTCTCTCCTGACCGTTCCCAGCTTTCACGCGCGCCCCAAACCACGGGCCATGAACCTGACTCCTTAGAATCTAAATCCTGCATCCCCAACCTGTCCAATGAGCCTTCTGACGTAAGGGTTCAAGGCTTAGGGCTTCGGGCGCTGGGTGTGGATCATGTGGGTTTGCTTGCAGGCACGCGCTCTACAGACATGCTTCAAATCAAACTCCTTCTCGCTGGATACCTGACCACCCGGACTCGGTAGGCCTGCCTCTTCTGCCAAGGTCCAGAGATCGAGGGCGACGGGACGGTGGCTTGGGGCTTGAGCAGAACCCCTTAGACCTGCACACCCCTAAATCGAAGCCGCAAAGTGAAGGCCCTCGAAAGCTGGAGACTGAAGGGAGAGTTCCGGCCTCCGGCCTATTCTTGCAAAGCACGGTTCAGTCCCAACATGTCCCAACTGCACAAGGTGCTAGAGACCACATGCAACTTCATCACTGTCGACACCCAACAGAATCACAAACGGTTGACCTTAGAGATCCAAGAGCTGCTTAAAGATGCCCATGGCCTCAAAGCACATAGCAACGACATCTTCTCGAGGCGAACTTCTTAACGTCGTGTGATGATCTGCTGATCCTTTTGCACACCCGGGAGACAGCAAAATATCTATCTTGGGGGGCCAGGACCATGTCCGGAGTTGCCTTTGGCGCACTTGCTCCCTCCAAGGCAAGCGCACGAACCGCCAGGAGCGCCGGCATGGACGGCGCGAGTCGCGGCTGCTCGTCTCAATGTTGCCACACTGCTTTATGCTCTCAATCCCCTCTGAATCCCCTCTGAATCCCACACGAACCCTGCAACCCTTGGCCTTGAAGGTCTCGCTCGCGTCGGAGGCGGCCTCGGTGTCTCGGCAGCATTCGGCAGCACCGCGCTTTCAGGGATTTCTCTCGAAGGTGATGCAAACCAAGGTTGGGAAGTTCGGGGGAGTTGAGGTGAGGGTGCTCGAACATGGTTTTGATTATGACTATGACCACGAGTACGTACGTGTGATCGAACGCGAGCTTGTGTGCTTGCGCAGTCTGTCCAGCTGTGGGACAACCTGATAGCCACGCATTGAAAGCATGCTTCTTCAGAAAAGGCTCACGTGGACGCCGCATGTCGGGCTCAACGCGCGCAGGCTCAGAACATACAACACGCGAAGCACCTCCTTACTAGATTCTAGCAGTGACTTGTCGCATGCACGACCCAGTGAAGCCTTCTTCGAAAGCTGTGCTGCAATCGAGCCAAGGGCCTTAACAACTTACCACCTTGCCTTGTAACAGGAACAACACATCCCCGGGTAACCAAAGCCCCACAACCGGACGATTGAAACCACGAGCGTCCATCTGCTTATACCGAAGCCAACGAACCCTTGTAACTTGAGCTCCAGTTACAGTGAGGAAGCTTTAGTGAGTGCTTGCTGGGCTCGGGTATCTTGCAATGAGGGGAGAACTCGGCTTTGTAGCCGGGATTGTCCGTTCCGGGGTTTCCTCTTTTCTTTCTCAACACTTTGGCGACAAAACGTCAACATCAAGGCTTAACGGGCCGTTTCGGGATGAATTGGGGCTTCAGCTTCGGGGTGGTTAAGAAACAGGGTTTTGCTTTCAAATAGTCCTTCAAGCATTACTTGCACCAGGTCGCTCAGTCATCTTCATTTCGTTCATAAACTAATGTTGGTGCATATCAACGACCTGCGTTCGGATGGGGCCTCTGGTGGCATTCAAGAGCTACTAAGATAACTACTCAGCAAAGGAAAAAGGTAAGTGGCGGGCGGGGGGGTCTTAGCAATGTGGCTATGTTTGGCATGTGGGATTTGGGCCTCGGTTTTAGGGTGCAGGACATATGAAGTGTGATCGGGTTTGAATGACGCGCACGCCGCCAAGTGAAGCTTGAACCAGACATTGCAGTCTTACGGTATGTCCCGGGACCAGTTCTTAGACCCCAAACAAACCAACTCGGCCGGTCTATAACAGTCTGACCTAGGCGCCGGGATGACTCTTATAGCTACGACTACTACTCGCCTTCGCCGCCGCGGCGACATCGGCGTCGACGACGCTGACAGGCCAACAGGCTTTTGATAAACTACTCCCAAATGAGGCACCCTGTAGCCCGTGGATATCTTAAGCACGCTACCTTGCCGAGGCTCAAAGTCACAAGTTCCTGGGCTCCAAACCGCGGCCCGAACTCAGAGAACTCTACAGTGAAAATCGTTGCATTCGCCCCCCCAAAGAACAACAGAACAGGAATACCAAAGTTGGGGAGCTTTGAGTATCTTGCTTCGGGTTTGGGGATTTAGGGTCAGCATGGTGGGGCTTGGAGGGTTTGAGCTTTGTTTTTATAGCTGAAGGCCTGAAATCCAACATCGTCAGCGGGTTCCTAAGTCTCAACTTAGCAGCGTCAGCCTGTGGGAGGCATGGCAGTTGCCTGCCTTTGCCTGAGGTGAGAGACGCAGAGTTCAGCAGAGCCGAACACATACACCCTGCACCTCGCAACATCTGCCCTGAACATGTGCAAGAACTGCCGTCGCAGATCAAATCAAGCTCATCGTAACTGCATGAACCATCCTTCAAACTTCTGGCACTCAAGTGCCCCTTAGAGGCCTTGGAGCTCAAGGCCATGTCAGAGACACAACCCTCGTATACCAAACCCTCAACCTTGAGATTCAAGACTCTATAGGGAAATGGAGCCTTGAAGCAGCATCTTGCGGAGAGGCCCTGCGTTAAAAGTCTTGCTCGGTGGCGCTTGCATGCTGTGAGTAGGTCAGAGGTTGCACTGCACAGTTGTGCCTTTTTAGAAAGGACCCTTCTCGACCAAGAGCTTGCTAGGTGGTCTTCAAGAATTAGGATTTCGGGGTGCCCAGAGTTATCATCCCGGAGTGATTTAGGGTTGGGCTCTCGGTTTGCGATCCCCAGGCTCAAGCTTCCAAAGTTTCGGACCCGTTTTCTCAGTGTAGAGAGACGCTTTGGTGGTTTTCGAGGAGATTGCAGTCCCCTCAAACTAGCCCCCAAAGTGCTCTGTGTGTGTGTGTGTACGCCTATATATATATATATATATACATACACACACACACATATCGTTCTAGGTCTTTTTTTTTGGGAGGGGCGGAAACACGCATGTAAGTCCCTTTTTATCCTTGGGGCAAAATTTGTACAATTTTGTATAAACTTGTATGAATTGGTATAGTTTTTTTTGCGTTCTAAGCTGACGTGGCTCCCTGAACCCTGTGAGGCATGAGGCAAATCCTTAAGTGTCGAGGCATGGGCTTGGTGTGAGTTGCAGAAACTGCTCAGCCATTGCTCAGACACGTTGCCCAGGACACGTAACAGCAAAAGCACATGATTTCTACCCTCATCCCGACCCCTACACTCAACCTCCCAAGCAGTCTAACATAAGCCCCTCAACCTCAATCTCGATACCACGCTGTGCAAGCCCAAGCCGTGCCGGAAAAAAGTTCTAAGCCCTGAACTCAAAGCATGCCTGAACGGCAGACTTCGGAAATCTGCACTTGCCCTTTACTGAGAAGCTTCGGCCGCAACCAAGCACAGCCGAGTCTAATTTCTTTGCTTTGGGGCATACGGCATACGGCACTTTTGCCCTAAAACAGACCCTAACCCTGAGCTGTAGCAGCCCGAACCCTTTTGGTGTTTCCGCGCCATGCTGCTGGACAGCTTGACAAATCGGTTCATCTTTCCAGCGACCTGGACTCCATTAGGCCCAGATTTTTCTTGGGAATGTATTTGCATCTGGTTGCTTTGGAGTTTTTCAAGGCGTCATCCTCGGCAATCCTCGGTTTGATTTGATACACACTACATGTATACACGTTTTGGTGTGAACAGGTATTCTTGTTTTGTGTGTGTGTGTGTGTGTTGAGGTGCTCGCAACAAGGCACGTAGGCTAAACGCTCAACGACCAAGAGCTGGCATTGCACTTAGGGGCCATTCTTGGGTTACACGAAGAGATGTTTCAGAACGAATTGGTCCTGGCTGCTTCCGTGGCATTTCTCTTCCCAACTTGTCTCTCCGACCCTGAATCTTGATGGATAAGTCTGATCAAACCCACTGCCCACCAAACCAAATCAACAAGCAGGTTTCCTCTACCCAGAACCCTGAAATCTAGCAGCTTATGCTTGGTGCTTTGGGAAACAGGGCTTTATGTGGCTTTTTGGGGCAGGGTTTTGTCTTCTCTGAAACGCCCAGCAAGACCTTGAGCAAACTGCGCAGCAGCCCCAACTCTGCCCTCGTGCCCTGAGCCTTCACAAGCCTACCGCGCTCTACCCCTTCAATGTCCAGAAAACCAAGTTGCGGGTACCTAATTAAGCCCCACATGACTCTTACTACATGACTCCCACACGACTTCCCACATGACTCCCGCATTTTATCCCACATGACTCCCCATCCCAGGTCTCAAACCTCGCCGCCCCCCCCCCCCCCCCCCCCCCTTGCGCCCATCAACACTGTAGGCGCCTCCTGCCTCGTATGGGGCCCACTCATACAAACGGAACCTCTGCTGGATCCCGCCGCTCGCGCATGCCCATGGCTTTCCTGGGACAGCTTGGCTTAGTTCGGGCTCTATAGGGCTGCGAGATTTTCTAGCTCTATGCGTTTGGGTGCATGTGGGCTTGAGCATTTCAGAGAACCTTGTCATTGTCGACCGGAAGATTGCAGAACATGAAACGGAAACAAGAGACTGGTCCGTTGCAGAGCTTTCCTGCTGCGAAAGTCTCATTCATAGGAAAGGTGCATCACCCTGCACGTACTGCATCCTAAAAGTTGAGATGTCGAAAGGGGACGCAGGGCTGGTAATTGTATGCTTGTTCTAGATCCTACGTGCATCTTTGGCGATGTGAGTCGAGTAAAGTATTGCATGTTTCACAGTCAGGCCTTCGGCGTTTTGAGTTTTCTTCTGGTCTACCCCCTGTATAATCCCTTAAAGGGTATATATAAGGGGGGGCCCTAATCCCCTCATTCCCTACTAAGAACAAGCCAGTCTAAGGGGGCCTTTCGCCCCTAAGCCCCCCCCGAAGCCTCCGCTGAAATCCTTTGAGGTGGAACTCCGTGATCTCAGCCAACCGCAGCCAAGAAGCCGGGAGTGGGATCAGTGGGATCCCCTGCCTCTCGGGTTTTTAAGTGGCTGTACGTGCTACATGGTGCCTTTCTAGGCTATGTTTTTTTGAGATGTTCATGGAGACTTCACGTCTGCTTCGCATGTCTTTGCCTGCTTCCGCCCCTTGGAGCCAGATCCCTGCAGCTGAGGCCTCTGGTTCCCGGCGCCCAAGGCTTGGACCGGAGTTCTCAAGGAGGTTTTTAAAGGACAGCCAAGCTCTGAAGCGTTTCGAACTCGAAGGGGTTGGATAGGTGTGGGCGCTGGTGGTGTTGAGGATGTTGGTGGGTTGACATGTGTCGGCTTTTGGAAGCCTTGCCCAAACCATTCATGCGACACAGGGGTCCTTGCTGTTCAGGGCTTCGGGGATTTGGGGGCTCTGGCTTTGGAGGAGAACAACCGTTTGTTTTGGGCATTGTTTTTTGGTAGTTCTTTGTTGTCTTTCGCAGAAACTACGCCCGCATGCTACCACACATTCCCAAGCCCCAGGCCTTTAATCAAGGTGTAGGCCGTCAGCCCTACACCACTATGGGCTTGGGGCTTTGGACTTGAGAGTTTGTTCGGGGTGTGCGAGGTTCTTGTGGCTTCTGCAGGTTGAGAGGTTTGAGGGGTTCGTAGACCCCAGCGGCCCTTTACACCCTGAACCGCACTCTGAGCCAACGAGACCTCAAAATGTCCCTCGCTTCCTTTTGAAAGGCGGCCTCTGTCATCGTGTTGCTGGGCTGCTGCTTCGGGTATCCCCGTGTGGTTGGGGCCAGCGTGTTGTTTGGGATTCAGTTAAACGGGGGCTGTAGATTGGCAGAAGTTCAATGGAAGTTCAATGCAGGCCTGGAACATGACACAGAGGCCAAGCATCGACGTCCACAACCATTCCGTCATGAAGCCTCAATCTTCAAGACTCAGGTTCTTCCACGCCAATGCAGAGGATCTGGGTATGACTTTTTCCATCCTCCGGCACCTCAGGGATCAGTTCAAAGTGACACGGCTTGTTGTTATCTCAGGATCTCGGCCGTATGTTGTTCGAGCTTGGAGGGTCTTTAAGGAGTCTCAGAGGCCTTCCACGGCTTTCGTGCTCACTTTTGGACCCGAACTTCCCCCAATCCCATTTCGGTGGTTCTTCGCCTGCGAGCGTTGGGCATGGAAAGCCTCATTAGAACGCTGCAATCCCCAATGTGCAAAACTTTGAGCTCGCATGCTTGCGAAAGTCGCAAAAAGGCCTGCAAAAGTCCTAGATAGTCCTAGTGTCCCAACAGCTTCACCGAGTGAGGTGAACGTCCTGGCACCCGAGTATCCTGGTTACGGGCTGCTGCCTGGCTCAGGGTTTCAAGCAAGCCAAGTCCTACAAACCCTACGTGGTGTGCTCGCGGGTTCTGAGCTCTGCTGTTAAATGAAGTGTCGGGGACATAAAGTCGATCAATTGCCTCAGGATTTGTAAAGTGCGCCTCAACACCAGACCAGCACCGCTTCAATACATCGGGACCCTACGAAGGTTCAACTGTTGAGGGCTTTCCCTTGGCTAAGATTAAGACTCAGGCAAGAGTGGGCAAGAGTAGAACGCCGCGGAGGTCCAAGCAGGGCAGGCAGCGGAGGATCAGTGAACAAGTCAGAAAAACCACGAATCGGCCGGGTCAGAAACTGCGCATCAGAAAACAGGGCGCGTCAGAAACTGCACATCAGAAACCAGGGCGAATCATAAACTGCACATCAACAAAACCACGCAATTATTATGCACAGAAGCTGCGCGTCAGAACGTTGCGAACTCACCAGAAGCTGGGTAGGGGGCAAGGGGTGGGGGGCGGGGCGCGTCGCGGGGGGGTTGTGGGGGGTGCGGGGTCGGGGTGGGGACTCGGCAGGGTGAGAGCCAGACACAACTGTGACTCGGATCGGAAGCTGTGCATCGTCAGAAACTATGCATGACATTCAAAATCAGAACTTGCGCTGGGTGGAGGGCAATCGCGTGCGAATCAGCAATCGCGTGCGAATCAGAAGGTTCGCATCAGAACGCTGCTCCATGCTCATGATCCAACTCGGAATGGAAACAATTCTCCTCCGTCCCAATGTGACACCGCATCCTGCTGAAAACCATGCTGTGACCGTACTGAAACCCGGCCAAAGGCACATGGCCGATGCAGGGTTCAGGAGGGCTGAGACCTTCAAAGTGAGACCGAAGGGCCTCGAGTTGGGGGTTCCGGTGGTAGCCCAGAGCCCAAAAACCGAGACCTCCAAGCTGACGTGTTGATACATACTTGGGGAATGTCTGAACGTGGCGCGTTGGCCTTGTATAGCGGCCTGTTCTGCACGTAAGTTCAACACCTCTACTTAATTCAGCAAGTCCAGCACCCCTAAACCCTAAACCCTAAACCCTAACCCCTAATACCTAAACCCTAAACCCTAAACCCTAAGCGCCGATGGCAAATGCTGCGCAGGATGTGGGCTGTCAACCCGACTGTCAAAAATTGTTGGAACACTGTTCTGGCTGCCACGTGTTTGAAGCCCTTAGGCCCAGTGTCCTTGTTTCTTCTGGACCTGCAGCTGTTGGGGTGGACAGCTTTACCTGACGGGGTGGTAAGGTTGCAAGATGGGGTTGAGGCACACGTGTTTTTCACGGACTGGTCCACAGTCAGGCCGTTCGCTTGGGACGCATGGGCTAGGCATGTTGTCGGTTTCGTTTCCAAAAAAGGTGATTTTCATGATCTGACAAATTTCTCCATCGCGTTGGTTCGGACCCGGTTATCAACCCCTCAAGGTTACAACTCCCATGTCGCAAATTATGCAGTGGGGGCCATCGTTCCCGCCTCTCGTCGGAAGCATTTTGCATCAAGTGAGGACACAAACTGTCCATGTTGCTCGGCTGAGCTCACTGTAGCACACATGCTAACCCAGTGCCCTGCGACGCAGCACTGTTGGGCGCCTGTTCTCTCTGAACTTGCTATGTTACAGCCTGCGCAAATCCAGCACGGCCTTTTCAGTTATCCTCCCGAGGTTTTTCATTTGCGCGCAGCACTTGCCCAGTTCAAAACTGAACCTGTAGCGTGTATGTTTTACGATCAAGATGTCCACTTCTTTACCGATGGTTCCACAATTCACCCTGCGGAGCCTACCTTAACTCTTTCAGCTTGGGGAGTGGTGGCTGCTGTGCCAGATGCCTTGGACGGGGTAAAGTTGTTGAATGGCCTGCTGCCTGGGGGGATCCAATCAAACAACAGGGCAGAGTTACTGGCTGTCATTGTGGCAGTGCAGCTGGGGACAGGGGGCTCTATTTATTCGGATTCCGACATTACTGTGCAGGGGTTTAATCGACTTATTTCCGAGGGGTGGGTTCCTTGCAACTGGCTCCACAGTGCAAATCTTGATTTGTGGTTCTTGCTGCATGAAAGCTTGTCCCGATCCCCCCGCCCTTGGGTGATCCATAAGGTCAAAAGCCATCAAGACTGGCGAGCTGCCCCCAATCCTAGATTAGCGTGGTTATGGTATCATAACGATCTGGCGGACAGCTTTGCCAAGGAAGCGCTTAAAAAGGCCCCGCAGGCTATCCTTGAGGCCCACAAGTGTGCAGTGACGGCCCTTCGCAGCCTGAACAACAAACAAAAGCAGGTTTACAATTTGCAAAAACAGGTTGCAGAAATTTTTAACGGTCATAGACTCACGTTGAATCGCCCAAGCAGTTCCCCCGCAGAACCCCATGATGACTCGCTGCAACTGTTTCTGTGCAGACTTGGGATGCTAACAGCTGATAAAGGCTTTCCTTTCCCGGGGTTGCAACAGGAGCCGCAGTGGAGCTCATTCGTACTTTGTGCTCCGTTTGGGCATTTGCTGTATAAATGGTTGTGTGCACATACGTGGGTACCAGATGAAGACAGCATGTCTTTGCTGGAACTGTATTTCGCCTTCACGGTTGATGTAGGGTGGTTGGTGCCGGTTAATGTAGCCCCTTGGGTCTCTGCGAAGCGACCGGAGCAACTTCGCGACTCCAAACTCAAAGCCATATGGGCTCATGAGGTTCAGTTCCCTGAGCTCAAATGTCATCGCCAGTCTCTCCGCGCGCAGCTCGTTACGTTTGCCCATGTGCTGAGGGCAATCATGTCCATGTCCAGTTGCCCGTGGAAAATCGCACCATCTTTTGCCCTAAGGGCCTTTGGTATCCCTTGTAAAGTGCCGGGACTCAAGTTTCGTTTGCAAGCGCTAAAACCCCATACTGTAGCCCTGCGAATGCTCAAAAGCATCCAGGGTAAACCGTACAGAGACTTCGCTAAGTCACCGTACGTTGCCCCTACGGCTCCCCTGGTTAACCAGCTCGAGTTCGGAGATGCGCGTACGATCTTTAATTGTGCCAGACGTCTTCACCGTCAAAGGCCTGGCCAGTGAATTCGTATTAATTCAGTCCTACGTAGTTTGTCTCCAAGGAGCTTCTTCGAGACAGTCCGCAAGACCGCATGCATAAACCCTAAACCCTAAACCCGTCTTAGTGATTAAAATGAATTGCCTTAAACGCCTTGGAAGCTAGGCTCAGCCACCGGGAGCCTTCAGAGCAAGCGCTCAACGAAGTCGCTCTCACCGTCCTGCGGCCGCTCAGACTCAAGAAAGGGATGCTGCTTGGGACAGGCGATTTGCGATTCTTTCAATTTTGGAGGGTCCCCAAAAGCAGAGGTTCACCCTGGTTCCATGGGATCAGAAGGTTGGGACGGTTAGGACGGGCCCATGGGGCTGGGGGTTTGAGGCTTGGCGAGTCTGTGCTTTACAGGGTTCACAGATACATCCTACATCTAAAGGCCCAAACCTTGGAAGCACACCGCAAGCTTTAAGCTCTTCTTCAACTGATCTGCTTCTCACTTGCAACATCCTGCATCTCAACGCTCGAGAAAGTCTGGCAGTCGCCTCAGAAACTGCATCGGCACCCCAACGCTGCGACCAGAACTCAATATCCACCGACCTTTTATGTCCCCTAAACTCCGAGCTGCCCAATACGGCCTTCCGAATCCGTAGCGGTTAAAGGTATCTTGTTGACGAAGTGGGCGTCCGGTACTCCCAGGCATGGCCGCCAGAGCCCCCCAAATCCTTTACTCATTTAGAGCCTGGTGGAATTGGGATCCGTTTTTCACCTGCCTTGGGGCGGTTAAGGGTGTTTCGGGTTGAGGGTTTTCAGGGCAACGGGTTCTCCATACCTGCGGGAACACCTCCTCGTTTGTCCTTGCTATTAAACAGTCCGGACAACTCAGTTCTAATATCATTCGGGCTCTACTTTAGATTGACGATGCGCGGACAAGATTCAAATGGGAATGCAGCCAAACCCAAACGCTTGATCGGCACTGAACCTAAATGCCCTAAACAGCAAAACCGGAAACAAAACAAATAGGGACGTCCGAAAGCTTAAGGCGTGATATTTCAACCGGTAAGCCTGAACGTTTTAATGGAGTTCCGAACCGCTCGAAGAACGCATAGAAGCTCTCATGTCCCAACCCCTGATCCTTGCGGGCATGTATGAGCATGTTCTAAGCCCACCAAGCTCTTGGTTTGAAGCTTCTTGAAGCCTTGCGAATCCTCTCCCATCTTGCGAATCCTCTCCCATACTTTGGCAGATCGTTCTCTTCGGCCGCTCCCTGGGTAGTGGCCCCGCCGTGTACCTAGCAGCGCAGTATCCCGTCGGAGGCGCGCCTTTTCTTTTTGTGAGGTGTGGGTGGGGTGGGTGGGTGGGTGGGGGGGGCGGGGTATTTTCTGGCTCTTTCAGCCCTGTGGTTTGCAGGACTTTTGGAGTACGGACTCCTTGGCTGAGAAGCTCAAAGACGGGTCCCGAAAGGCATTTCACTCTCTAAGACTTTGGGGTGCTATTTAATGCTAACTGCCCACAACCAACGCCCTTCCCATGGTACAGTCGCAAACCCTCGTACACGTCCTTGCATCCCAAACCCGCTAACTTCCGATGACCCCTCAGCAACCCTAAGCCACCCCCCTATTCGACTCGTGCGTGAGGCCTGATCTTGGTCTCTGCTTTTGCATCTATCAAGGCAGCAGTGCAGCACCGCAGCTGTCTTTAGAGGTATTGTGAAGGATTGAACCCGGAGCCTCCCTAAACCTCCTGAAGAAGCTATAGAATTCATTTCCTTGATGTTGACTTCTGATGTAAGCTTCCAGCAATAAGCCTGAAGCCCTGGGCTTGATCAGCATGGTGCTGTCTAGGTGTTTGGCCGTTTAGAGCTGGTCATTTGAGATTGCTTTGTCCATCAAACCTGAGTTCTTTGTTGGAGGTTGAAGTGGAGAGTGGAAGATTAATGAACCAGCTCAGGAGCATCGTAGGGCGAGTGGCGGCGTGGACCTTCGCAGAGCGCTTTCCGCAGCTTCGCTGGCCAACCAATGAAAGGTCTTAGAGGGAGCGGACCATAGCAAAACCGGGGGCCTTTCTGAGAAATCCTCGGCAAGCAGGCTCATGAAATCCAAACCCACTCCCTCTGGGACAACCCCCCAGTATTAAAGTCAGCTTTCTCATACAGCCGCTGATGGGGCTGGTTTTCGTGGGCTTTGGGGGTTTACCTGGGGTTTGAGGTTTGTTGGGCTTCTGGATCTTTGGTTTCAGTGTTTCGAAGGCGTTGGACCGACTTTCCGATTTCATTTTGGGTCGTTGATTGCTGCTGTCGGTATCCGAACTTGTTCCTGCTTTTCCAGGTTGCTCCATAATTATTGTCGACATGACATATACTCTTCTCTTTCGAATGCTGCTCACCTCGGTGTCCACTTCTGAGCGAACCTTGTGCTGACAAGGTAGTGATATTCGATCGTTGGCGGGAAGCCGGCCAACAATTTAAAGGCCTTTTCAACGCTCTCTCAATGTTTTCTGTATCAATCTTTCAGGATACCATGTGAGATTTCTATTCCGCATCGTGGCTCCACCCTTTTAGGATTCTTGTGGGCGCTGCGCATGGAACGCCAAAAAGCCATCCTTTCATCGCCTGCCTCTGCATCAAGGCCACGGAAAAGTGGGCTAGGTAGGCTGGCTAGGTTGAGACCGGCAGGCTAAATAGCTTCAGTTGAAGCAACCGAGTTTTCATCTCAAGGATTTCAGAGCTTAATGTTGACCTCCTCTGAGAATCCCCCCCCCACCCCCCCCCCTCTTCCATCCCAATTAGAACATATTAGAACCGAAACCCTAGAGCTCTCTTCCGGCTTCATTGCGAATAGAGGGCCTGTAGAGTCAGACAGGGTCTTCCTGCACCTTCTTCAGGAATAGCCGGATCATCTCGAATGTCTCCTGCTCTACGCTCTTCATCCATGGCGAGGTGTCGTCTGCATCCAAGGTAATTATATCATGAGCATTTTTCCGAAATGCACATTGAAGGGACAGAGACTTTCAGGTTGGAAGTGCAGTGAGCTGCATATTATCCAACATCTGCAAGACACAATTTCAACGTCAGTTTGTACGGCTTTGACCAGCTATCGAATCACAGCGTAAAGCGCATGAATATACATCCCTGGGATACCATCACAAACATTACATCCAGACTCCCTGAAGCCTCCAACTCTTGGGCTGAAACCTTTTATGTTGAAACCTCCATCTGACTGGGACCGCGGAAAGGTCGCCTGGCAGCTTAAGGTTTCATAAGACCGCTATCGCACCAAAGCTTGCGTGTCAAGGCCGTGTGATCAACCCTTCAGGTGGCCTTGGTTACCTCATTATAGTCGGGCTTGTTGGGGCCGGAGTTCCAGATTAATCTTGAATGCTAGGCTTTTTGCTCCATCGTCATGGGGTAGGGTGGCAGGTTCGGCTTTGGCTTCTTTTGTTAAGCAAGCCTTGGCATTTCCTGTCAAGGAACTCGGTTCGGAAGTGCCCCCCCAACATCCGGAGGCTTACTTTTGTCCCATTTTGCCGCAGGCTGACAGCCTCATACCGGCCGATCATTCGCTGAGGCCTCCATGCAGCTTGTGACTGTCGGTTTGAGACTTGTAGATTGTAGATGCTGCCTGTAGGATTTAGAGTTTAGAGCTTGCCAGAAGTGGCGCAAGAGTCGATTTCCCTTCTTTCCCCGCTTTCTTGACTTTCTATCATGTTTGCACTTTTCTCTGCCATTTTCCGGTTCTGGTTCAGGGAGGCGGGCCTCATCTGAGTCTTGGGATTCCGACTTCAAAGTTCCAGGAATGGGCTCGTTCGCCACAAGTGCACACACCGGCGCTCTCATTCTCGCTGCGGACATCCCGGACTCCTCTTTGTCCCTTATGTTTTGATTTTAAGTGAGAAGAACCCTTTTTTGTGTGGCGGCCTCCGAGGCTCTTCAAGCGCTGCCGAGCAAGGAAGCTGCTTGTGACACCCAAGATGCCCGGCTCAAACATTCCAGCTCCTGCTTACTCGTACTAAGTGACTAGCCCTAAGCCCCAAAGCGGTAAAACCCTGTTAAATTCCTGTAAGTGCAAGCGGGTCCATCTCAGGTCTCGGGATCTGAGTTCGCCATGGGTTTCAGACTGAGGCTTGATTTGTTTTCTGAGACCGTAGGGTTATTATGCAGTTTGAGGCCTGCAAAGTGCCGTGCTGTCCAAGAAAAGCCGAAAAACAATCTCCAGATCCCGAAGATAGCTTTTTGAGGGGGTTTTTGGGACACTACAGCATTCATGTTGGGGGCAGCACAACATGGTTGCAGTATAAGCTGATGCTCCCTGTGCTGTAGTCTCAACTACTGCTCAAGCCATACTCAGGTTCTAATCTTAAAAAAACTCAAACCCAACTCTCCAATGAGAAGAGCTGGACCCCGAACCGGAAACCCTCCAAGACACGGAGTAGGCAAGATACATGCAGCAAGAAGGCAGACAAAGAGGCAGAGGCACATGGGGGGGGGGATATGCATATATATGCATATATATATATATATGTGTGTGTACACACATTGATGGCCCTAGGGTTTGGTCGTGCAGCATGTGCACTTACTTGCAGGGCCTGGGCTGGCTTGCCACCAGCTTTAGGGTTTCGGCTTGGCCTGTTGCACTCAGGAAGATGGAGCACAACTCCAATTTGTTCGGCGATGCCTCGTTGCTTGTACATCTGTTTTGTCTTGCAGAAGTTGAGGGCGCAGGGTGCAGCCAAACGAGGAAAACCCAAACAACCTAGGGCTAAGTTTCGTGATCCGTACATCTTGGCTTGTTGGTTTCTGCCCCATCTCAGAGTAGCAGTTGGCCTGTGTTCTTGAGGCTTTGCATGCCTACAATTGCATATGCATTTAATTCTCGTTACACCACGAACTCTCAACCGCATTCTTAAGTCCAAGGTCCTCGCACTCGAAGTTGTTCATAAACTCGAGGCTTTCGGAGCCCAGAAGAATTGAGCTTGATGGTTTCAGTCCAGCAGATGTGGAAGCATCATGAATCATGCAAGAGCTCAGCAAGATCGTTCTACTTTGCTATCATCCCTCCGTGTTCACCAGAAAGAGCGGGAAAGCTACATAACATGCTTTAAGGCCCTTCAGCTTGTGCAGATCAGGCCACGATCTCACCTCTGCCCAGGCAAAGCGGGAAAGCCCGTTATCATGACCTCCTTCCACTCGGAAGAAAACCAGGCAGACAGGGACCCAACGCGCCGGGCCCCGGCCACTAAAGCCTGAACCCGAAGCTTGCTGAAAACCCCTTGGGCCGCTCCAGGTTTCTGGCTGTGCCTGCGATTCATTTCTTTGGCTTTCCCGGATCCCAGGCTGAATTCAGGGCAGGACTTTCTTTTTCGTCCCTAAACCGCTACGACGGTCAGAGGACATCAGCTGAATTCGACGGCTCGAGGTTGAGCCCCAGGGTAGCCAAGGCTTGGTAAGGGGAATTGGCCAAAAGGCACTGAAAGCCAAGGATACTACACAGTCTCACCTCCACGGCTACCAGCGCACCTCTTCGAAGATCCCACGAAGATGCTCAGCGGCATCATGAAGCAAACAACTTGGCCAGTTCTGGTGGAGTATGGCGCGGATCCAAATAAATTGTTGGTTCGCAATCATATGTTTGGGCAATAGATGTTTTTGCGTTCGACGTAAAAGTTTTGATTGTGCCGCTCTCGAATCTAGACGAGGGCTTCGAAGCTGCCCTACGCAGGCCCAACCGTTCGAGACGACTGCGTTGACCTACATGCTGCATGCAATCTGAAGCCCTAAGCCGAAGATGGCCTTGCAATGTCCGAAACCTCCAAGCATTTTCAACCCAGCTTGTCAGTTTCCAGCTTGTTGGTCTAAAGGCCCCATTTGGAGTCCGCATTCCCCATAAAAATCTGAAGCTGCCCATACAAAACCACCACTGTAATTATGCCGAGTTGTACTGAGCTACACCCCTTGAGTCTTCCAGCCTGAGCACTCAACAAAAGTCGAATTAAATCCACGACCTGAGAGCCGCATCCAGGAAGAAGGACAGTCTCAGCGACGCTGCAAAGGGGCCATTCACCTGCCTGAAGAAGCTCGGCAAGCTTTGTGTGAGGGGCATTGGAGTCCGGTGCAGGGCTCCTCCCCTCAGATACTGGTCAAAAATGGGTGGGTACGCCGGGAGGGCAGGAACTCTGGTTCGGGGTGTTAGATTTCAACTCAGCCCAAAGGTTTCGAGAGAAGTTGGGCTTTCAAAATAAAAGATGAAGACTCCAGAGACAGCCCACAACCCTGGAGCAGGAAGCCTTTGTTCTGCGACTGCTTCGCCAAGCACGAGGCGCAGAACAACATGGCCGATGGCACGCCATGCAAGCCGGAGGGCACCATAGAGAAGCTTGACTTGCGTAGTGCTTGGTACGAAACGCGTTCAACGCTTGAACATATGGGAACATTTGGGAACATTGTTGATTTTACATATTGGGGTTCACACTTCTTTTCAGGAGCGCAGGGTCTGCGCGTGAGAGGTGCTGTGCCCAGGGGATGCCGTGGTCGGGAAATTTGTCAGGTCACCTTGCCAAGCAAAAGTCCCTACACTCCAACCGCGGGAGCCCAAAGTGGACAGCGCACTGACAGGAACGCACGCCGACACGCCCGTTGTGCCTAAGGTAAACGGAGTCTGGGGTTGTGGTTTTGAGGGCCTTGCCCCTCCGAGGAACATCAGCATTGGCTTCCCGGAGATGGCCATGGAGGATCCAAGCATCCTGCAGATGGACCCGCTCCTCGGCCATTCCGAGCACAACTTGATCAAAGCAGCCGACATAGGGTTCCGACGCATCCCGCAAGGCCAATAAGCGGCGTCGTCAGCCGTGACTTGCAAGAGAGCTTGAAGACCCTGCCCCGATGCCCTAAAGTCCTCAAAGCTTGATGTCCCCAAAAAAATCCCCAAACCCTGAAAGCCCCAAATTCCGGAACCTCCAAAAGTGCGCACACACACAAATGCACACACGCACACTCACACTCACACTCACACTCACACTCACACTCACACTCACACTCACACTCACACTCACACTCACACTCACACTCACATTCTCTCTCACACACTCTCTCTCTCTCTCACACACACACACGCTCTCTCTCTCTCTCACACACACACACTCTCACGGATCGTACGCGCACCGCACCCATACAAACACGCACACGATCGCACACGCACGCACACATACACCAAACAAACAAACAAACAAACAAACAAACAAACAAACAAACAAACAAACAAACAAACAAACAAACAAACAAACAAACACACACACACACAACACAAACAAACAAACAAACAAACAAACAAACAAACAAACAAACAAACAAAAAACAAACAAACAAACAAACAAGCAAACAAACAAACAAACACACAAACAAACAAACAAACAAACAAACAACCAACCAAACAAACAAACAAACAAACACACAAACAAACAAACAAACAAACAAACAAACAAACAAACAAACAAACAAACAAACAAACAAACAAACAAACAAACAAACAAACAAACAAACAAACACACAAACAAACACACAAACAAACAAACAAACAAACAAACAAGCAAACAAACAAACAAACAAACACACAAACAAACACACACACACACACACAAACAAACACACAAACAAACAAACAAACAAACAAGCAAACAAGCAAGCAAGCAAGCAAGCAAACAAACAAACAAACACACAGACAAACAAACAAACAAGCAAGCAAGCAAGCAAGCAAACAAACAAACAACAACTAGCGAAAACAAACAAACAGACAGACACACAGACAGACGGACGGACAGACAGAAAGACAGACAAACAAACAGAAGACACAGAGAGAGAGACCGACAGACGGACAGACAGACAGATAGACAGACAGACGCACAGACAGACAGGCAGGCAGACATCACTCACTCACTCGCTCGCTCGCTTACTCACTCACTCACTCACTCGCTCACTCACTCACTCACTCACACACTCACTACACACAATTCTCTCTCACACGCTCGCACACACTTCTTTCTGACTGCCTAATTTGCTGCAGATTTCCACAGTCAGGAAGTCCTACAAGGGACCCTCCTCGCCACAGCACCCGGGCACCGATATGGCTTAAGGAGTGTTTTCAGGCTATGGGGCGGGTTAAGGTTAGGGCTTGAACAGGTTTGAAGGGGTTCTTGCAAACTCTGTACTCGAAACCCTGTTCAGGTTCAGGGCTGGCGGAAGAGGGTCGAAATCTGCCCATGCGTACACGGTCGAACTCAGCAGACCACGAGTCGACCTGAAAAAGTTGGAGGTCAACCCCGTGACTCTGGAGTCCATCCTGTCCCCCATCGAGAATTCCCTCTCACTCACGCTCGAAACACTCGCATGCACAACCCTCCTCCTCTGCCATGTCGCCTACCGGTCAACCAACCCTGAATTTATTCCATCCAAACACGAGAAGCCTCGGGCGCTAGGGCCTTTCATGCCCCAAACCCCATCAACTCAAGGCAGCCGCACAGCCCCTCGGCTGCGAGCATCGGCGAGGAGGATGCGCCCTCCATGGGAGGCGGTCTCTCTGCAGCTTGGGCAGTCAAGAAAGGGCTTACCGTGTTGGCTCAGGCTTCAAGAATATGAATATTCCAAGGTTCAGTGAAGTTCAGTGCATGAGCGATTCTAGTGAGCATATTCGCTTGGTGACACGGACTGTGTAGGACCCATGTCTCGCCGGATTTTGGCGGAATCCAAATGGCCCTGGAAGTGACACCTCCGCTGTTTTGTTATGTGAGGAAGCCTCTGCGCACGTTCCCCGACTGCGCACCTAAGCGCTGAACCGCTGCACCGGTGCAAAAGGAGATGAAACGGATCGATGTCGACAAGGAAGAGGACGAAGAGGATGAGTGGCAAGAGCAAAGGGGCTCGATAATGTCCTTCACCGCTTGAGCTCGATGTTTTTGCTGCTGAGGGTGTTAGGGGTTTAAAGTAGGGAGCGTGTGGCATTTGTTCCACGCAGGGTCCGGGGAAATCCGAAGGCGTATAGGGCATGCAGGCTTGAGACAGCGGTGATTTGGGTACAGGCTGGAGGTTCAAGTGGCACTGTGAGCATGCTTTGGAAGTGGTGTCTTGGATGACGATAACCACTGGTCCTCCAGGCTATTTCGATGCTAGGCAAGCAGCGCGAACGCTTGCGGCTGACCAAGCAGCAGCAAGTTTTGTTGCCTGCTCGTGAAGAACCTGAGCTGGGCGTCTCTAAAGTCGAGGCTAACCAGGGCTTTTGTAGAAGGAAATCAAAGCCGCCACGAGCAACCCCGAAGTAGCAAAGTGTTCGCCGTTCCGGTCACCTTCGAGACACCCAAAACGGCATGGCGCGATACGTCGCACATCACGTGCCGTCGTGGAATCAGCTGCCCAAGGCAGCGGCCTACGTAGCACCAGCAAAGCAAGCGGGTAGGGTTCGAAATATCTAGAAGAAGCGGCCCTAAACACGATCACTAAACCAAGAACTGCCCCCAATTCCTGCAATCCTGGAGCAGTCGGCTGTTCACCGCACCCTATCCAACGCGAGCTCTTGCTCTCCGTCTGACCAAAAGACTTGCTGAGCTTTCGGGGCCATTCGTCTTTGTTTTTCTTTCCCCCGTTTAGGATTAAGGCTTTAGGATGGCTCAGGGCCTCGGGTATGCGGAGGGCATGTAGTTTAGAGCCAGAAGTGCGGTGTGGTTGCGACAATGGTTTGCCTTTTTTTTGCTAAGAGTTGAGGGTTCATTTCTAAGAGTTTGGGTTTAGAAATTTGCTACGTGTCTTGGTTCGGTGGACTTGGCAACATGTGATTGTTCTGTGGACCTCCCGCCGCTCTGGCTTAAGCCAAGCTGACGGCCACTGTCTGCGGCAGAAAAAAACACCGGGAGCCAAGCCGCCTGCAGACCCCAGAGTGTGCGGCCCAACCCACAACCCCAGCCCTCAGCAAATTTTGGGTGCTTTAGGGTTTGGCTTAAACCAGTGAGCCCTGAACTCCGACACGCCCCTGATGTTTCAACCACCTCAAACCCTGAAGCGACCCGAAGCCCTTCTATACAAGCCCATTCTAAGAATTTTGGAATGTAGGGGGAAGTCGGGGGAAGCCACGGAAGCCAAAGATGGAGCTCTCATGGCTGCCGCGGCAACTTCGGCGCGCCGAGCCCACTCCGAGGCCGCGGGGTGATTCGAGCGTCTGCGTCCGTTAGAGTTCGAGTGCTCGCGTTTGTTTCGTGTATGTTAGAGGCGGTGGGAGGGGGGGGGGGGGGGGGGGGGGGTGGGCGGGGGTGGGGCGAGGGGCTGCTTGGTTTCATTCTGAAGCTTCATGTTCAAGACCTCGGCTCAGGAGGCATTTGAGAGCAAGATCGGCTTGCAAATGGGACAGAGCCGAGGGCTTGATAACTTGTTCGCTTCGACTAGGCGCGAGCGCTGCTAGACTGGGATCGCGGGACCCCATGGATGTTCCCCACTCGCAGTTTGGACCTCACGTTAGCCCAGTTCGTGTTCCTCTGAGAACAGACGTGTTGCGACCTTCAAGGTGATAGTCGAGGATTCGAGTCTAGAGGTTGAACAACAGTTGTTGGGTTTGGACATGAGACGGTCTATGAAAGTTTTGATGGCCGAGCACATGTAGCTCTGAAACAGTCACAGTGGGCTTGAAGCCTGTTAGTCGTATACTTGGAAATCGTTTAGCTGAAGGTCTGAGAAACCCACCAGCCCGAACCGACAATATGTGAAAGATCCACGTGAGTCACGGACGGCTTCAGTGGCAGGCGCCGATGCGGTTGCCGCAAGTGTGCTTCGGAGGATGATTATGATTGGGCTTGCTCTTTGTGTGAATTTTTGCTTCGCTGGAACTGGTAATCCAAAGGGATGACATGACTTCGATCCGTTGCTCCCCGCCCTTTGTTGTCGGGTTGTTAGAGATGTTCAAAACCACACCCATGCTCCTTGCCTCCTCGCCCGGCGCCAGGTCTCCTGGGCCTGGTCCATGGAGTGCCCCCAGAGAAGCCCGCAGAGAGTCCCGCCCAGTATCCTGGAGCGCCATTCTTCAGAGAAGCCGGCAAAAAGTCCTGCCGAGTATTCCTGGAGTGCAATTCTTCAGAGAAGCCCACAAAGAATCCTGCCGAGTGGCCCGAGCTCGCAGGGATATCTCTGGAGCGATTTCAGGGAGACCCGCCGAACATCCTTGGAGTACCACCTCCAGGGAAGCGCGGAAAGCGAAGTATCCGTCATCACCTGTCCGAAAACGTCAGGATGGCTCCTACAGCAGGGCTTTCGTAGGGCAGCGGATCGAGACGAGACTTTTACTTGGGGTCTTGAGTGGTCTAGGTGTGTTGTGCTTTGTGGGTGTTTTGAGGGCAGGGTTTTGGGATGTTTTGGGTGCGCTGGTTTTAGGAGGCCACATGGCCAAAATGCCACTGCGTGGAAACACCTTCAGCCTTCAACCCTTAAAGACTCGTTGGTAAATGCCCTGAACTCCAAAGAGTTCAGACAACCTCGGGCCCCTTTCAGAAGCCACAGTCAACCTCCGGAGCCTCCCCCACAACTCCGAGGACCCCTCCAGTCGCGCGCCCAGTTTTCGGGGTCGTTGGCGGGCACCTGACCCCTGCGCATGAACTTCTAAAACCCGGTATATTGCTTGAAACATGTTAACTTGTACAAGGACTCGACGCTCCCGCTGGTTGTGCCCAGGTCCATGTCCTCCCCACTAAACCCACTTCTCACGGTTAGAGTCTTTTTGGATTTTGCCGGCTCTACACTTGGGATGTCGTGTAACAACAAGGTGCAACCTTCCATCTTGTTTCCTTGTTGTAAGTGCTTTTCATGCCAGAAACGCTTGCGTGTTTGAAATGTCTTCACCTCCGAAAATAGAGAACCCCAAAAGAACTAAGCGCTTGTTGTGCATGACATGCAGTGCGGCCACTGGTACAAGATCTCCGGGAAACGAAGTCCAAAGAGGAACAGGTTTGTGTCAACGCAGCTGTGGATGGCCTAGTCTGTACTGTTCTTCACACAGCGAGGCATCATGCTGATGCAAGCTTCAACGGTCCAATTCCGGTTTTGGCCATCGGTAGCATTCTCGACGAACTCCACCTCCAAGAATGCAGCACCAAGTGCAAGGAACAAGCTGTACCTCAAACACCTCAATGTTGGTTCAGGATTTTGAGGAGCCTGCAGTCCCAAACCCACAAGCCCGAACAAAAGCCCCAAGGTCCAGGCCCGAAAAACCCGGTTGGGCAAGTTGGGGGCACTCATAGCTCGATGCTTGGGCGGGAATCACTGGATTGAGGGTTTGGTTGGCTTGTCTGGCTCGTCTGGCTTGGTGTTCGGGTGTAGAGTCGAGTTTGCCCAGATTTTGTTCACGGTCCGGGCCCAGGACACCCGTGAGGGAGAGCGACATGGTTCCGGAAGGACAATCCTTGCTGGGTTCCCATCTCCATCAAGTTGGATACTAGTTGCATCAGGCATGCCGTGAAACTCTAAGGGAATTGTTAAGCAAGGAGTTTGGAGAATGATGTGGGCCCTCTTAAAATCCAGGCTCCTGTTTCCGCACTTTTGCAACACACTATTGTGCACTTTTGGAGAAGACCTTCAGGTTTAACACGTTTAACTCATGAGGGGGAAAAGCCACTTCTAGTTTGCGGATGTGGTAAACGAGGGTGGCTGGATCCAAGCTCTAAGGGGCATAATTATTGTGTTTTGAGTGGTTATTTAGGGAGCGCTTGGGGGCAGTTCAAGGCTCCAACGCGTGTCAAAGGCCCGCCCCACGCCACACCCACAAGACTCGCGCGAGGGTGCGTGGCGGAAGCCTACCACCACGGACGGAAGGCGCCGAGGGATTTGGGCTCCAAGCTTTTTGCATCTTGAGAAGGTTCTGAAGTTCCAAAGTTCTGCGCGATTTCAGTCTTTTTTCTCTGAGCCCCAGGGCCCTCGGCGTTCAGATCTTGAGGAGCTCAAGCGGTTGCGATGCGTTCCAAGGCGGCGGTTGCAGAAGGTGGTAGAGCCAGCGGCCTAAAGCCTTGGTGCCAAGGAAGATATGAATCTGAGTCTCGCACGTGCAGCATAGGGTCTCCAAAATTAGAAGCAGCAGTGGTGCCGAACAGCCCCTGTGCCACTTGCCTCCAAGTACTTCTTCGAACGAAACCCCTAACTGGTTGACAGCAACGCAAACCATGACGTATGGGGGGACGTTTAATTTAGTGACGGCAAATCTCACACAAAATGTTCGTGGGGGACGCTGAGAACTCCTGGGGGGCTTGACGAACAAAGATCCCCCCGAAAAGCCTCAAAGAGGTGGAAAGCCCCGTCGCGGGGCATCTGCGGTGCCTGACAAGCTGCAACTTGCCGCACCTCAGAGGGAACCCGTGAAGACACAAAAGAAGTGGAGAAGGTTTAGGGTTCAGGGTGGTGTTAGGATGTTGGGGTGTTAGGGTTTAGCAGGGTTTAGCAGGGTTTAGCATTTAGGGTTTAGGTTTGTCCGTCATGAGTGGCTGAATGTAGCTTAAATGCCTCAGCGCGGCGCCAGATCATAGTTCATCATAACCTGTCTCCTTCGAAAAGCTTCCTCCAGGCCTTCCCTGGGACCGACTTCCAGGGGCTACGCAGATGCCTCAGCACTTGGGGGTGCCAGTGCTTCGGGATCTCGTTATGCTGTCTTGTGTGTTGTCTCGTAATGTATTGTAGTTGCAGGGCTGCCCATGACACTGCGGCAAGATTGCGCTGATGTTCCTTCAGGGACAGTTCAAAGCTTGGTACATGCGGACGTTGTGGTTTGCGTTGTGCGGGTGCTTAAGGTGTGCCTTCGGGTCTATAAGACTCCTGTTGGGTGCTGATGGGGGGGGGGGGGTATGCTGAGAACGTGTAGCGGCGATGAGCTTTCTTTGAGACCTGGCTCAGGCCCAAAGGGATCTTGGCCTCCCGGCTGCCGTCAGCTTCGGAGGTTAGAGTTTGAAGCTCCTTCAAGGAGTTTTTCAAGATCTTTTGGCAGATTGCGGTGTCGGCTGTGTGGCTTTCGGCTACCGTCGAACAACCCACGTTCCCGGGAAGCGGGGAGAGAAAAAACAGAGGCATGTGCTAGCCTCCAGGTTCCGGGTCGCTTGCAGAGGAGGGCAGCCACCGAGGACGAGGGTTTCAAAATACAAAGCCGGATCGTTTTTGCCACTCTGGATTTTTTCGTCGGCTCCATTATGTGTTGAGCTCGAATAGGAAGATCTGAACACGTCCCAGATACACCGATATCAGTAGACTACCCAGAAACGTGCGCAGAGGGAAGCCCAAAACAACAACGACCTCTCCGAAACCCGAGCCCCTGCAAACTGCCGCCTCGGGGAGTGGTGGCGAGCTTAGAAGGGCTTAGGAGGGGGGCTTGATAGGGTTGAGGACGGAATGAGCATTTGGGGAAACCCAAGGTCCAGAACCTTCAGTTAGTTTGAGCTGTAATTCCCTATAAACCCACATCCCTGCGCGGGCTTCGCCTCAGGGCTCAGAAGACCGACTGTGTAGACTCTTTCAAAGGACGGCCTCCGCTCGCACCCGGCGTGGCCGCGCCAAAGGCTGGCAAATAGTCCCAAACTTGAACGGATCGGTCTATCTAGAGTATGAAGCTCAAGTCCGAGAGAGCCCACTCTGTAAAACAAGATCTTAGAGTCTTTTCAGGCTTCAGGCGCTTCACTTGCGTTAGTGCGGGTCAAGACAATCATCCTCAACCTTCAGTGGTACTTCCCAGATCCTATCCTACCCTGCCACGAAGCGAGAAAAGCCCCCTCACCCAGGCACGCGCGACCGCAGGGATGGACAAAGCCGTCAGCAGCACCAGCAGCAGCAGCTCGACTGCTAGAGGATGCTATGATGTGCTATAGGTGGCATTCGCTTGTATTGGTCTTAGTGTTTATGGCAAAGGTCAAAGGTCTCATTTACAAGTCGGGTTCTTTAGTTATGTCTTTCAGAGCTTGGACGCAGTACTAGGACTGCACCGACTTGACGCTTTTTCTTTGGTCTTGGGGCTATGGCTACTGAAGAATTCTGTGCGCTTTTGGAGCTTCGGCTTTTGGATGTAGCTTCGGTATTGCGACGTTTTCCTTCCAGGACGCGGTCTCGTGAGTCTCGTGGCACGCAAGTGCTGCTTGAGTGTAACAAGGCTCGCAGTCCTCTTGGCCTGATGGCCCTAAGCCTCGTCCCAGCCGCATTCAACCTCTCCGTTTGCCCGGTTCGCCCTCGATCGTGCAGTTGGAGTCGGAGACATATCAGTTGTCACTCTGATAAGTCCAACCACCAGCCTGACACGTTCAGATGTTCTGGAGGTTTCTTTCTGTCTATTTCTTGAATAATTATACATCGCGTGAAGGTAGGTCGCGCAGGGGGGGTCCCTGGGTCCAAGAATCGGCATCCCAGCAGACCCTGTGCAGCCCCTCGAGGTTTGGGGCTCAGGCTCTAAAGGGTACCAGAAATCAGATTCCCACAGGGCTTCTTGAGGCAGTGTAGGTTTCGGAGGTTCCGCTTGGAGCATTTCCCTCGAAAGCGCCACAAAAGAACCGAACTCCACCAAACTGTCAAGCCTCCTCAAGGCAAGCCGCACGTCGCTCGCACACGCGCGTCAGCCCAGCCGCGCCCCCAACCTGGGGTTCATTTTTATGGGGCGCATTTGGCACGAAGGATGTAGCTTGTTGAAGGGTTTTAGGGTTAAGGCTCGGTTAAGGCTTCTTGAGCCTCGGGGAATTGGGTGAAGATTGAGGCTTAGGAGCTTTGGATTCCAGGCCTAGGGCTGAGGGAGAAGGATTTCCATGTAGCTTTACTATTGATTGATGACCTGGGGCGCAATGCTTTTTCGAGAGCAGGATGATGCTTTTGGTAAGATTGGCAAGGGAGGCGATGGGACTTGTGAACGTCACTTGCCTCTCATCATCTACCGGGTACAAAGAAACCGCCCCTGAAAACAGGGATTCCCCCAAACTAATAAGCATCCAAGTAAGCAATCTAGCGGCCACGACCGCGACCGCAAGCCCTAAGGCTTTTCTAAAGACAAGGACAGTCGGGCAATGCCACGCAAAAGGCCATCACCTCACAAGTTTGAGGAGTGCTTGAAGTGCGGCAACTAGCCACAAGTCCATCCCACATGCTTGCGGGATCAACTGTGGCAGGTGGCTGTAGAAACCTGCAGAGCAGTGGTGACCTTGCCGCCTTCTATGTTGATACCAGTATCTCTAAAGAACAGGGACCCGACGAGCTTGACCTGGAACCGTGTAGGATGCTGTAGGTCTTGAAGGTTCTGCGTTGCAGCCCCGTACTGTCTTGACGTAGGGTGTTGTTTGCACGGCCACGACAATGAGTTCTTGTGTAGCGAATCCCGACTTCGAACTCTCCACCTAAGAACTCGGAACTCTGAGGTTTCAGAGTTTGAGGGTTTAAAGTTTAAAGTATTGAAGCCTCCTTGCGGTTTTGGATGTGCCTTCAGGCTGTAGGATGCTCTGCGGAGTTGAACACTCAGAATTCAGACGCCAGAACCCTGATCCCGTCGTTGAGCCCTGTGCATTCATAGAGCTCGTGCTGTTCGAAAATGCCAGGACACGAAACCCCCCCTCCCGGCCAACAAAGACCAACAATGATGCACAGCATACTAGTACGGAACAAACCGAAGTTCTGAAGGCACCAGAAATACCAGACAAAAATGGCTCTCCCCCCTAAGGCCCGCCAAAGAGCGACCCGCTGGCAAGCAGCCCGGCAAGCTGGTCGTAGAACCAACAGAGGTGGGGCTCCGAAGGGCCCGTTTGAAGGTTCTGCAGGGGCTGTCGAATCTCGGGAATCTCGGGTGCAGAGTTCATGCAAAACCCTTCCAAAGTCCAGGCCTCATCCCTGAACTCACAAAAAAAGCTGCACTATGGTCCTGTGTTTGATAGTACCATGGCTCGCCCGATCTTAAGGGTAGACGGCGCTGCCCGCTACGGGTATACAGATTCTTGGTCCGATGTTGACAAGCTTTTTTTGTCTTTGAAGCTCAGCAGCAAAGCACGACTCTGGCTTGAGCAACGATATTGCTTCTGCAGGCGCAGGCTCCAGGATGCTCTCTGAGGCTTCATTAAAGGTTTTGACGAAGGGAGCCCTTCAAATTCGGAGAAAAGTACCTGGGCTTCAAACCAGCTTCCCGGATTCTAGATCTTCAAGCAGGCTGCGCAGCCTGCACGCAATCACGAGTCACCGAGCCGCATTTCGCAGAGAAAGGTTTGAGTCATTTCAGAGAAGGGGTTGGGTTGTAGGCTCAGGCTCATTAGCAGCTGTTGCTGTAGCGACCACACTTAGCAGCCACTCGCAGTCTGCAGGCTTCCGCTTAGTTCCTCGAACCTAAGCATTGAAGTATGCAATAAGCCTCCTTTAAAGCCGCTGGTTCGGCATCAGGTTGCCGGGTTCATGTGTTGAGGCAACATAGTTGTCTCATGTTGTGTCTGTGTGTGGGTGGTTTTGTTTTCAGGTTCTGCGCTGGGCTTCGGCATCCTTTAAGGTTTCTCAGAGCTGAGTGCTGCATTCTTCAAGCGGAAAAACTGGGGGGGGGGGGGCTCTGGGTACTTCGAAGTACAAGGGCCTCCCAGATACAGTAGGACCTGAGGAAGGACTTCGAGGTCACTGGTCTAAGTCTTGGCAACTTACCGGTTGCAGCCGGGTATTCCCTGAGATCATGCTCAGGGCCGCGCCCCGAACCCCGACATCATGAGACTGAAAGCCCCGGCCTTCAAAACAAAATCAAAAACAAACCACTTGGGTCCCCTGAACCTATGTTTGGGTGTGAGATGAGATGGCCATCAGCTGCCGAGCTCGAAAGCCTGGAGAGCACTTTATCGGGCATTTAGCGCTGCAACGTTTCGGCCCGAAGTGTTTTTTTTTTTTTTTTTTCTGGGCGATGGCTTCGCCCCCCAAAATTTCCCCCCTCTGCTGCGGAACTTTGAGTTGATTTTTTCAAAGAAGAGTCACGTGGCGCCCCTCAAACTCCATCTCACGGATGCTGAGGCCTCCGTACCCATAAAGGGCCCTTCAAACCCTCAAAGCGCTGACTTTTGAAGGAAGGAGGGCCACGTCCTTCGAGACTACGTCAGCGACGATCTCCGAAAGGCGAGGGGGGGGGGAGGAAAGATCGGCCCTCTCGGTGTTTTACGTCTTTCGGCTGTCAGTTTGGGATTGACAAGGCTGGGATTGACAGAGTATTCTGAGCGAACCGAAGGCTCGCAAATGGATTCTTCTTGACCTGGGGAAAGCCTAGTCACAGCCGAGGTCTTGGATGAAGAGGAGGTCACCTACAGCACTTTGCATGCAAGAGTACTTCAAGTTCTGGTCAGGCCGCTGTGCCGTTTCTCCTGAGTTTGGACCTCCAGGTCATGCACATCCCAGAGAGCTTTTCGGAAAGCGATGGCCTATCTGCAAAAACTGAACACAGCACTTCCTGGAGGGAATTTTAGACACGATGGAGTTTAGGGCAATTTGGCTTTTGAATGACGGGCATGGGGGATTTGGGGTCAAGCCTTGGCACCCGCCATCTGGAACCAGCCAGTCCTGATCCTGCAAACGGCCCGAAACCACGCACCCTACATGAATTCCTATGACCCTGCAATGACCCTATAAAGTCATGCGGGCATGAATCCCTTTCAACGAGGGCTTCGGGCACGGAGATGAGGGCTATTGGGGGAGCATTCATTGGATTCAATCTCCGAAGAGAGGCAGGTCATCAGAGCTCAGTTTTTTATCTGGGCTCAGTTCAGTGGCCCACCTCACCGAAACGGCAGGCGCCCCTAAGCTCCTTCTCACATGCAAACCTTTTCGAGCAAGCAGCCGGGGTCTGCAAACCTCAAATAAGAAGCACCAGGCCAAACCGAGATCGAAAGACCTCGAATATTCAAGAGCACAAAGCAAGGCTGGCGCCGTCGTCCCAAGGAGGAGCAAAAGGCGGAGAAGGCATCCTTGGAACGGAACAGGGTAACATCAAGCAGCTAAGCGCCCCACAACGAGCCGCTCCAAGTAGGCCGGGTGTGCCGGGTTTAGAGCGCATGAGTTGTCCATAGTTGTCCTGCGACCCTTCACCAAAAACCCTCACAAAACCAGGCACCCTACGGGTGCCGCATGCCCCCCCTACGCATCCCTACACAACCTTTGCTGCCAGGTCGCGACGGTCGCAAAGCCCAAAGCTCCCGAGCCAGTGTCCAAGCCGTTGCCCGAGCCGTTGCCGGGCCCGAGCCAGGTCAGGGAAGTCGGGGAAGGCGCGGAGCTCTGCGCCTCTTTTTCATCCCTTAGACATAAGCCCAGAGTCTCAGAGCTACTCGTACATTCACGTTGCGCCGAATCCTTACAGTCCTAGAGCCGAAAGCGGGCTCAGCGCATTGAGCTCAACAATAGAAGAATGTCTTTCCCAGCGATGAGAAGCCCTATCCCTTTTAGAGCAAGCCGCCCCACAACCACAAGCCTTAAACCTGAACCCACGCCCGCCTCGGTGCAAGCCCAGAGTACACAACCCGAAACCTGGCACCCGAACCTCACAACCCCCGAAGCTATAAACTCTCGACTACGATCCGCAGTTATTTAGGCTCCCAACTCGAAACCTGAACTCAAAACTCAAAACTTAAACCCCCAGTACAAGCACAACGCCCGAAACCCTTGCGTCCAAACATCCAAACCCTGACCCCCCTGCAGGGCAAGCCCAAAGCCCCAACGCTCCAAAATGGTGGAACCGGGGAGGGTCTATGCTGCTGGACAGGGCAATTGGTTTGCGTTTTGTGGTTCTGGTGGAGGTCTGGGTTTCGGGCTAAACGCGATTCCCAAGGATGAGGGTCAGGTGCTACCGCAGAACGGTGACGAGATCCCGATCGGCGTTGAATGCTTAGGGATTTGCGGCGAGGGCCGTAGACTTGTGGTTGACTTGTTTACCGGGGCAGGTGGGGTTCCATCAAGGTTTGCGGTTTAGTAGACCCAAACCCAGACCTGGACTCAGCTTGAGTCAATTGGCCCATGTCTTTGCCTGACTCACTGCTTCCCGAAAGCATGGTGTTTTGGGGTGCCTTCATGTATATTGGCTAGTAGGCGATTGCAGTGATTTGCGAATGTTTAGGGCAATGATTTCAACGCGGGGTTACCCAAACCGAGCCTACTACTGCCGCTGCCGCGTGAAGCAGGCATTTGCTCAGTTTTATGCCAGGAAGTGGCAACGTGGGCTTGCGAGGCTGCACTCTGATTTTCGGACGTAGTAAGTTTACCGATCTTGCCATGCTCTTGCTGTACTTCTGCACAAAGGGTATGTTGTGAGCCTTTCATATCCAAGCCTAGACTCGCGTAATGATTAGGAGCGAGAGACATTAATGAGTTTCTCGGGTCTTTGAGGCATTCAAAGGAACCTCTTTTGGACAATAGTTAGTTCGCTATGCTAAGGCAGTATCCGGTGACTCGCGAAGATTAACTTGTCAACAGGTTACTTGCCTTGCGGTTGCAGCAGCTCACAATCATAGGCTTTCTTGATCGTGTGTCCTAGGTCCTGAATGTGGCAAACATATCGAGAGCATGTGACCGACGTTGCACACGTCGTTCCATTTAACAGCACGCATTGAGCTGGCAACCTTGCAGCGAGCAAATGCGAAGAACGATTCACATCGCGCAAGCCCTTCGGTTCATATTAACGCCTGGCAGGCGGGACCAACAGCGATCCTCGCAGCAGTGGTTATGGCAGAAGCAGCATCCCGTCGCAAGTGTTTACCGTTGCCTCAAGGCCTGATGCCTCGAACAAGGCCGTATTTCTTAAACCCAAGTTTAGGTCGTTCGGAGCTCGTTCACTTGGACAGACTACTGTTGCTCTATCGGGTACCGGGAATGGATTGTTTTTTTGGAGGAATATGATTTATTTTATTGTTTTCTTCTTTTTTGGAGTTGTTTTTGCTCTTGCTGTCTGCGTTACACCGCATTGGGTCACCCTAAACCCTAAACCCTTAACCCCCCACTGACAGCACAAACAAAAACACAACGAATTCCTCAAAAGACCCGGACCCTCTTTTGGGCTCATGGGTAGAGGGTAGTATAGGGGCTAGCAAGGATTTTGGGAAAGGGTTCCTGGAGTGGGCCATTTAGCTCAGGTCTTTTGCCATTGGCAAAGCTCGAGAGGCCTGGCGCCTGATTTGGAAATTGTGTCGGGGACGCGAGCATGAAATTATTTTCCGCGTGCCACTGGAACTTCGGCGGCTTAGTTGTTTGAGGTTGGGACTCGGTCCTAGTCCCCCAAAAAAAGCCTTGGAACTTTCAAGTCCCGGAAAGGGGCTGAGACATGAATCACGAGGTCTTGGCCCGTCTGTTCAGCATTTTAAGTGAACCTTGACAAGCCCCAGGACCCCAAAACCGAGCAAGGCCCAGCAAAGCAGCTGCGCCTGGTCCGGCAAAGCCACCTGGGAAGCCACCTGGGCAGTGTGGAGGAGAGATTGGGGAGTTCAGGGTTTGAAGTTTGGGTTGAAGGGGCATGGCCCCCTAAACTTCCTAAACCCTTTAAACCACACAAGGACCGCAGGGCAATGTTACCAACATATGCTGCTCCTTGCCCTATTCGGGTGGACCTTTGCAATCCCTGTACAAGCAGAGCTTCGGTCACGCAGCTTGTCGCGGGAGGGCAAAAAGCCCTGCCCGAAAACCCGAGCCCCCGAACCCACGTTAAACATCTTGGGGGACGGGACAAGCCAGATGCGCCTTTCCCAGCTGCAAATCGCAGAGAGCTCTGAGACACTAACGCACTAGCAGGGAAGGCGGAAGGTTTTTGATCTTCGACCCGGCCTTGACCCTTTCTACCCTGCTCCCAGCCCTGTCGGACTCGTCGCGATGGCGGGTACCTGATTCTCCATTCCCTGACGACATTTTTCTTAAAGATCTTAAAGTCAAGCATGCTCCTGAGGGTTGTCACGTCCATGAACAGCGAAACTCCCGTCAAAGTACAAGGCTGAAGGCCTCGTGTTCAAAATCATCCAGCATCAAAAGAGACCCCGAAACCCGAAACCAAAGAAGCCTTAAAAAGCAGAGCCAAGGATTGACTTGGAGGCCGCAAAGGCCCGTCTTCCGGAAGCTCTGCGATGGGAGCTGCTGAGCCAAAGAAGATGGATTCAAGGGGGCCTTCAAGTGCCTTGTGGGTGGAGACTGACGATTGTGCGCAAGGCGCAAGGGGCTTGCTCGGCTAGGGGAGAAGCCCAAACCCTAATGAAACAAAGCAGCGCACAAGATGTCAAGTTGTTGGGATGTCCGTTTTTCATGCTTGAACCTCTGTCCGCTCGATGTCCTCTCATCTCCATTTCGTTCTCTAAAAAAACTTCAATAGGAGCACTTCTTTCTCTTCTTCACCTTACTGGAAAACCTTGATTTCCTCTAAGGAATCTGCTCTATGTTCCAATGGAACAATGGAGAATGCTCATCGGATGCCCATTCCTCCATGGTTGAATTTGTGTCTTCGAAGGACAACCTCATCTTCGTTTAGAGTCAAATGAGACAGCCTGTTTTCCCATATTTCTGTATTATATTCCATGGTCCAGAGAAAGCCAGGCCTGCTGCGCCCCAATTTGCTTGCCACGACGTCGATAAGAAGTTTGTTTGGCATCGGTTCCCATGGAGTTTCATGGGAGAACTTCTATATCCTCATACTTGTTCATGGGAGAAGTCTGTCCTCAGGCCTCAGGTCCTCAGGTCCTCAGGTCCTCAGGTCCTCAGGTCCTCTACTTGTTTAGTTGGAAGCCTGTGTCTGATTTCTTGTTTTAACGGTAGGCCTTCTCTTTGTTTTTGCAGCCCCAGAGCCAAGCAAACCGGAAACCGGAGCGAAGCGGGGCCCCAAATCTGCGGCCTCTACATTTGGTTCTGTTAGGTGGAGATTTGTCGATCCCCAAGCTGTTACTGTGGCAGGAGATTCGAGGCAGCAGAAGCCGCTGAAAAGTTTTCATGCCAAAGGCTACAGCCGACTGGAAAGCACAATTCGGACGACGAACTTCTAGACCCCAGCACGCTTGCTGAAGACCGTGAACATCACCCCCCCGAACCCCCAAAGCCGCCTAAACCTTCTCCTCACGATACATAGGAGTCGAAGAGGCAGCTCGGGGAGACCCTGTAGCAAAACAGTACCTGAAGCCCTGCTTCAGCTCCCTTTCTGCAATCACCTGTGTCGAGACGAGGCTTGTGCAGCCCCAGGCTGTGGGTGGGGGGGGCCATCTCGGCCATCAAGTCCTGCAAGTATTTACGAGGGCTTTTCTCAAAAGTGGCATCAGGGCTGAGAGTTCAAGGGTTAACGGGGTCAGGAACATATAAGGCAGGGTTGAAGAGCTGGCGGCGGAGGGGTTCGGATCGTGAGCATTTTGCGGAGCTAGGCCTTTCACTTTGCGGGGCAACAGGTGGAAAAGGAGGTTTTAGGATTTCGAGTTCACGTTTTAGTCGTGTGACGTGAGCTGTGCCTTTCAATGGCTGGTGGCTGCCGCAGTCGTCATCTCACTACACTTAGAGCCTAAGCCCGAAACCCGAAATTGCGCAAAGCCCTGAAACCTGCCCTCCGCTAGGCCGCTAAGACCTGACCCGAACTGCAGTTTGAGGCCATCCGCAGTCTTAGGGGCCGTCCACCCCTCCCTGTTAAAAGAATTTCACTTCGCTCGGCTTGGGCTCCAAGGCAGTGGAGTTCTGCTACTGCGACAGAATTTGAACACCCCAACAAGCTGGCAAACTGGCAAAGCGCAAATGAGTGGCATGGGAGGTCCAGCTGGTCACGTACGATGGCAGCGCGCCCTCTTTGAGACCCGGCCCGCTCTGCTGCGGAGCAGGCCAGTTAGCTGAAGTTGCGTGTATGGACTTCGAGCTCAGGTTTGGGTTAAGTGCTCTAATTAGCAACGGCTTTGCTGGGTTCTGTTGGACCCTTTTCGGAAGTGAAGGCAGTTGAAGGTTTCTTGAGCAATCAGGCAAAATGCTAGGACTTGCACTTCCGAGGGGCTGGTTTTTGAGGGCACGTGCGAATGCTTGAGAAGGGAAATACCAAAAGCACATATGTGGGAGACTTCCCGAAGCTTGCAAGGCATGAACATCATTCGAGCTTGGGATGGAGTCAGGAAATTTCATGCCGCTCTACGGCTGTACGGATGGGGGTTCACACGGCCTGGGGCTTGCAGGCATCTTCAGACAAGTTCAGAGTTCATGCTTTCCTTTCGCAAGCCCCGAAAACAGGCGACCAAGTGCCGGCAGTCCCGATTTGGCTGGCACGGTGGCTGCAGGGCAAGTGCTCGTCGGCGGTGGAGACTCAGACCCAAGCGAGCTTTTGTTGGGGCAGGGTTCGATTCTTAATTTTTGTTCGATAGATGGCGTCAAACGAACCACTCGTACTTTGCCATACATGGTGGTTTCTTGGTTTAGGCTTCGAGAACGGCCGTGCGTGGTCAAAGGCTCAATATCTTCAGGCTCGGGCAAAGACAAAGGTAGAGTGGAAGGAACCCGTTGCCCTAATAGGTATCCACTTCACTGCTAGATGAGCGCCCTTTGGGTTTAGGATGTTTTCGCTGCTTTTCGTTTCTTGGAGGCGGTGTCTTTGTGTGACAGACCCGCTTCAGGGCAAAGTTTGTCACTGCTGTTTCTTGCCTGGGACTTCATAGTCGATAGTTGATTCAAGTTGAGAGTTTATCCCAGTGTTCAGGGTTCGCGGTGTTCGATGGTGCATGCAATCCGGCGCAACCGTTCGCTTTCGCGACGACTTGATTTCGAGTTTGAGAAGGTCCCGGCGCCTCTAAGACTCAAATCAAGCCTTGCTCAGTTTTCAGCAACTTCGGGGTTCCAGTAGACTTTCAGGCACTATGCGCTTGCTAGTTTAGAGATTCAGCTATGAAGGAGCCCTCTGAATGGAGGCATGTTTGGTGATACCTCAGCTCGCAGTGGCCTACCTACTCGTAGCATTCTCGCCTCCAAGGCCAGCCTTTCTGCCGAAAGTTGGCTGCAGTCCGAGCAGAAGTGGGAGAAGGAGGCTGGGGGAAGGATTTCGGCAGACCGATGCAGGCACTTGAGCTTCCGTAGCTTCAATCCCATTTCTGGAACCCTTCATCTGTGACTCTACCATACAGTACCTCTAACCCATAGCCTCTGTCAGCTAGAGAGTGTCCAGGTGCCCAACCCGGTCCGTCCATCAAACAACGGCAGTCAGTAACACCCCGAGGGAGGGGTCCCCTAGCGTATGCTCTGGACTCGGCCATGGTGGCTGTCCTTGTTGAGAGGCCACAGCAAATCGTAGACAAAAGTTGATGCAGCCTCTAAGCATTGTAGCTGGCATGTGGGGTCGGCAGTTGCTCATCCTAGACAAACTGGGAGGCCACAAAGGAAACGGCGCCTTCCGCGCTGGCGACCATAGCAGGCTTGACCTTGGCTTTGGGTTTAGGCCTCGCACAGTTTTAGAGGGAGGGCCTATTTTTTTGGGTCTTTTTTTTTTTTTTTTGGGCCTTTTTTTTTTTTTTTGGGTCGATTTTCTTGGTTTTTCCTAAGAAAACCACCATTCCCTCCATATTTTTAAAGGATTTGATGCATTTTCGTGGTTTTTCGTACGAAAAACAGTAATTTCTCTGTGGTTTCATAGGAAAGCGTTATTTCTGGTAGGTTTTAGAAGGAAAGAAGGAAAGAAAGGAAGGAAGGAAGGATGAAAGAAAGGAAGAAAACAAGCAAGGAAGAAAGGAAGGAAGGAAGAAAGGAGGGAAGGAGGAAAGGAAGGAAGCAAGGAAGGAAGAAAGGAAGGAAGAAAGGAAGGAAGCAAGGAAGGAAGAAAGGAAGCGTGCTTCGAAGCCCAAGAAACTAGTTGAAAAACATCGTGTGAGCATTGTGTTTGCAAATGGGGGCGGCTGCGCCCCCCCCAACCCCCCCGGTTATTTTTAAGCCGTGCTGAGCGTGCTTCAAAGCCCAAGAAACTTGTTGACACCCATCATGTGAGCAGGGTGTTTGCAAATGGGGGGGGGGCTGCGTCCCCCCCCAACACCCCCCGCTTCTTTTAAGCCGTACCAAGCGTGCTTCAAAGCCCGAGAAACTAGTTGAAAAAAAAGTATGAATCCGATGAAAATATAGAGGGAATGATAGAAACCAAGAAAACGAACCAAATAGGGTTTTCCCTAGGACAAACTAAGGAAAAGCAACGTACGCTTTGACGTTTGACGAAATCCGTCCAAAATGTAATCAGAAGAGGGTTTCCTTAGGAAAAACCAACGAAAACCTCGTTTTTTTTCAAACCGTGCAGAGCGTGCTTCAAAGCCCAAGAAACTTGTTGACACCCGTCATGTGAGCAGGGTGTTTGCAAATGGGGGAGCGGGGCTGTGTTTTCCCCCAACCCCCCCCGCTTCTTTTAAGTCGTACCAAGCTTGCTTCAAAGCCCAAGAAACTAGTTGAAAAGCATCGTGTGAGACCCCCCCCAACCCCCCCGCTCTTTTTTTTTGGAAGCCGCGCAGAGCGTGCTTCAAAGCCCAAGAGGTGTTTGCAAGTGGGGGGGCTGCGCCCCCCCCCCCCAACCCCCCCCGCTTCTTTTAAGCCGTACCAAGCGTGCTTCAAAGCCCAAGAAACGAAGGAAATGACAGGATATCTGTCCAAAATGTAAGGAAAATAGGGTTTTCCCCCTAGGAAAAACCAAGGAAAACCTAAGGGAAATTACAGGAAATCCGTCCAAAATGTAAAAAAATAGGTTTTTCCCTATGAAAAACCAACGAAAACCTAAGGGAAATGACAGAAAATCCGTCCAAAATGTAAGGAAAGTAGGGTTTTTCCTAGAGAAAACCAAGAAAATCGACCAAAAAAAAAAAAAAAGCCCCCCCCCCAAAAAAAAAAAGACCCAAAAAAAAACTCCACCCGTTTTAGAGGTTAGGGCTCGCGGTTCACGGCTTCGGAGAGTTCATGATGTAAGGTCTCAGCATGCAAGGATGCAGGCTGCACCTGTAACATTGTTGATTTGATGGCCTTCGCGCGACACGAGCATTCTAACAGCTCTGCTATTACGGCAAGGGTCGGGGGCTTCGGGTTTTGGAAATTGAACAGTGACCCTCTTCCGTTCAACCTTCCATTGCTACAACAAAAGGCGCAACTCATCCACATAGCAAAGGTAGCAGATGTAAGCCCAACTAATCCTTATGATCCAAGACAGCCCCAGCCCACTCTGAACCCTCTGAGAACACACCGAAGACCCCAATCCCTAAGACCCTAAGATTCCTCTCCAGGACTCCATGGTGATCCCTCGGTAGCTTCGGTCGGCTGGGTGGCATTTGTAGAACCTGGCGTGGGGGGTATGGCTTCTATGCCGAGCAAGCGGCTCTGGGCTTCGGGCGTTGTGCGTTTCGGTCTTCGCAGTAGTGACTTTGCGATGTTCTTCACATGTGTTTGTGGCTCCAAGTCGCCATGCAAGGTCTGCTTCGGGCTTCGATTCTACACATATGCCTTGGAACCCTGAGCTTTGAACCCTGCATACATGCAGACAGACAGTGCATAGTGTAGCAAACCCCCACTGAAAACCCGACGAGTCGTTTGACTTCATGGCAAGCTTGAGACATCGTTTTTGACTTGAGTTCTTGGGCTGCCGATGTTTGTTTGGTTGCTTTAAGTTGTTTTTTCCTTTTTTCTTGCGTGGAGAGGGGGTGTTTGGCTTCGCACGTGATTGGAGTTGATCAGGATGTGATGTGAGGTCGAAGACCTTGCGCTTAAACTTATAGGCTTGAGGTTGTTCATCTGGGGCATGTCGTGCCGTTCCAGGGAGGGACTGCGAAAACAGCAGTCGAAAGACCCCTCCGAGCAGATAGAAACCATTGCCGATCAGCACAGTAACTGCAAAACTCTTCAGGGCCCGGTGGGAACAGAAGCGTTTCCCAGGCAGCGCTTCGCCGTCCTCCCAACGAGACTGCGGCCCAGGCTTGAAGGAGGGTTGAAGGTCCAGCAGAGTTCGGGCACAGGAGATGGATGAAAGCTGTGGCTCTAAATGGTAGTTTGAGTTGAATTGGGGTTTTACCTGTTAGCTCGCCATGTTTGAAAATTTTCTGGTGGCGGTGATCTTCTAGGGTTTCTGAGTGTGCTTCGAAAATTTTCTGGAGTTCTTGTCTTAGGGTTTCTGGAAGAGTTCAAGAGTACTCGTCTCCCTTTTAGGGTCTGGCGGCACTGCTTCAGCAACCCACAGACATCCTGGCCTTGGAACTCCTTTTGTCTCTCATGTGAGCCTGTGCCTAAGAGAGGCTTAGACCCCGCAAAAGTCACTGAACATTTGAAACATCATTGCCCTGCATGACTGCGAGAGTCTTTTGAACCATACGACCTCAAGCCTCGAAGGAACTCGATTTTTGCGAACATGATATGACAAATAGAAGGTGAGAAAGGGGAGTCGTCATCTCAGTATCTTGGTGAGATGCGTTTCGGCATCTAAGCGTCAGCACTACACATCCGGCCGGAGCTCGTCTGTTGCTGGTGAAACTCTTCATCTTGGCAGAGCTCACGCTAGAGTCGTAAGCCTGGCTTATTCCCGCCCAGAACCGTATGCCCCGAAAAGGGCCGCAAGCCCTCCTGTCGCAGGCCATAATAGCTGTGCTCCGGGAGTCCGGCAAAGAGGCCTCAGTGCGTGTTTGTGTTGGCTGCAGGGCCAGGTTCGAGATGCTCACAAGATTCTTTGACTCTCTAATCCTCAGTTTATGTTGATCTTAATTTTCAAGAAATGCCGGTGCACCCTGGTTGCGGGTTGGGTTTCGTTGTAGAGATCCACGAACTCCGAAATCTCGAGCCTCCACGATGCCACCAAAATAGTCTTTAACTTGCAGCAGCTGCGGGAGGCTGGAGAACTCCTCGTGTCGGAGGCTGTGGACATTGCCTTTCTTTTCCTTGATGCGATATCAAGCTTCAGAAGATCAAACCCTGCGGACCATGATTTCTGAGCCCTGAAATCCTAAAGCCGTTGAAGTAAAAGCCACTTGTTGAACTTCGAAGTACGGACTTGGACTGAGGAATCTGCGGCTATCTTCAACTGTTGCTTTTAACGGTGTAGTTAACTCGGCAGACAAGCCGCAAAAGTTTTCTTTCTGGTGTTTAAATGTTCAAACGAGGGGTCAGATAGGCTTCTCAAGGTCTCCAACGGAAGAGTGAAATCAGTGATTGGCAGATCGACTCTCTTCCACATCAGCATCTTCTTCGCTGGAAACCCCAAACCTCAACCCTTACCTCCAAATCCTGACCAACTGCACAGCCCCAAAGCCAAGCCCGAGACCTTCAATCTGACTCCAGAAGCCCATTGCGCTGAGCCTGGTTTAGGACTCAGGGAGTTATCTTACTGTAGGTCTTTATGGGTCCAGGGCTGAGGGTTTAGGATTTTGGTGTTTTGCGCTGTGGGCTTCGGGCTCGTGCTGCCACGGGTTTGGGTTTTGAGCTCAGGTTTTGGGTTGGGAGCTGTAAAGTTTGAACTGCGGTTTGGGTTTGGAGTTGAGAGTTCAGGCCTTGGGGCTTTGGGCGTTGTGAATTTTAGGTTCTGGATTCGGTTTGTGGTCCGCGGGCTTGTGCTGGAGTTGGCTTGAGTTTGGGGATTATTTCTATCTGGATCACATCCGGGCTGTGGGGTCGTTGAGAACAATGATTTCAGCACGGAGTATTGACCAGCACTCACATTGTGCCGGGCCCCGGACCCAAGTTTTCCAGTTTAAGCGTCGTACAAATTGAACGCGTCCGAGCAGAGTCACATTGTGCGTGCATGCTGCATTCTTGTTTTTCAAAGTGCGAGACTTACGCGTTCGCAAGAAACAGAAGGCTCATAGACTTTGTAATGAGCCATAAGGTTGTATTGAGCAATAAGGGCCGGACTCGCGAGGCGTCATGGCCCGGAGGGCTATGTGTTAGGAGCCTTGCTTCAGTTGTGGCTCGTAGAACCCGGAAACCTTTCAACTCCTAGAGCCCCGCGGCTGTAATTAGGCTCGACATTTCAGCCACCAGGGTTCACAGCTTGCAAGCCGAATAGCCAGAAGCATTACCTTTTGTGTGCAAACATGGTAAAAAACAAGGAGTAGACGAATGATAGCAGTTTGGGGCTGGCAATTGCAGATGAAGTGCAGATTGTTTTTGTGTCATACAGCCTCTTGTGGAGTTAAGGGTGTAGGGTGAAGCACAGCTGAGGGCATCCTAGAACCCGAGCTGGTGTTGCTTGTTGGTTGCAGGTCGAGGTGGCGCTGACCAAGCTCGAGACGGAAAGTCCCTTGGCGACGAGCCTGACATTCCCTATATTGCTCAACTTGGTTTTTGCCCATCGAGGAAAATTTTTCAAAAATGAGATGCAGCGGGCTTCGATAGCAGTAAGACCACCCAGAAGATCTCAAATTCAGTTCGACGTTCGGACGAACCTAACCTAAACCCTAAGCCCGATTGCTAGATCTGGAACGGTCTTGGATTTGAATTAGCTTCAGAGGTAGACTTGAGGAGCTTGAGGTCAGGTTTTGGCTTTTATGCTTTCAACCGTCATCCGTAGCTTGGGCAGCGATTCAAGATTGGGATGTTCAAGGCAGCTCGCAGATTGTTAGGCGCAAATTGTTGCGAGCCCCAGGCCGCAATAATCGGTTGTCGCGGGTTCTAGGTCTTGGTTATGGCTGTTTTTTGGCATGTTCAAGTTGTTGTTGAGTAAGGTTCTACGACTTTAGAGCTGGTCAGCAAGGCATATGCGAATAAAGAGCTCCCCCCAAAGATGTTGAAACTTCGGTTTTTTCTCTTGGAAGCATTGAGAACGGTTGTTCCACGCACTGTGTTGCTCATGTTTGATGACACCACTTGATGATGCCTGATACGTCTGCGATTCTTTCCAGTGAATTATGAAAAATTTCGGATCGTTAATTCGTGTTTTTTGTGCGCAGGAGAGCAAAGCCGACGGGAGTGACATCATGTTCAGTGTGTGTGTGTGTGTGTGTTGGCAAGTTTTATCTCGACAAATCACTGGCCGAAATCACTGGCCTTTTCGGTGGACGGGGTTGCTCTAAAAAGTGGCAACCCTCTCAGCAAGCATGTCGTCGTCATGCTCAACTTGTCGTGCTTGTTGGAGCCGTCATACCTTTGTAGGCTGTCAACAGCGTCAACAGCCAGAGGGATCGCGAGGTTGGTGTCGGCATCCTGTTAGCTGTCGTTGATTGTGTAGCTTTGCTTCGTGCTCGCCTGGCAAGCGTGCAGGGTTCAGTTATGTCGAGGTTTCGGTTCCGGTGGCTGTCGTCGTTTTTGTAGAACGAACATAGGATGCGGAGGAATTCCCACCCGGGGCTCGACATCTGTATTGCAAACATGGTAGCGGGACCCGAGATGGGCAGCTGCATCAAGCTGGTGCTTGAATCTGAGACGTATCCCGACGTGGCAAATGATGATGCGCAATGATGCACGATACATGATGATGGTGATGATATTACTTGTGATGAACTTTCGCTGTGCAAAATGCTTTCGGGCCATCCGCTGCGTTTGAAGAAGACTCGAGGTTTGGAGTCTTTGGAGCGTTCGGAGAGAGGTTCGGAGAGGCGACAAGACCTTTCCAATCGATCTCAGGCATGGGCGATCCGCAAGCTTACCTGTCAAGTGCACTCCACCGAGAAGTCTGGCGCTACGCCTGTTGCCAGTTGCCGGAGCACGCGCCGAATCTTGCCACAATTTGAGCTCCCATCAGACCCAAAACCGAATTCTCATGTGGTTTCGATGTCCCAACTTCCCAACCATAGAACATTGTAAGAAGTGTAAACTCTTAAGGCCACACCACCACAGTCAACCGACCAGTGAAACCTTTGAGACAGAGGACCGGGCTGCTGCTCGGAGATGCTTGGTTGCGGTCACAGCTGCAACAGACGGCACAGGACCCTTGCACAACTTCAAGTTTGAGCGAGGGTTGAGTTTCGTAGGGTTGGGTTCTTGTAGATTGCCTCTTATCATTGAGGGGGGGCTGGAAGGGATTTGGCTTTTTGAAAATCATGATTTCCAGGCTTGTAGGTTGGGGTGCATTCTGTGAAAGTTCGAGTTCCACAGATGCACCCGCTCGACCCCCCCCCCCCCCCCCCCGCCCATAGCGTTCCCCCCATGGCATCCATCCCCATGGCACCCCCCGCCCCCTCACCCTAACCCTAAACCTGACCCTAAACCCCCGAACCACAGGCAAGGAAGAGGGGAAACACTAAACCCTCACGTCAGGAACTCCAAGCCACTGCAAGCCACCTCGGCCAGCGAAAGTTGCAACTTTAGCAATCCCAGAACCACTTTGGGATTCAGGTTTTGAAGCCCCGTGACTTAAGGCTCTTAGGCCTTTTTCTAGCAGCCTGGGGCCCCCAAAGCTGTCTTTGAAGCAGGAGATTGTCCAGAGCTGCAAAGCCTCCAGCGAGGAGGTGTTGCGGATGGAGAACCGCCTTTTGCTTAGCTTCACGCTTTTACTGTTTTGCTAAGAATTCTGAGGTAGCTTTCCAACCCGTACCTAACGAAAGCGCTGGGACATATGAAGGAGTCACAGCATGAAGTTTCCGAAGCGGCTGGCAGAAGATACACGCCTCAATTGCGACAGCCTGCATGCAGTTCATGCATGGGAGAATATGGCTCACGGTTGTGTGTTTGTGTTTGTTTGTTTGTTTGTTTGTTTGTTTGTGTGTGTGTGTGTGTGCGCGCGTGTCTTTTTGTGTCGCAGTCTATGTCTGTGTCTGCAAGTGTCTGCAAGTGTCTTTGCAACCCGTGCTTGAGCAATAGATCTCATGTCCTTGAAAGGCTGACGCCCAGATCAAATCAAAAACGCTTTCAGTCCCAAACCTTGAGATCCCACCAAATCCCCCCCTCCCCCCCCCCTAACCCCCCACAAACCCAGCACGAACCCCCACTTTCCCCTCAACCTCCTCAACTTCCTCCACTTCAGGCTTCCTGGACCGCTATCTGGTCCAGCTTCTCGGAGTCAAGCGGCGACTGTCGGCCCTCTTGGACGAATGGGAGCCGCCTGGAAGGGACTTGTGTTTGCTCAACTTTCGTTGAGGGCCAAATGACTAAACGTGCACTCCAAAGTCCTGAGGTGCGGTTGTATGGTCGGTCGGAGAAAAGTCTTCTTGCACGTTTGGTTAAAAAGCTGGAAGAGCTGCGTTTATGATCGGTTTGAGCAAGCTGTCTTGGCAAGTTTGGTGCCGGAATCAGGCCAACTATCAACCCTACGCCTTGTAATTTCTTTGCACCCAAGCTCCCGAAGTCCAGATAGCGGTCCAGGTGAACCCGCTACTGGTAGTCGAAGGTCGAAAGCTTTAAGCACTGAAGCCGCTGCCTGCACAAGGAAGATTGATCATTACGCAATTCTGGGCGTCCCGCGCACCGTCTCGGACAAGGAGCTGCGGAATGCGTACCGGAGTCTCGACAGGATTAGCCCTTCTTGGTGATGGGATTCAGTGCTGCATTCAGGGTCTTCGAAGCGTCATCTTTGCAAGTTTAGGTCTCAGAGTGTTTTCAAGGTCTTGGTAGACCTTTGCTTCGGCAGCCGTTTCGCAGTGTGAGCGAGCTCTCAATCTCGATGCGGAAGGCTTTGCTGACCTGAATCCAAAGACCTGAGACCTAAGGAAGGCTTGCCTGCGGCTACACCCAGACAAAGGCCCATGGCTCCACGGAACTACTCGTAAGAGGGTACTTGAAGGAGCCGCTGAAGGGCAACGAAGGGCGCCCGGACGATTCGACTTAATCCAGGATCCCACCGCGCACCCCCAAAGAGTCAGGGTGTCCCGAATAGCCCCGCTTATTCAGGAGGTCCCTACTAAAGCAGGTGTAACATTATTGTCAGCCTAAACCTGAAACCTTTCTAAGCATCCTTGAGCAACGTATATGGGCGCCCTCACAGTCATAGCGCAAATTGCCACTTCTCGCAAGCCCACATCTGCTAGCAGCTTCGCTTAGCTCTCTTTCTTTGGCAATGTTGTGAGTTCAAGTCCGTTCCCCTAGGGTTTGTGGCTTGAGGGTTGGCGTGGAGACGAACTTCACGGCCTAGTGTGTAAGATATCTTAAGATTGCGCTTTCTGCGTGTCTGGAAGCACAGCCCAAGTCTTGTGCCAGCCATAGCCAGGTGGCGACAAGCAGCAGCTCCTCGACTTAAGGGGTACTAGGAGGGTAGGGACCGGCTAAGCCGCTGGAGCTCAGCCCAAAACACCCGAATCCTTCGATTGAACTCAGAGTGCAGGGTTCTGGGTTCGGGATTTTGATTTGAGCTATAGCCTTGTATGGTCCTTGTGATCGTTGTCTGATATCCTTGCAAGCTCTCCCGCCTCTCATCCTGAAGAAGAGGCTTTGTAAGAGTCTCCTATATGACGCTTAGCTGGCAGATCTTGCGTGCACTGCTGCAGCTCTTGTGAACTTGTAGACTTAATCCTCCTGCGCAGCGCACTCAGAACGATTTTTGGGGAAGAATCGCAGCCAAGACACAGACACATGCCAGACTGCAAACCGCAGTCGCGGCAACGTTCCCGGACTGACATTGAGGCCTAAACCCTAAACCCTAAACCCGAAACCCTAAACCCTAAACGCCGAACCCTTACAAGATCGGTCGAGACTCCAAGCTTAAGCCATAAACCCTCAGCCCCATCTTCACAGGTTCCAGCAGCTCCAGGATTCCTACGCCAGGATCCTGGAGGAGCGCGAGAAGGACCTGGACGCAGGGTTTGTCAGGTGCTTGTCAGGCGCATCCGAGTGCACCCGAGCTTGGAGGTTGCTTTCCTCTGCTTGCTTCGGGCGGAGGTTCAGGCTTTGCAACGATTGTTTGCGTCGCTTTGCAGGTGGTTCTAATGAGTGTACTTCGCAGAGTTCCATGGGGTCGTTTCGCTTTGTTCTGCGCTTGGTGTGCAGATGGCTTGGATGGGTCATCTTGTTTTGCGGGGCTTCTTTTTTGTGGCACTCGCATTTCACAAATTAGTGGGGGGGGGGAACTTCAGTGCTTGGACCATGGGCGGGCACTTTGCTTGAGCCAACGCCTCAGAGCGAAAATGGCCGTTACTGGCCAAGGTCTCTGATTGCACTGCCCTTCGTATGATGTAGACACGTGGTACTGGTATTCAAGTTTTGCAGTCCACACCCTAAGCCCAGCCCTCTGAAACTTGCCAGCGATGGAGGAGAAGAGTGCAGTGCCCACGCTAGATGGTGGCAAGTGGCAGAGGTCCCGGGTGGCCCCAACGCGTTCCGTGTTGTAGGGCCCTCTGTAGGGCACCGTAGAGGGTAAAGTGGACTAGGTGTAAGTAGTGTTAAAGTGGACTAGGCGGTTTGGCATGACTTGGGGTTCTAGAGACTCTGGTTGAAATTGGACTCCAAGTCCTAGATTACCCCCCCTGGGCCCTTTGAACCCTAAGCCCTTTACACCTTCCAGCCCCAACTTCCTAGCGGTTTAGGATCCGCAGTTTTAGGTTTGCAGGAGTCGGGGTCAGGACAAGCACAGCGAAACTGAAGTCAAAGTCTTTGCAGGCCAGCACCAGCAGAGGCGTCTTCCGGCGAAGGCACCGTCATTGGGCAAGCTGGAGCCCGGAAATAAAAGCGAAACGAAAGCCTTCCACCCCCCTCGTCTTTCCCCATACACCTGACTCATTCGTCTTGGGGGCTAGGGCTTCATTCGGGCTCTCACGTCCGCGACATAAGAAACGATGCAAAATGAGTGCTCTTATCTTTTTGTAGAAGCGTTTCTTCGCGGCAACGCACAGACGTTGGCAACATGACCAGGAGATGGATCGTTTTTCCTCGGACCACAGCCTTATTACGCAGATTGGCGCACAAACGTGGGCAAATGGAGCAATTAAGCAGGATGCAAGATGAAGATGAATCTTTGTCCGCCCGAGACAGCATCGCAGAGTCGAAAGAGATCGGTTGAACTTGACCTCTACAAGGTCCACACCATTTTTTTGCAGGGTTTTGTGGATTGAGGTTGAAAAGCTGCAAACGTTCCACGAGATTTTTTGAACTTTTCGGGTTTTAGGGCTTGTGGCTCGAGGGCTTGTAGATTTGCAGATGTTTGCAGGACTTTGCAGCGTTAAACCGTTAAAGTTGCAGAAGTTTTGAGGTAAAGACCACGCTTTAAGGGATACTTTTCATCAGTCCCAGGCAGCTGATGCTCATGATGCTCGCTCGTGCGACTCGTGTGGGCAAGCACTTCGGGTACTGATGCTCACGATGCTCGCCAACGTGAGTACTGCAGTTGCGTCACGAGCTAATGAAGTCGTGCACCTGGCAATGAAGCAATGAAGCTGACCTGTGAGCCCAGAAACGTTTCAGTGCCTCAAGCTGCCCAGTGAAAGGCCCGCTGGCACTCGAAGCTCCGGAAGCTCCGGAAGCTCCAGCAGCAGCGGAGGCAATGCACCCGGCAGCAGCAGAGGTCGTGTCGCGCCTCGGAGTATTCCAGTTTGTCGGGTTTGGGGGGGGGAGGGGGGGGAGTTTGTTGTTTTTGTTGAGGTTGTTGTACCCTGTCTTGAGTTGCTGCCTTTTGGAGTTAGGTAGGGGACGCTGTCTCGCCGAGATGTCGCAATAGCTAACCGTTGAAGCTGACATGTTTCGCTCTTCATACATGCTGGCTAGTCTTCCCGTTTTGCCTGCTGACTGTCTTTGGAATACAAATGTCGACAGACCGATTCCGCGCACCAACGGTAGAATGGTAGAATCCCCGAAAGAAGCCCAAACCGAACCTGAGCAAAGGTCTGTGAGCAACCTGCAGCATCTGGCGGGACAGCTGCAAAAGCTGGTGGCCGAAGCCGAGCACGTAGAGCTTTGACGAAGCAGATATCCTCAAAGCCCGCCGGGGGGAATTTGGGGATACGGGTCAAGCAAGGGGATGGCAAGGGAGCAGCGAACTCGTTGACTCGCGGCCGACGCAGGGCCTGAGAACGCGCTACTGCTTTGGGCTGTTTGGAATCTAGGGTTTAGGTCTCGAGGCGTCTCAGCAGCTCCAGCTAGTGTAAGTCACAACCCAGCATGATAGTATTGTTGGCATCTCTTGCCGAAACCCTGTTTCCCAAAACCTTGGGAACCGCAAAGCCTCTCAAGGTGTTGCTTTCAGAAACAGCGGGGCTTCTAGCTTTTGACCTGGGATTCGATGAGAAGAGAGCTGTTGTTGGGCTCATTTCCAAAGCATGTAAAGCACCATGTTGGCCTATTTAAGCCAGATTAGAAAGAGAGCTCCAGCTCCACAACTTACGTATGGAAGATTCCAGTCCCAATTCCCCCGAAGAGCTTCTGCAACTCTACGTGCCGGTCCGGTCCAAGGATCGCCTGGTCCGAAGTCTGCGGAAAACGCCGTTCCTTTGGCCTGGGATCATGGCTAGAAGGCTCTGGGCTTCATAGGTGTGTTGGGGGGGGGGGGGATGAGCCCTGACTACCGAAAACCTGCGTCCACAGTTTGGGGACGTTTCTTGGCCTGAAACAACCAAATCGAGGCCTGTACCCTGGTACTGCCGTAGCTTCAGCATCTGAGAACCCTTGAAAGGAACGGCTAGCATTTGGAGGCTCACATGTCCCGTCCTTCCTGGAGGGCTCTCAGGAGCTTTGCCCCCCACAATTTGCACCCGGCCTTGTAACCTGAACTCTAGAAGGGATGAGGCCCTGAATTTAACAAAACCCCTTGCACCTCGAAGTCCACTTGAATCCCAGCACCTTTGGCCATGAAATGCCCAAAGCCTCCAAAAGCCCCCATCCCCGAAGCAATCGCCGTCTTCCGTGAATCAGAAGCCCCTCGCAGGGCCTTAGCCCCGATGATGGCCTTTCCCTTCCGGGGCGGGGGGGGGGGGGGGGGGTGGATACAACCAAGGCCGAAGGATGGCGTTGAGGCGCTGGCGAACGCGCAGCAGGCTGGAGAGACGCTGCTCTCCGTGAGACTCTTGCCTGGAGGTTTAGGAAGTTTAGGGTTTTGTAGGGTTTCAGGGCAATTTACTGGGCAAATCGTACCATGTCCAGTCCGTGTTGGGGTTGGGGGCCCTTCCACTGCAGGGAGTTTCAGTGTTACTTGGGGTTCAAGGCTGTGGCATCCGGAGTCGCTGGGTTTCGGGCAGTGTGTTCCGGTAGCTGTTCCCGCTATGAGGATTGCAGCTGCATTGGGCGCCTGTTTTGAGGTCTTGGGTTTCTTGGGTGGGGGGGGGGGGGGGGGGGGCGGGGGTGCCTCACAGGTTGTTTTGGTTTCTTTCGAAGCTTGCCCCTTTGGAGCTTCGGCAGCTTCGGCTTCCTGGAGCAGAACCGAAACCACGGGCTGCAAGCCGCTATGACCCGTTCAACTGCTTGCACTTTCAGGGGGGGAAGGCGGTCAAAAGCGTGCACTCTCAGGGTTGGGCTCGCTTGGGTCAAACCACACGCGCCAGCTGCGAGGTTGGTGCTAGAAGGGGGGAGGGAGGGGGGTGGCTCCTGAACTCCTGGAATCCGGTTGTGTTGGGAGAGAGTTTGTGTTCCAGTCTGACCGCGGGCCGAGGTCAGAAGATGAGTGAGGCTGCACCGCTACTGTCGGAGGCAGCGATGGAAGTGGCGGAGTGCAGCCTGTGGCGACCTGAGCCTCACATTGTCTCGGACTTGTTTTGGGACTTGTTTTGGGACTTGTCGGGCTTCGGCTCTGCGTCGATGCAAGTGCTGTTGCTCATCGACGAGACCTGGAGTCATGCACAACATGTGACAAGATCCTCAGTTCCTTCATGTTCCTTCTCTTTCTCGTCTCTTGAGGTCCGTGGCGGCCCGGTACGCCGCCGTGCCTTGTTCCTTGGCCGGCCTTGGCCTGCTCTTGGGCTTTGGGGGAATGTGTCCAGGGGGGGCAGCATGGGCGGCTTTGCGATGTCTTGAGAATGTGGAACGGGCTCATGGCTTCAGACTTCTGGTTCGAAACTGTCACGTGCGCACTTGCGATCCGCGCAGGATTGTCGGGCTCGGGGCTCGTGTATAGGAGCATGTCAGACAGAGGGCTGAGGTGTCTTGCACAGGCAAGGGCATATAGATTCTGGGAGGACCAACCTTCGAGATCGACAAGAAGTTGCGGATGCTTTTGTCGAAGACTTGAAATGATTTCATGTGGTTTCATCCACCAGGTGAAAATACACCCCGCATCGCAATTCCCAAGCCATGCTAGAAGCTGACCCCGAAGGCCCTGAACGCTAAGACTCCAAGATCCTCTAAAAGGCTACGGCTCAAGGCTTCCCTCACTCAACTTAAGGTGCACTGCTGCTCACCGATGTGGCGTTGTCTTGCACCCTCGAGGCTTCGAGGCTCAAGCACACGGGCCAGCTCCTGCACGAAGTGAGGCGGGAGCCCTTGTCAGTTTAGGGTTTATAGAGTTTAGGGATGGTTTAGGGTTTGGAGGCTTCAGGGTCCAGGGCTTAGCGCGGTGCACCAGGCGAGACACCATCGGCACGCTGCAGACCCTGCAGGCACACCGGTGCTTGAGCGCAGGATATATCTGCGAGTGTTTTGAGTATTTTGGGATTTGGGCCCTAGTAAAACCTCGCTTGCAGTTCCAAACTTACTTCAAAGCCCTGAAGCTGAAGCTGAGACTCAAAGGACCCCTCACAAAAACCACGAAAACCACGAAACAGCCACAGTTGCGGATGTTCGGGATGTTCGGGCGAGGCGCTTTTGGCCGTGGTGTTTCGGGCCTGGGCTTTAGGTGTTTCAGGAGCGGGTGGAGCTGAGAGGGCTCAGGGTTTTACTGCCCGGGTCCTTCGCCCCCCCCTTCCAGCCTGCACGTAATCACGCAGGCCAACCTCAGCATGGCCAAGATCGTGGGAATCGAGGTTCTCGAGTAGCATGCTTTCCTCTCTTTTCGTGGTTCCACTTCTGCGCAAAGTTTCCGGCTCCCTCAGCTTCCTACCAAACCGACAACGCCTTGAAGCCCTGAAAGAAAAGGGCCAAAAAGGGGAGCTCAGGAACAATCGATGCCGAGACGCTGAAGCTGTCGCTGGGCCTGGTGGGCAAGGCCACCTCGCGTCCCTTGGGCTTCGACGAAGGCGTTTCAGCAAGTGACTCTCAATTTGAGAATTTCGGATTTGAGAAGGCGTTTTGGGATGCTCCTTTGTTTATGGCCTTCTTTGTTCCTCCCTCAGCTGCTGCATCTCAATAGAATGCCTAACTTAGCCGCAAACGAACTTATGAAGTTCGTTGAAGCTCCCTCAATCCCCAACCTGCAAGTACGGCAAAAGAGCACATCAGTAGCAGCGCCCCCCGCCCCCCCCCCCCATCAAGAAGAAATCCGAGCCCAAGGTATCATGGCCGCTGTGAGGCAAGTGGGCGCAGCCTCTGTAGATGCTGTGAGTCGCGGGGGCCATTGCGCAGCCCATAGCAGGCTCAGTGGCTGCAACGGAAATAGGTCGGCGGGCGTTGAGTGATTTTTTTTTTTTTTGGGGGGGGGGGGGGGGGGGAATTTCCGGGTGTTCGGGCTTGACGTCAATTCGGAATCCCGAGACAGGGCAGAGAGGGCAAAAGGCCGAGTAGAGAGAGAGCATTGGAGAGCATGGAAATTTCTGAATTTCAATTTTGCATTTAGTGCTCAGGGCGGTGTGCCGCTTCGCCGAGGGCCGCTCTGCAGCTGAGGCTGAGGCCCATGGAAACAGGCATGTTGTTTTGATGTTCTTTGCTTGCGTCCCGATCCTGTAGTATGTCTGTGTATGTTTAACGCGGCCGATGTTTTCCGCAACCTTCGCATTTGCATACCCCAGAGCTCATACCTTCTGTGGCTACAGCAACGAGTACCGACGAATTTGTCGATCCGATTCGCTGGATATGCTTGCAGAAGGAGATGTCCAAAGATCAGCACGGGGAGCAACATCCAGCGCCACCAGTGGCCGTGAAGAGCCAGCTGCAACAGCATACCCAGGTGTCCGTGCGTCAGATGCACGTTTTCCATAACAGTAACATTGGCATGAATGGAGGGCAGTCACCCGAGGAGATGACAAGAGTCCTCAGTTTTCTGGAATCCGAAGCAGAACTCCTACGGCAGATGTCAAGTGTCTTGTACTTAAAAAGCAACAGCAATGCTGCTGGCGAACCCCTGCATGGACTGCGAAGAAGTTTGAAATCCTTGCCTCGGAGGCCTCTGAGGAAGTTCTCGAGGCGTTGCCAGCTCCCGAGGAGACGAGGGTTTTATTTTGCAATACAGTATAGGGTTTTAGGGTTTTAGGTTGTTGGTTTGGGGTTTAAGATGCTTGAGGTTTAGGGCGCGGGGCATTGACGTTTCGAAGCTTCGAGATTGAAACGTTGTGGCTTGCTGGTGTTTGATTGTTCCATTCTGGCGCGAAATTCCTCGCAGCATGTCAATCATCCCTAACAACTGCGCGTGATGGCTGTCCTTAGCGCTTGTGGTTGCATGGTGTAGCTAGGAGGGCTGTTGTGGGAACAGCTTCGCGCAATTTCGTACGATTGCCACATGAACCTGAAGTTCCTGAATCACAAGAATCACAAGAAACCAAAGCACCAAGGACACCAAGTTTCTCAGAACGAAGGTCTACGAGTTTCGGGTGTCCGGGCCTGGTAGGAGGTCAAGGGATTGCTTGGTGTCGGGTGTTTTGTCGTCTCCCGTCGAACAAGCAGATGACTTCCACGAAAAACCAGCTGAGACCATAAATGAGGACTATGCCTCTTCTTGAGCCCCTCCCCCCCCCCCCAAGCCAGATTCACACCTTTACGGAGCCTTGAAGGAGCCTTAAAGGAACCTGTCATCCCAAGGAGGCATCCCATCCCAGCAGCCCCGAGCCGGATGCGCCGCCGCCTCGGGCGCCTGCCGCCCCGGCACCCTCTGCCGCGGAGAAGCCCCAGGCCGGTGGTTTTGGAGAGTTTGTCAAAGGGGTTTCGAGGGGTTTCGAGGGGTTTCGAGGGGTTTCGAGGGGTTTGGAGCTGAGGGTTTCAATCTTTTGGGGTTAGGGTTTCTGGCTACTTGGGAGCGCCTGCGAGCAAGGCTTCGGCATTGTTTATCGTTGAGGCGAGGGGCGGGGGGGGGGGGGCGGGGGTTGGTGGTTTTTTGTCTGAGGGCTTGTGGCTGGAGCAGGTTCGCCGGAGGTCCTTTTAGCTGCTAAGCTTCGGAGACGGTGCCATGGTTTCTTTTTCAATTCTCAGTTTTCAGATTTGGTCAGTGCTGGGCGGCGCCAGAACGTTTCCGTGGTGTTTTGTTGCAGTGTTGAGGCTTGGGGGTTTGTAGATGGAGCTCGGGATCTACGTTGGCAAGGTTTAGAATTTGAGGTTGCATGTCCTGGCGGCTTGATGCTGTTTCAGCTCGAATTTACGGATCTCATCCTTTAGAGATTGTAGATTCGAGCACGACGTTTCGAGACTAGCATGCCAAAGTGCGAGGAGCACGGAAGTCTGAAGTTACTTCTAAAGCGTTTGCGATGTTCCTCGTGCTTCTTCTATCTCCTATCTGTCCTCAAAAGCCTTAGCATATTGCAAGATATTAGAAGCCTAGTTTTGCAAGCTTAGACGTTCAAGCCTAAACTCCGGAGCCGCCAGAAACCTCCGAAGCCCAAAGTATCCCATAGTCCCAAGGCCGCAGCTATACAGCAGCTATACGCCATCCAAACAATGTCTGAGCACCACCTCACCACCTCACCACGCAAAGAAGGCCCGGCCCGAAAGCCCCGCGAGCCGAGCACGGCAGCTGGAGCTCCAGGTGCCCTTGTTTCGGCACAGTTTCGGGGCAGTCTCGTGTTTCGGTTTTGTGGGCTTTTTGCTTGGCCTCTCCAAGTTCAGAGGGATGCTGGATGATGGTCTTGGCTTCAAGGCTTTTGGAGTTTGAAGGAGTCTTTATGGGGCTTATAAGGCTGCTGCAAGCGCTACTGGTCAGCGCAATATTGTGACGGCGGAACGGTCGTTGGCCTGTCGGCATTTGCCTTCTTCTCGTCGTGAAAATTGCCATTGCGCTGGCCCAGTGCCATTGCGCTGGCCCAGTGCAAGCCTGGTGGTCATTGTTAGCACATGCTTACATGTCTTGTCCCATTTTTCTGCCTCATTGTCAGCATTGGACGTTGATCAGCGTGCTTGTGCCTGCACGTACCCCTCTACCAGCATGTCTTCAGGTCCTTCAAGACCTTATCCCAGGCAAGGCTGCAGAATGACCGGCTTCTTCGCCAGCTGAATGCTGATCTGCAGGACCAGCAACGCATGGTACCGGGTGGAGGATGGAGGTTGTAGTTGACTTGACGAGTGAATCTTTGGCTGGAAGAGTTGTTCGCAGACTTGCAAACCATTTCAGTTGCAAAAAAAGCTAGAGTTGCAGACGTCTACCAGCTCTTACAACAGAACTGGCAGAATCTCCAGGAAGCCGTTAGAGTTTCAGGATTTGGGGCTCCGGCTAGTGTACGTTGAACTCTGAACTCTGGAAGACAAGAACAACATTTCATCCATACACTCTGCACCGCATCCAGCCGCGAATCCACAAAAGCGAGACTTGTCGAAGGAGCTTCGGCGACGTGCCGTGGCCGGCCTCGTACAGCGAAGTCCGAGTTGCACCTTGCCCGGGGTCGAGGGTTCGAGGTTTCGGGTTAGGACTTTGCTTATCCCGCCATTTTTCTGCTTTCCTTCAGGCTGGAGGGCTCAGATTCAGAGGCCAGCGCATCAAACATGCTAAGCACTTGGGATGAGATACTCTGCGCCAATCTCTCAACCTCGGCATGTTTTGAGGTTGGGACATTCACGATCAGCCCCTGGAGGGGTGCTTAGTTTGAGGGGTGAAAGGCTACAGTGGCAAAGGTCTCAGTTCTCCAACGGGTAAGTCATGGAAGCTACAGCCAACTAGCAGTAACGAGCGATCCTTAAAATCCGAGGCCCTGAAGCTTTGAACCCCACAAACAGGAACAAAGATCCATCAACTGTAGCCGTTAGCCCTACGCCTCATCCATGAATGCGAACACCTCAAAGCTTACTGCTCTATCTCCAATCCTGATGCTGGAAAAGCAATGAGGCAGCCCTGAAGCATACGACATGGTGGCAGAGCTGCTGCTCTCTGCAACAGAATCCGTCGTCGAGGCAGCGTTGTGAAACTTAGTAAATCCACGTCTGGAACCTTCTGCTCTAAGCTCTATGCCGAAAGCCCCCCCCCCCCCCCCCCCCCCCCAAAGCTCAAAGAGTACATGTCAATTTGGGCCGCTTTGTTCTGCTCTGTGTCCCAGAAGCCCCCAAGCTCAAAAAGAAATGCCTGCTCTGCTCGGTGTCCCAAAAGCCCGCAAGCTCAAAGTGTACATGTTAAGCTTGGCCTGCCTTTACTCGATCCTACGCCTGGGCTTTGAACATCCCAAAGCAGCCTCTGTTAAGCTCTACGACTTTACGATGGATGTATAAATAGAAGCTGATGCCCCCATGTTGCGCAAGCTTTCTGATTGCCGGCCCAGGGGTGTCCACCCCAAGCCCTCGCAGCAAACACCTAAACCGAGCCTCGTACATGCAACAACTTGGAAGCAAGTGAACGAATTATGGCACTCTTACCCCGCTGAGTTCACTTGCTAGAATCTGGATAGGCAGCACGTTATGCTTCTATTCGCTTGTTGTTTGACTAATAGGAGCTTTTGGGAAGCGAACAGAAACCCTAATGAATCGCCCCCATGACCCCCTTTTCCGTTCACACAAGGCCCCAACATTTCACATTTATTACGTTTAGGGGCCATTCACTCACTCATTAACTTATTCTTATGAAGAGCCCGCAGCAAGAAAGCAAAAACCGCGGGCTCATGGAAGCATGCTTTGTCTCAGTGGTTCTACGGCTGGACGGCCTTTCACGCATTTTCTTAAATAGAAATTGTTGGTGAGGACAGGGCTCAAACGTCCTTACAGCTTACTACTTTCTCGACGCTGAAGCATAAAGTCTAGAACCCCTTGTAAAAGCACCCTGAATCCCGACCGCCCCCATCGGTCCATGCAAAACATTCGCCCAAACGCTCAAAGACCCTTTGCAAGTCTCGTTGCTGAATCTGGAGTCCCTCAAGACGTAAAATCTCGGCAGACTTCCTTAGCCATATCGGATCGAAGCACCCATGAAGTCTCGAGGCCTTCGTCCCCGAACCGGAGAGCTTCCGTGCGCTGCTCTTGGAGCATTTCGACTTCGTCCTTGCCTGCGGGTGCGAGGTCGGGGCTCGTCTAGAGAGAGAGAGAGAGAGAGAGAGAGAGAGAGAGAGAGAGAGAGAGAGAGGAAAAAAACAAGTTGAAGTCTGGGCCGCAAGAAGCTCTAGGACGCGGAGGCTCTTGCATTTAGGGTTTTGGGTCGGCCTAGGGTCCGGCTTTAAGGCATCCCATCACCATGAGAAATAACGGGTCGGGGGACTGCTGGAATGAAAGCCTATTCCTAAAGTAGACGTAGACGGCATATGCCAGGTTGTGCAGTTGATGCGCAGTGTTGCAGGGAATTGCAAAAAGGGTGCAACCCGCTCGGAAGCCCCATGGAGATTATTGATTCCGACCAACAGTTTGACTCATCCCAGGTACCTCTCTTTAAGGGTCGAGGGCTTTGGGGGTTCAGTGATCAAAGCCCACGTTTTAAACTTCATGCGGACCCTGCGACTGCAACCCTGCAGCCCTAGACCCATCAACCTGGCCAGCCCTAATCCCTCAAAGCCGTGAACCGTCCAAAGGCCCAAAGTCTCAAAGCAGAGCCCCAGGTACAGGCCATTCCTTTCGATTTGCGGGCCCAACTGCTGCAGCACCAAAACTGCACATCAGGATTTGAAGTTGGAAGTACCTCGAGTCTATGCGAGTCTAGGCAAGTCGAGAGTCTCTTGGGGTCAGGATTTGGAGACCGCTTCAATCTTTCCACGAACATTCAGATTCTCAAATCGTCAGAAGACTTGGGGCGCTTCGGCCCCCGAGAATCGCGTATCGCGGAAGTGCCAAGCCCTGAGCTCGACTCACCCACCGAACCTTCGATGCAGAGACTTGGAAGCCCCAGCGGGATCTACAGGTATCTTCTCATCGTGGACTCCCAAGCCGTCCTCACAGCCATGGAGCATCAAGTGAGCCTAGGCAGGACTTGAGAGTCTTTCGTGAGGGTTTGGGTCCCAAACAGTGGAGACCAGAACAACACCCCAAGAGAGCCTGACTTGCACAACTCGTTTAAAGTACTCGGACTGCTACTTGCACAACTCTTCTAAAGTACTGAAGAAGAGCAAACGGCACGAGCCCGTGCTGGGTCGAGCCGAGCAGCGAGATGGCCAAGCATGGCCAAGCATGGCAAAGCGCCCACTGAGTTGACAGGGCCACAGAGGGCAAGACTCTAAGAGGGGCAACCTTTAAGACTCAGCCGTCTCAAAGAGAAAACGAGCAAGAGTATGTAAGAGTGGAATTGAATCCCAGTCTCGTCCTGTCGAGGCTGGGAGGTGATTGTTTGAAAGCGCTTGAAGTGGAGAGGGAGCCTCTTGCCTCAGCCCAGGAAGCCGAGACTCCTGCGCTGTTGCCAGGCCAGCGCCAAAGAGGCCTCTCTGTTTAAGGGAGCTTGAAGGGAACTTTTGCATGGATGTGTTCGGATGCGTTCGGATGTGTTGTTAGGGGCTCTCCGGGCCTTCAGCCTTGAGCCGGGCATGGCAAGCTTGTTTGGAGAGTGTTACAGCAGCTGCGCTCCGTAAACCAGGACAAACAGACAAAACAGAATCCAAGCAAGCCCTGAAGAGTTCAAGGGTCCGTTCTCGCACTGCATTGGTCGCGACAAGTCTTGAACACTCAACACACTGAACGTCCATAGAAGCGCAGCCAAAACACAAATGGGTTATTGTCAGCCCGAGGAAACCCCAGAATTTGGGCTGTTTCGCTTCCTTAAACACCGCTGAGACTTGAAGCTTTGATGCTTTCTCTACTTTAACTACATGGAAGTGCGGGGTGAGTCCTTAAATCCCAGGACCTATTGGTGCCGGTCTTGCAGCAGCACTTCGAGCAGTTGGCCACGGCCGTCGTGAGCGCACGGCTTCGGTGATGGCATGGGGGGGCATGGGGGGCGTTCTTGGACTCCCCCCGCTTTTACTGGGACTGAGTGGCCTTCTTACGAGTCCTGCAATATAAAGAGTCGCCTCTAGTCTATAATGAGCTTGAGAACCTTGGCACCATGGGAAGCCCCGAGCCCGAGCCCTCAACTCCAGAAATCCGTGGTCTGGCCCAGAAACGACCGTGCGTCACAAAGAGGTCTGCACATATGGTCCAGCAAGCATGACTCATCAAACGGGCAACATACACAGAATCCAAAACAAGCAAAAATAGAACAAGCATTAAACAAGCAAGGAAAGAGACAGACGGACAAACAAACACACATACAAACAAACAAACAAAACATCAAACAAACAAGCAAGCAAGCAAACAAACAAACCAACGAACAAAAAAACAATTCAAACCACATCTAACAACACACTCTAAGTGCCGTTCAGCATGCACTTCTGGAGAACCCTAGGTATGGAACCATTAGCAATGTTCGAAAAGTCTGCTCATCGCACACTGCATGGTGCGAAGCCGCGACCCCCTGCCCTTCAGCAGTAGGCTTGAAGTCTTGGACCATGTTGGGGGGGGGGGGGGGGGGGGGGTACTTTTTTTTGCCCCCCAGGGGGGAGCACTTGAGGGGGTCATGGTTGAAAAGGCGCTGGCGCTCATCTGGCCCAGAGATGTCCCGGAAATCCGCCAGAGACGAAAGTTTTTTCTTGGAGGTTGCCGGCTTATGCCTAGTGCAAGGCTAACTGGGTCCCAAGGGGAAATCATACATCCCTGCAAGCCCACTACAGCCCTGTTGCCCTGAAATGGGAAGTCTGGCAAAGATGCGAGGTGTTGATGTTCATGGGATGGAGCAAAGCGCGGCAGCGCACAAGACGTGCGATGCCGCTTCGTCACCCGGGCACAGCCCTGATCTCCAAGTCCCAGGCCCTGAGCCAAAACCAGCAGTTGCGGAGTCGGCCGCTTGATTTCTGGTCTGCCTCTGAGATTTGTCCCTCCGGTCGAATCATCTATCCTCGTTGAAGCAGACATGATCCTCATTGAGTTGGACATCAAATTCACTGAAATGGACAGACAAAGGCTGACCCCGAAGCCCTACAGGCCTACATCCTCAAGCCTACTTTGCAGCTGGTTCTGGTCTGTGGGGAAATACGTAGACTGCCCTAGACTCCACTCTTCCATCAAGCGGAGACGCCGTCCTTGGGCTGCAATCAGAATTCGGCCATGCAGTGCAAAAGTGCCAGGCCCGCGGGGGGTTGGGGGGGGGTCTGTAGGAGGCTGAAGGTAGAACTTCAGGGCTTGGGAAATTGGGGACCCTGCGTGTGGTTCAACTTCCTTTGGTGTCAGGGCTGCTTAGCGCTTAAGATTCAAGATTTTCAAGATTCGCTTTGCGGTTCAGGGTAGAGTCGGGAGTGCGGCAACACAGGCTTTCGCTGCACTTGCTCAAGCCAATTGGCAGAATTTAGCTTGTCTGTATGTCAGATCGCAGGTGTGCTGCCCTCTACAAGATGTATAGATGGTCACGCAGCGCTTTTGGAAACCCACACCCCAACTCACAGTCGTGCCCTGCAAACGCCGCAAAAGCTGCGCAAGGCTACGCCCACAGGCGGGAAGCGCAGTAGCAGTGGGCGGAGAACAGCCCTGAACCATTTTAGATCACTGAGCCCAGAATTTCCAACCCGTGTGCCATGGAGTGCCGGTCGTTGTGCAGTTAACAGCTGAGCCTTGGACGCTGCCTTTTGAGAAGTTTTTCTTTTGGTCGGGGAGGGGGGGGGGGATGTTCTGGCGCCTAGCGCGCACACACGCAAGACCCATCCTAAGCCTCCGAACTACGCCGTACGCTTGGTTTCGCAGAAAGGGTTCCTGGGCTCGGAGTTGAAAGCTTTCTAGAGGGTTTGGTATCGGATTCGGGACCCTGCGCATTCAAAGTCGAAAGTCTGGAGATGAAGCGTGTGTTTTTGGGCGGAAGCAAAGTCACCTGTAGGCTCGGAAAGCTAGTGCTTCCATGTTCACCGGATTCAAGCGGGAGCCGGCAGTTTAGGCTTGCGAGCTCCGGGAGCCGGCAAAATAGACCCTCACCGCCACAGGCCACCCAGCAAGGGCGATGCTCTGCAGCCGGTGCAACACCTTTCCTGTGAGCCCACGAAAGGGGGTGCTTCGGCGCAACGCTTGTGCGGGGTTGGGGTGCTTGGAGCTTGTGATGGAGTTTGGGCAGCACGTTGCAATGTTTGTGCGACTCAAGGATTTGGAGTTCTTGGGAGCATGCTGGGCAATAAGACCGACGAGCGTATGACTTGGTTTTTACAGGGCTTTGACTAAAACAGCCAAGATGGAAAGATAGGGATTGGCCCCAGAGTCCGGGTGTAAACAAAGCTTTTAGCTCAGGGCCCGCAGCCCATAGTCTTTGAGACAGCAAAAGCCCTCTAATGGCGCCATCTACCAACATCTTAGTCGCCTCTGCGGCGCGTAGGATACGGCCGTCTTCCGGATTGAGGACCCAAGCATCACTCTGCAAGGTGGCTGCTGGATTGTGCTGCAACCGCTGCCCGAACCATGGGCCCTGGTATGCCTGCAGCATTCGTGTGTATTGGGGGGGGGGGGGGGGGGGGGGGGAAGTTAAGGGTTTTCTAGAGGGGTTTTGGTCCTTAGCATTCAGGGCTTGAAGGCTTGAGGGCTATCAGAGTCAGATATTTGCAAGCTTCTGGGTTGCCAAGCCAGAAATGCCCAAGCACCCAATCTGTTCTGAAGAGTGACCCGAAGAACCTGCCTGGCTTTAGCTGCGCACGCCTTCAAAGCATACATCTGGACTGAAGCGACTTTCGTCCCCATTGTTTACTACGCAGTGTGTACTCTTACATGCTGTTGCAGCCAAAAGAATGAAGCCTACACTCTTAGAAGCCCTGCAGCACTGTAGCACCGAGTTTGACATGGGAGGAGCTGGCCTCACTCATGTGAGTATCACTGCAGAAGATTCTTGAAGAGCCAATATCTCAGAATAAACCCTGGCAACGTAAGGCCGATCCCGTCTGTAGGGGCGTCGGGCCGGTTTTAAATGGTTCTACGTACTGAACCCCTGTACAAACCGTGCGTCATCCGATATGGCATGCCCAACCCCTTCAAATCATTGGAACCCCATGCTCAGAGACCTGCGTCCTGAACGCGCAGCCCAGCGTAGAACCTGCAGGAATGAGTGCGCTCAAGCTGCAAATCTGACTCCTACCCTCAATGACTCAACCCCAAAAGTGTTCAAACCCCACGCCAGCATCTGAAGCCAAGCCCGAAGTTCTGAACCCTACACTACACTGTCGAAGATCCCCATTCAGGTGCAGCAGCCGGCAGACGGAGGCCAAACCGGCGAAGCCGGCAAAGCGGCTCCTCAGCCAGTGGCGTGGCAGAATCAAGGAGCTTGCTGGAGCGAACTCGCAGCCTGACAAAAAGGCCCTCAATCGCGAATTGCGATCGTGCACCACGATGCCAGAATGCAAAACTGGAAAGCCTGTAAAGGCCTGAGAAGGCCATGTGGTCACAGCTGAAAAGGCAGGACAGGCCATCAAAGGCACAATATTCTTGCACCAGCCCTCACAAATCGAATTTGGTGATTGACACGTGCCCTAAGCCGTGCAGTCCGTTGTTCTCTGATAAAGAGCCAAAGCATTCGAAGATCAAACCCCACATCCGAAATCTCAGATCCCCAAGCCCTAGAACCCGAAAGGGTCTTCAATCATGAAGCCCACAATCCTTCTCCACAACTTCCACAACCATCCTAATTCCGAAAACCTGAATGCCAAATCCATCAATCCTCAGCCAGCGTTTTGCTCGTCACCGGTTCTCAACACAGGCCCCCTTCGCTAGAGCGTGCACCATCGGGCCCGGCAAAGCGTGCGAAGATGCAGGTCGCGACCAGATGCACGAGTGAGGTTCACTTTAGGGTTTCAGGTTTGGGGGTTGTTCGAAGCTGAATGGGAGTGCAGAACCCAATCCGAACATAAATGTTGACCCGCCGCTATGCCCCATATCTCCAGATGGATCAGATTGGGATCGGATCGAGTGCAGCTAGGTTTGGGACACTGCATCTTAAGAGCGTTTTTTGTCTCTCGGGGGCCGAGTATGGGGCGGGCTGTGCCATGCAATGAATCTGCGCCTTTGTGACTCGGGTCGTTTGCTTCGGGGTAGGAGGGGCAAAATGGCCGACGCACACGGTGAACCCAAAGCTTCCGACCTTGCGGGTTGAGGGGGGGGGGGGGGGGGGGGGGGGCATGTGCTCGAAAGACACAGAAATGTCTGCAGCCAAAATGTTCGCCCATGCTTGGTGTGGTGGCGTGTAGTAGTTGAGGGTTACCAAGAGACCTTGCCTGGATATGGTGACTCCTCAGGGTTGGAATAGAATTTCGACTGAGGGTGATATGGGAACTATTCCACCTGGCCCATTGTTGGTGGGACTGCTGGAAACCATTTCTCAAGAACCTAGAACAAGATCATAGATCAGCCACCGGCGCCGGGGCTTTGGGACCTCCATGGGCCCCGCCACATAAGCCCAGGCCACAACCTGTCTCAACTACCAGATGGCATGGGATTCTCTAACAAAAACCGTTCACATGCCGTGGCGGGACCTCCTTGTTTGTGATGAGCTCCACGCCGGGATGGGGCCACCTTGTGGATGCTTGTGTCGCGATGCTTCGTTAGGGGACTCAGACTGTGAGGTGAAGGTTTGTCCCAAACGTGTTTCAGGAGCTCCTATACCCAGACGCGTTCGCGTCCGCGGCGTTTCCAATGCACCCGCCATTTGGATTTCAAAGCCGACCTCGGGGTCTTCAGCATGTCGAAGGAGGCGGCGGTCGACTTTGAAAGATGACACCAGTCTCAGGATTCCACACAGTTCCACAAGTGCCCCTTGTTGGATCTTCGGAAGGGTTGGCGATTTTGGAGCCTCGGATCGAAAAAATCGCAGCAAGCACGTGTGCTCATGTGCTTGGGGTTATGGTTCTCACAAAGATGAAT